TCCGGACACAAACAGAATTACCAACAGCTAGATGACAGATGATATCAATTCAGTATATACAATATGAACATATGTACAAAATCACACACCAAGCACATTGGACTGCTCATTGATGCGCTACCCTTTGAAGAATTGTAGGACTTACAGCAGTACGCCTACAACCCTTCTCAGGTTGACGCCCTAGGTTGGAAAATCGTCGCAGAGTTCATTTGCTAACTTCCTTCTATCAGCTATATCCTCAAATCTGAACGGCAACACGCCCATGTCATTGTATCGTAGAATATAGATGACCAACAAACACACGACATATCTCATCAACCAAGTATAGAAACAGAGTAATTTACACCAAAGATAATAACATTCAAATAGTAACTTGAAACTAGAAATGCCTTTATTCGTGCAAGTCAATTTAACAATAACTCTCTCCTTTACACTTGGCTTATCCACACTAAACTGACCAATATCTTTCGTCCTTTCAAATGCACCAATACTATCATAGTCATTGCAAAAGATACTTGAGTTGATGGGCATCTGTTTCATTGTGGATGAAAACACCAACGATGACTGAGTGACACAAGGTGATGAACTTAGCGGTGGATCAGAAGCTGTTCTTTTTCGGCTTTCAGATAGTTGTCCAACTGCAAGATTACCACCACTGCTGTCTTTCACTACTAGTTCGGGTTTAGCACTATCATCTGATGATAGGTGGGCTACACGCTGATCAATTACACTGACTGTCTCACAAGTATGCACACCTTCTGGAACTGCATCTGCGTTCAATTCTACTTCACGTTGTAGTTGTACAGAACCTTTATTTAACTTAGCAGTAGTAGGCATATCCCTCATCTCATAATGATCAACCAAAGACAAATCTGCACTATCATGATCATTACCACAAATATTCAATTTACCGTCAAGTTCATCATTTTCAAACTCTTTAATAACAGAAGTAGACAATTTTGGTTCCTCCTCAAAAATCATTAAAGGTTTTATATCTTCACTCTGACTAGTTATACCTTGTAAACTTTTGGAGTCAGAACTGCACTCTGAAGCAGTAACTCTATTCTGTGACACTCTATTCAACAACGGCTTACCAGTTGCAACTACAGACTTCTTCACCGCACCGTTATCGTCACACAATTCGGAGTCAGGCCTGGAGTTTACATTTAGCTTATCACTGAACTTGCTCACTGGTTCACAGTTCACCTTTGTATGCACCTCTTGCAAACGTGTAAAACACAACCGTGTTTGTCTTGCATCTTGTAACTTATCTGTTGAGGATGTACTACGAAACCTGTTACACTCACTAGATCTATATGCATTACTAGACATCATGGAGCCTTCTCGATATCCACCTCTCTGAGGCTTATTCGTCATCAATGAGTGCGTTTTACCCTCAGACTGCTCTATTCTAGGGGTGAGATCTAACAGACTGGCGAACTTGCTCATAGATTGATTGACACTAGTATTTACCAGTTTCAGGATATCATCAAACTTTGGCTCGATACCCTCATCCTCCATACGGGAGCTCATCTTCACCCACTTCCTTTGCAGTCGAGTAGGTAGACGTCTTGCTATTACTTCTAGTATAAAACTCGAGTTGAGGTCACTCATGCGATTCATCGAAATCATTCCATTCTTGTAAATTAGCAAATTATCTAAAAACTCAGTGAGTGCCTGGGAGTCATCCTGTAATTGACCACCATTACCCTTAACAGCCTCGAATAATTTCCCTGCAATCATCGAAGGTCTTCCAAACCTTTGACGTAATATGCTCATAGCCTCGTAGTAGCCCTCTTTTGGCTTCATAAACTTACAGCACTGTATAGCTCTTGCAGCATCTCCAGTGCAATATCTCATCAAATACATTAACTTCAATTCATCATTTAATAAAAAACCACTCAACATGATCTCAAACTCCTTTACAAATTGTAAATAATCAGCCGGGTTTCCATCAAAACATCGTGGTTCAAATTTAGGGAGTTTGATGTTCCTATTATCCCTGAACGGCGAAACAGTAACATCAACCATGTCATGCTTAACATCAGACACATCGTTACAATTAACAGACAAGTCACCATGACTTACTTTCCTGTTTGCATCCAAGACACTCTGTCCCTTCTTTGACCCAGGCATTGTTGAACTTGACCCAATTCCAAAAAGTTCCAGATATTGCTTGTTCAAAGAGGACTTGACCGGCACCAGGAAAAATGAACGGCGACTATCCAAACTTTCACCAACTGTTTGAATCCGCCAGATCTGTTTCTATCGTCAGAAACTGTCAATCACGTCTCATAAACCGTTAATGCCCAGCTCTCGCTACGCTCGGGCCCACGCTGTTCTTCGAAGATTTCTCAGAAACGCTTAGTTATAACGGACGCAAAAACCAAAACACCGATCTGCCGTTTGATATTTCTGTATTGTTACACCAACATATAAAAGGAATAAGCGAACTAAGCAAACTAAGGTCTGAAAACAAATATTACAATAATAAATCGTTATATTACTTCTGACGATGTTTCACTCTTCTTTCTGAACAGCGACCGATGAGACGATGACTGTCGTATTGATGCCTCCGCGAAAATTGGGGAAGTTGATTTTGAGCAAACAACCATGAATTGATCGTTCAATCTTCAACTCCATTGACAGTCGGCGAGATTCCTAACCACTGTACCACCGACGCACAGGGAATCATGATAACGTACGGGTTACAGATTTGACGGTGCTTCCTCAAATAAAACAACCTGACCAGGAGGGTGTGGAACGGCTTCTAAAGAGGGGACAGTTCACCAACAGAACGATCGTCTGACTCCCGGATGCTTCACCATTAATCTCACCAACAGGTCTTAAGAGTCTTACGCTGACCTTCGTTGAATGTTTTCATCATTAAATATCTACGATAAGCGTCCGACAGATTCAACGCACCATCCATGTTTTTAGGGATAGTCAATAAATCAGGGTGTAGAAAATGCGCTCTAGATAGATTATTTTTCTCAGAAAATTAGAAGAAGCACTCATAACTGATAGGGATTTCGCTTTCCTTGATATACATTTGCTTCAAGGGGTCTCTTTCGTAAATGTATTTAGTACCGAACAAACTTCACGATTACAGGAGAGGTCGAATGAAACCATTCATTCATTAAATCAGTCGAACCCTATCCGTTTTTCCCTCAACGAGCAAACTGAGTACGGGGTGGATGATTTGGATTTTCAGAATAACAAGACTGTAGTTACTGCTTTTGAGGTGGTTGTACACCTTTTCGCCCTCAACATGTCGTCGTTAATCCACGTGCCTTTGAGCAGCCATAAGTGTTACATATTCCATTCATTGATTGGCGGGGGTTTTAAGAACATCTTAGTCTTCAGGTTTCTTATCTCAGGCAAAACAGTTGGCACATGGTGTAGCCAAAGCGCACATATGGCAGGATAAATGGCCGCCACTAGTTATGGACCGGTAGCTCTACTTCCAATGGTATCAAAAGTACTGGAAATTGTTATTGACGATCACATCAGGGGGTACCTCGAAACGGCTAATAGACTCCATGAAGCTCAACACGGTTCCAGGGGAGGCATATCTTGTGCAACAGACCTACCATCAGCTCGGGACGATTGGACATCATTCTGGAAAATGAATGTCCCAGTCCATGTGGTCTTCATAGACTTTAAGAAGACATTCCATCCGGTTCACCATGACTTTCTCCTACACAAAATAAGTCAGGAAGGTATATGCAAGCCACTTCTGTCGTATTTGACGGACTACCTGGTTGAAAGTAAATCTCGCACTAAGGTCAACCGAGTCCGATCATCTTAGCAAAGCTTCTGGAAGACTGCGCGGCGGCCAGTGGCATGACCTTCAACCTGAGAAAGTGCATAGTGGTGAGCTTACACACCTGCAGGCTGCAGAATGCAAGTTTCACCCTATGCAAATACAGTCTGCCCTGCACAACGTTGGAGCTCGACTTAGGTATAGTTCTGACGGAAAAAATGGACACAACGCAAACTACACGGGGAAAGAAGAAAAGACGCTTAGAAGAGACACAAACCTGGAAAGAGTCCAAAGAAGGGCGACAAAATAATAAACGTATAATGAAAGGCTAAAGAAATTAGGTCTCTTCACGCTTAGCTGCCGTCGGCTCACGAAGGAACTGATTACTGCCTATAAGATAACAAATGACGAGAATCACCCAAACAAAGGTGTTCTGCCATTGATTAGATATGGGTTTCCTCGTGGAAATCCTAGAAAGATAGCTCACCAGAGGGCAAAGATTCGGGTGCGCTCCCACTTCTATTCACTGCGAGTTTGCCGTCCCTGGGATTCCTCACCGGTAGATATGGCTATGGCACCGTGTGTGGACGCCTTTAATCGAAGGCTGGAAAATCATGTTGCAACACAAAGACTGCGTTCAAATAGCCTATCCCCTTAAAATCTCATACATCATTCAGAGTTAGACAACTAAGTTCGTCGTATATCTTCTTTATATTATCTCCCGTGCTACTCTCCTGACGACTCTAACTACTACACTTATTATTATTGCTGAAATATTTTCTATCTTCTAGTCTGAATAACTTCACTAACTGGTGAAAGGAACAACTCCATTCACAGCAACACACCATACTACAGATTGGATATTGAAGACCCTTTAGGTCACAGGTCCGGCTCGCCTTTCGGTTTCAGGGCCGTTTTCCAACCTGTTTGGTTGGAAATGAGTATGTCAAATATTTTTGAAGGGGACTTCAATTTCAAGTCCAATCAGTCTTTGGATACCCAAATAACAGCTTCCATCGACCGCGGGGACTTTCACCTGTCATTACTATCACTGATTTGTCTAATCATATGGACAATATATGTTTTATTCTACAACTCCAGGGTTGTAGGTCTGATTGTATCTACTATAGTGAGAAGATTTTTCAAAAATTGTTACGTCAGTATTGGTAAGACTTGAATTTATTCTCTGCATTTGTTAGGTTCAATATCTCTTTCAGTCCTCGGTGGAAAACTGATGTTGAGGGACTTTGTTTACGTAAATGACGACTATTCTATCAGATTATGTTATGTGATCGTCGTATTTAATTACTGGACAAGGTATTACCCTGAAAGAAAAGGTACGCCTCTAGTTTTACATATTTTTTAAAAAAAGTTTTAAATGCGTTAACTATAATGCCAGGTGGCATCTTTTAATGGAGATCATACGAATCTTTTGCAGACTATTGTGTTTTTCTGATTAACTTTCCCTGGGTCTTGACATGTGACTACCAGTTCTTTCAAGCCATTAATTCCTTTGAGATCTTATGGCCATATATATATATATATATATATATATATATATATATATATATAAATTGCGTTGGTGGCATACCGGTTAGGATGCTCGCCGACCATGCACATGGTCCGGGGTTCAATCCCCGACCACAGACGCACTCCTTTACCTCGCTAAGCCACAAATAATGCTGGTAAAGAGGAAAGGTTGGGCATCCTGTAAAATGAACACTGATAAAGAAACTTCAAGCCACTAGCCTGAAGCCCTATGTTCCACTGGAAACGTGAAGGAAAATAAGTATATATGTAACACCTTAAGACTCATTTTCTTTTTGAGTCATTAACTGGTGCGTTGAGATCTGTCATTTGGATATCTGTGTTATTTTAACTTTCCCACTCTTCATTCTTATGTTCGGATCCGTGCCGTAAATATATCTGATATGCTTTTCACGGCTGCCTTTTCAATCTTTTTAGGCATAATTCACTGGGTTGTGCTTACCTGCGCGCCAGTTACATTCACCTAATTATCTAAAGCCAATAAGTTAGCATCAAGAAATCCATTATTCGTGGATTTTTACTGTTGTTGTATTCAGTAATTACATGGAAGTATTGTCGTGTGCATATTTCACATAAAGTTGGTGTTTTGCATTTTCAAATGAATAATTATGGCCTTTGTCTCTTGCTCACAGAATTAGGACTAACATTTCTTGTGTATTGTTAGTAGTACCACTGCATGTTGATAAGCTAGGTCGTTCAGCCATTTCGATATGTTTATCTTCATCAGTATACGGTGTTTTGTGATTCATTTTCGGTTTACTTGTATTTTCTCTTTCTTTCCAGACACCTTACAAAAACGATGTCTGCATGTGTATCTCTATGGCGTTGATATTCACTTATATAATCGCACTTCTGTTTACAACATGTTGAGTAATATTTTCAAGCCGGATTATAATGAATCATCCGAGTTGTTATGTCGCCCAGCAAGTGCAACTGGAACTTCTAAAGAAACGTCTAAACTCATCACATCTCAGAAACAGATGAGTCACCAAGTCGAAATTTCAAGTGACCATGAAATGAGGTAAGCATCACCACTACCCAACGTTTTCCCACTTCATTTGTTTAATTGTCTTGCTTCAATAAAGTCTAAATGAACGCCTTGAAAATTTCTGGTTAAAATGAGTGATAACTTACAAATCTTTTTTTTCTTCCTCCTACTGGAAATTGAGGGGCTGTTTGCTCCTGCATAATTTTATTTTTAATATGAACTAACTTCTAAAACCAAGTTTTCACTAGGTTTGTCGTAATTTTCTCGCTGGTTCACATGTATACGAAGATTGTGTAAACTTGATTTTTGTACTTCCTACTCATTGTTATCTTCTGTTTTCACGAAAACGAGTCACTTGTTAGACGACATGGGACCAAATTTATTATCATTATGAATCTATTTCAATTACCACTCATTCATTAGCCTTGGGGAAACCATAAAACCTACAACACCATTAGTTCATTTCCTCTAAATCAAAATGAATACTTAAGTGCCAATCAGTGTATAAGACTACAACAACATACTTGATGTTGTAATAGTAGTAGTATTATTAGTAGTAGTAGCAGTATAAGTTCCGTTTTCTATATCAATCTCTGCATAAATGCTAATTCTTATTGGCTGATTGATTGGATTAGAAGCGTAAGTTCAATAACTTTGAAGACTATAAACTCTTATAGGTACTTTAAAAGAAGTTTTACAAATATATTCCGTCAAAAATAGTTTTGATGTAGTTTCTGATCATTCATCACAAACAATACTGTTACGGAAGTTGCAATTCAAAGTGTTGACCTTATGATAAGGATCATAATATTCGCTTAGTATGAGCGAACGTTCCAAATTTGTTACTACAGAGCATATTTACTAGGATTATATGGTTAATGATGACTAGCTTCTCGGGCGTATCTTCACTTGATAAGCTGTTCTACGGACTAGGTTATGAAACTCTATAACTATGAAGCTATCTTAGTGCAGTTTCTTTTTTGTACCGGACGATGTTCCGGTTTTACAATTTTTATTACTTTCGGTTGTTTTATTCACAAAGTAGTCGAATATTTTCGCCTTTACGCACCATTTATCTTTGAGTAAATTAATTTTTCTTGTTTCAGTGGTACTGCTTCCAGTTCGGGTATTTTAGACGCGTTTTGGAGACACGCTCACAAACTGATGCCTGCCATTAAATTTGATTTTGAGTTAGTAAGTTCATGACTTGTGTTTTCAGTCAGCTTTTTTACCGTGTCTTTTTGTTTCAGACTTGTAGTTTCCTTTCAGTCTGATTCGTCGGAATTTGGCTTTGAATTTTCTCAAATGTTTCTGAAAACATGATGTCGTTCAGTGTATCTTGTTTGCAAATATCCTTCCGGAACAAATTATAGATATTGTGTGCCGCTATACTGATCCACTTCTTTTACCCAAAAAGTGCTCAGACACCTGTGAACTCACGGTTCAAGTTCAGCAAAGTTATGCATCGTAAAACTAACAGAGTCGCAATGAGCAGTTCACCAAGTCTCATCTTAGCGGATATTTTATGGAGTGTCTTGGACAGTCTACTCAATTTGTTGTTCTTATTTTACTCAAGTTTATCATGGGGAGAAACTGTATAGTCCCACTTGGGTTAATGTCATTCATCATTAAATGTGTCCATTTATTACATTCAACATTTGTTAACTAAATTAGTTTATGGAGTTTTAAAAATCACTCGACCCCTATTTAATCAGCCAGTAGTAGTAGGTATGTTAGTGATGCTTATATCCTAATTTTGCAATGACTTGTCCTTTATGTTTATCTGTATTTTAGACTAAAATATGTGCTGGCAACCATCTGCTACCCAGAGCTTGCCTTCTCACTTGCAGTCGAATTTATGGCTCTTACAGTACTGGTGATGCTTCCTCTCAGTGGGATAAGTATCAACACCAAATCAAATCACGCTTTGTCAATATGATGGGCTCGCTTGTCGTAGTATCTAAATATTCAGGTCAGCATGCAGTCGAAGAGTGAGTTCTGAGAAATGCCCCGTTTTTTCTGCTGTATCAGTTATCGATTGTCGCACCTTATTCTTAATGCCATTCTTACTATTGCAATGATAATGTATTTCTCTGTACTTACAAATTCTGTTTTGACTCAATGGTAAAATGTAGTGCTCTCGGGGAGTTATATTCTATGTAGTTTGAAATCATATAAATTCTCAGTAGCAAAGATCCTGAAATGTAATAAATACAATGAAAAGTTGGTCAGAACGGGAGTCAGATCATTACTAGTCAAAACACACACTCCCTACGTTAATAGTTCAAATCGTAATGTTTCTTTTAGAACTTCCTACATCATGAGTAAAACGCCCACTGTTTTGTGAATCCATCAAGGTATGATGAGAAGCATTCTACCTATTATTGTTGTGTTTTTATCCAGGTACATGCTTTACATTCACATGTACCTTTTTGCCATGTTTAACTGCACATTTATAATGTATGTCCAAGGCGCCGAAGCTCGTGTCCCAGGAAGATATATCACTCACTAGGTGACAGCCTTCATCCTATCCGAATACGTTTAGAATCACGTTGGGTGGTGCAGTTACTTGGTGCTTGCGGTTCAGCGGAGATAGCGATTATCAAAGGGTCACGGGACGTCCAGAGGTTAGGTTCTAGAGTTATGCAGCGTGACTGCAGTAAATTCAACTTTTTAAGGCCTAACTAACATCATGAGTACAATAACATGGAGAGCTGGTTTATCGTTCGATACAATTGGGAATCCCATTCATCACATGGTCAAGGATATGGTTTCATGGGTTCCTGACTACTTCTAACTGTGTACTCCTATCAGTCTTGTGAATGTATTTTGTAATTCCGCAGTCTGAAGTCCATATCACTAATCAGCAACGTATTAAGCGCAATTTCAATGGTGTGTATATTACCGCACAGTTAAAGCATAACTTACAAATGGATATTTCTAAATAACCTTATTACAATATAACTTTGTATATACATATATATATATATATATATATATATATATATATATATATATATATATATATAAAGGCTTACCGTGGTTTGGTAACAATGTAGTATTTTAATTGTCAATGAGTTCCGATATAATATGCTGATGACAATTGCTTTCTCTCAGTATTCGAGATTAGGAGAAAGTTTGCCTGCCAGAAATTCACATAATATTAAACTCAACAAAGTATAGCTTAGTTGTGTTTCGTAGCTACGCTTGACGTATAAATTGATATTAGTTACGACACTAAAAAATAATGGATATAATTGTTTTGATTTGAACATCCTTTTGTTTTTTTCATTTTTCTACTGTAATATCACCTTACTTATGCTGTTTATAATAATTTAGCATCTCAGATTATTTTTCTGTAAGTACATTGAATTAAAAATATTGTTTTTTAACCCCATCCTTTTATTTTCTAATGCACATAGGCCACCAAAAAGCTGGGACAAAGCATTTCATGTATTTCATTTTGGAGAAGGCATGATTAACTACATACTAGACGAACCAGGTAAGCAAGGCTTCTTTTGAATAACTAGGGATGCAGTTTATTGTTGCTTGAGTTTTGTGTCAATCTGATGTTTGGATATCTCACAATTCATTGTTAATTTTGTTTCTGGAGCTAAAGGACATCTTCCTGTATGTTTGTTGAAGCTTAATTGATCCGGACAGATTTATCATGTACGAGGCCAAGAGCCACACTTATCCTATGAGGGCTGGTGATACTACCCAGTTGGCAAAGTTGAAGTAAGTGGAGCGAGACTCAGACCTATAACCCATCGGTTGAAAATCGAATGCTTAAAGCATTGAGTTAAATCATCACTCTTCCTTATACGTAGGACTTGTAATAACTTTAACCAAGTGATTGGATCATAAAACTATAATACTCATGACGGTACAGATCCAGCGTATTAATACACATGTTTCGTTTATATCACTGCCTATTTTTTTATGTCATTAAGGGTTATCTTCATCGTAGTTATTTGTGGACTGGCTATATCAATCTCTCATAATTTTATCTTCACATCTGTTCGCATCATAGATATCTATCAGCTGGCGAATCGTTGCAAGATGACAGAACATCATATACACCTTTTTCGTTTTAATTGTAGACTCCTAGACCATCCCATATACAAGATGGTTCCCAATTTGTGTGTGAAATACTTAGACTGTAAGGTTGCATGTGTTCTATATTTTTAGAGTGATCTTTCAACTAAGCTGATTTGTAATTACATAAAATTGTTCGACTCAAGAACGTCTATATGCCTGTCTACATGCAATCAATATACTTGATTTTCAAGTAAGATTTTTCACTGAAATTTATCGGCGTCATACAGTCGTCAGCGGCTTACAAATGAAGTATTTTAAGCGTATGTAGCGAATTTTATTTTATTATTTTCTACATAAGATAATATCGTGGTGAAGTATATTAAACTGTTTCTTGTTCGCTTCACTATATGTGTTTCATTCTAGTTTTGGTAGGGACTCGAATACAGACATCTCCTTGCAAAGTGATGATAAACAAAAATAAGTATTCGATTGTTTTTTCTTTCTTTTTTGAGATCTAAGATCATGTAACTAATGCATTCTATCTACTGTCACTTAAAAAGAAGTGTGGTTGATTAAATATCGTATAATTCTTTACTATTTTGGCATGGTTGTGAGTCGTTCTTTCTTTTCTTGCATCCTATGTTTGTAGAAAAAGTACTTGATTGCTAATTTAGCTTGAAGTTTACTTATTCTTCGGTATTTTCAAAAAGTTAACCAAACAGTAGTCTGTTGGATTGAATTTATTTTGATCACAATGATGTCTTTGTCAATGAGATGCTCACTGGCGACTGGCCCTATTCAAGTAGGTAGTTACCTGGGGTTCCAATGGGAATTCGTGACCAGTAGGGTGCAGCAGGCCGGGTGTGAGAACAAATACTCGTCGAAGACATTGGCTGGCGATCGCGCTCTATCGTGCATTAGCAGAAGTTAGAATTCATGGACCGGCCATCGGATCGGGTCCCAGTGGCTCGAAGGTCGGCGAGGTCACCTTGTAACCAGAAGGCCCTGGGTTCGAACCGCGGTGTGTGCGTACTGATGAAGAGTCTCAAACTAGGACGAAACAGCTGTCCAGTACTCCCAGGTTTTCCAGTAGTTCTCTAACCAATGTCAACTCATGATGAAATCCTGTAACCAAAATCAATATTGTTCCAGACTTACTTTTAAACTAGAATCTCCTGGATAGTTCTCTCCCTTGGCCTTATCTAGTAGTCCATTATATAGATCCACTTATTACACATGAATTCTATTAAAATTGTTTTCCCAACCCCCCCTCTCTTTCACAGGTATTGCAACTTCAGAGTGTGAAAAATTAGAATTGCCTACAAATGATACAACTGTCCTGCGAACATGGCCTAAATGGGAATTACGTGTTGATGTAAATAAAGTGTGTCAACTTAACTATGGTCCATGGGCTGATCGTCAACGGTGAGTGTGTGTCTTCGTTTGCTATTTGTCTTGGTTTTCTTCCAACAAAAAAAGCACAGTGACAGTTTTATGCTCAAACTGAGTTTTCTTGACATTTCAAGTGTTGTATTTAAATGATTCCGTTTGAAGTTGGCGTAAATATGTAAATACTGTTCACTTATTTGTTATGTGCATTTAGCATAAAATTTCGAAAATGATATGCAAAACATGACCTGTTTTTTATAAAAAACTTTTTGTGAAACATTTCCATCTCAAATGCCATTTTATGTTATTGTTATCATAACTAGAGATTCGTGTTTTACCGAATGCTTTTTCCAGGCGTTAAGTTCCGAAATTATTCTAAAGGGATTATGGGGACATAACTCTGAAATTTAGTCTTTTTATTTATTTACGCCATCATGTGTTTATGAATAGAACAGATTTTCTGTTTGCTTTTCTTTTGTCATTTATTTATTTCTCTTTTGTTTTCTTTTTCCTCACATAGGGATATTATCTGGCGATTTTTCTTTCCACCATCATATCAAATAGCCAAACCCAGTGAACCTATTTCTGTAGGTCAGCCTAGGGTTGCTAAGAAATTCGTTTTTGAGTTGAAGACTTCAACAAATATCGACTTAAATGTTTACTTTACAAGAAATAATATCGTTGAAGTAAGTTGGATTAATAATAATGATAATTTTGAATGGTCGTTGGCTACAATTGTTTTTGGTGTATGTAATAGGCTAATATATAAAGTTATTGGTCTGTAAATACATTTCATAGAGAACCAGACAGGTTTTAGACCAGGAAGAGTGTGTATTGATCATATCTTCACCCTTCGATGGATTCTGGAACATAGACATACTTACCGGTGTCCAAAAGTCGTCATGTTTATCAACCTGAAAGCTGCATTAGATTCCGTTAATCGAGAGGTTCTGTGATGATGTTTAGCTATGAAGGAAATGCTGAGGAAATACATTACACTCACCAAGAGACTCTATTCGAACTCAGGCAGCCAGGTGAGAGCCTACGGAGAATTGTCATCTGAAGTGATGACAGCCAGTTGCACCTGTCACGGATGACCGCTGTACCCATTTCTGTTTAATTTCATCATAGATGTTCTGATAGACTTAACTCTAATTGACTTCAGACACTCAGGTAATAATCTCGTTGGCTTAGAATATGCAGATGATATAATCCCCCTAGGTGAAGATACTGACATAATACAGAGTCTCCTGAAGACCTTGAGGAGCAGCAATCTGTGAATGTTTAGCCTGCGATTCGCTCCCGCCAAATGTTAGATGATGCTACGGGACTGGACTGCTTAAAGATAGGGAGGCAGTGAAGTGGTGGAGCGTGTTTACCACTTCACTTATTTAGGAAGTCGTATCAACCAACGCCAATGGGTTGATCTCTGACAAAATCTCAGCATGGATGCAGAGGGCTTATTTGGCATACACCAACTTATGCCACCTCTGATGTAGACGTGATATCCGTCCGGCTTTCGACCAAAGTACGTGTGTACTGCTCAGCAGTGTGCTCCGTCTTCCTTGATAGCTGCGAGACATGACCATTGAAAGTGGAAGACATGAAACGCCTACCTAGGTCTCTTTGATCATTGGTGTCTTCGTTCTATCTCCCATGTTATGTGGTAGGTGTATTAGGGTGGGAAATATTTGAGGTATTACGTCGAGTGCTAGATAAGGATGGGAATCAATCGACGGGTTTGTGGAGTTACACCGATTGAGATGGTTTGGACATGTGTTACGTATGCCTAGTCATCGTCTTCCTCGACTGGCAATGTTTGCTGACACAGGATTGATCAAGTTGGAAAAGAGTTGGCGGTGGTGGTCGAACCACAACATGGCTTCATCAGTCAATGAAATCCACAACATTTAGTTTAAGCCAGCCAGCCACGTCTGGAAGTGTAGACTGGCTTCCTTGTTGAGGTCCTCTGGATGGTGAAAACCAATGAAGGATGGAGACAATTTGTGATATGGCTCAAATTCGTTCTCAATGGTTGGTGCAGATGCATTCACTCTTCATGATTTGTCATATCTAATAAAATTCTACTGTTTTTCCATATTACTATTCTTTTTGCCTCACATTTCTGTTTGTTATCTGTTATCTTTTGAATTTCCCTTTACTTTCTCCTCTTGCTTTGTACGTTACATGAAAGGAATGTGGCAAATGAAACTGCTGCACATCTGTGCGAAGTTCTATGTTGAAACCAGTCAGTCAGTCAGTAGATAAAGTTTATTACCACTGATTCTCTTACCTTTTTATTTTTCTCAATAAGAATATTTTTTTTCTCCTATGAATATGCACTTTGAAGAAGAATATATTTTTGGATCTCTTTCCTAACAGCGTGTGGTATTAAACATGTCATGACTAACGAACTCTTGAAATCTGCATTGTCACTGTAGGTCTGCCACCTAAGTTAGCATTGTATTCACGTATACTGCGTACTGCTTATCCTATTTTACATTTTAATCTGGCTGATTTCTTACATATTAAATTTTTAAAAAACTCGAAAAGGAAAAATTGATCAAGATTTAGATTTTTCAAGATCAGCAGCTAGGTATTTACGTCATTTGATAGGAGCTTAATTTTTATTTATTTATTGCAGATGTACCATTTTAATAATTTATTTAGTGGATGTGTAGTAATTTCTTCTTCATTTTATTCCTCCTTTGAGTTTTGAGTGGAACATTAGGGCTTCAAGCTTTGAAGTTTCTTTCAGTAGTAGTGGTGTAATATTTTGAGGGGTGAGGTTGCTAGTATACTATATTGTGTATTATTAAGTGTTATACTTCTTGGTTGATATATTATTTTTCTGTTTATGCTTTTATTATATAGTCTCTGAAGCTGTCAGGATTTCCAAATTCAATTATTAAACTGAATATACCATGGTTAATCGGTCGTAATGGCTTTATTACAACTCTACACGTGAATCTAATTAAAAGCAGTTTAATCACTGAACATTTATGGCGTAATCTATTGACTAGTGATCAGTATGTAAATTTAGATTTAAAAATGCACTATCCAAGAGAATGGAATATGCGACATTTATGGGATATTGCTATAGATATTCGGGATGCACAATTAACCATATTATTTGATTATAAACATTATTTTAAAGGTGATTATTACTTATGTTATGATTTGCTTGAATTATTACATTTATATATGTAAAAGTAAATGATTTTGCCATATGGCTTATACTATTTTGCTCTATAAGTATGTATTTTGAAAACATTAGCTTTAGGCAGGTAGTTTTTGCTGATATTTCGTGCCATTTATTCACTTTATAAATTTGAATAAAGGATAACTATTGAGGTAAAGAGAATACTCACAAGCATTCCTACCAAGTCCTCAATATGGACTCATTCGAAGGTATACTATTATAATGTCATCAAAACTCTGAATGGTTAGTTAAAAGAGGTCAGAAAATTCGCGTACTTATAATGTAGGTGCATAAGCATACAAACACAAAAAAGGTGGATCGAAATAGAAATTTCCTGGGCATCGAGGAAAATATACCATAGTTGATATCAGTATTCTGAAAAGTGAGTATCTACATTCACATCAGATTAGTGAATATAAACCAAAAATGATAAATGGTGATTAGCAGGGGAATCCAGGATGCGCATTTCGCCCTATTTGGGACTCATCAGCCGGATGTACCTGCATTTCCCAGTGAGTGATTATGTTCCCACCCGTTTCACAAGAGGTGACTCTCGTGGCCCAAGTGATCTAGTGGATAACGCTTTTGCGTTTGAAATTATGGGCACTGGGTTCGAGCCTCGGACGAAATGCGCATGCTGGATTCCACTGCTAGTCACCATCCACCAATTAAATTCTAATTAAATGCCCAGACATCGTCGAAGCATCTGCACAAGAAGTTGACATGTCAACCTGAGCACTTCGGTTCAATCAATCGACGGGAAAATCTAAAATTCAACTAAAAATAAACCAAAAATGGTTCGAATAGTACTGATTTCAGCATCAGAAGTATAAGCATGAAGAAGAGCATATATATTAGCGAAATTTCTATGCATAACTGAAGAAGTAAGCAAATCTTTGCGCGTAGAAGCGTAGAATTTGATTTTTTTTTCAATTGCTACCGTTTCCGCCAATTATATTCACTCTGAAGAAAGTTTCATTGCAACCTCAAACTTCTCTGTAACTCGGATATTACTATTCAAAGTTGCAATTCCCCTGTATTCAACAGACAGTAACTACCAATGAATTGTTTGGTTACCAAAAAACTATTGATTGACTAGTGGATCAACGTAGATCTCAACACGAAATCACATTGGTTCAAGTTCCCATACTCCTTTATTTTTGTAGTTATCAAGAGCTATACTCAAATTTTATCAATATAAAACAGTTACTAATTGTTAATTACAAATTTGGTCACTGAATTTATGATGTGTCTAGATGTATGTATGGGTAATCTGTGTGATCTCCATTAATAGTTAAGACTGGTAGTTAATTCCTTGAATTTATTTCCTTATTTATATTGGATTTTAAATTATTATTTTGAAATTTTCCCCATTTTTTTATATTAGGTCTCATAGATGACTGGTGCCGGGGTTCGCATCCAGATCTACTTAGTTTTGTTCCTTGTACGTATAAATTTCATATCAAATCGAACAATTTGGATTTTATTCTACTGGCCAACGATTACAACTGGATATCGAAAAAAGGAGAAAATGGTATTTGTATTTTTAACTTTTTTTTAACATTTCTGTTACAGCTCATTTAGGATTTCGTGCAAAGAAATTAATGCTTACATTCGATTTACCATTTGTGGATTTCTTACCGGCTACAGTGCCAGTTATTTATACCATTGAAGTGAGTTATCATTAAAATTAAATTAGCATAAAAGAAGATTCAATATTAAATAACGTATTTATTATTATTTCCCATGGTAGGAAATACGAAAAATCTGAGTGGAACATAGGGCTTCAACAACACATCTCCACTTTGTACTACTATCTGCTGTCTTTTTAGCTGGACCTACGATTGCCCATAATTTCTCACCTCCTTCTCACACGATCTCCTCCATGTCACCCTGGGACGATCCACTCGTCACTCCCCATTCGGGTTCCACTTGAGGGCCTGGCGGGTGATATCATTCGACGGCCTTCTCAGCGTATGCCTAATCCATCTCCATTTTCTCCCATATATCTGCGGAGCGATAGGTTCTTGGTTAGTTTGTTCCCAAAGTTTCTTGTGGTTAATTCTTCCCCTCCGGCCATCTGATCTTCAGTATGGATCAAAGGCAACTGTTGATAAAAGTCTTCAGCCACCTGTTGGAAATGCTTTTCGTGATGCGTTTTCCAAGTTTCTAACCCATATAGAAGAAGCGACTGACTTGACATTGATGTTGAAAATTCAAGTCTTCTTTATGCTACGAAGTGCAGAAGGTTTCCAAACTGATTTCATCTTGCATTTTCCATTCCGGTTTTGATATCTTCATCCGTTCTCCCTGTAGTCGAAATAATGCTTCCTAGATAAGTGAAGGAAGTAACCTCTTTCAAGTTTCTCCTGTTGGTAATGATTCGTGATGTTTGTTGTTGCTGTTGGTTAGCTATCTTTATCACCTCCGTCCATCTGGAGTTCTGTCTTTGCTGCTTCTTCAGCCAATGTTTTGGTTTTTACCTGAAAGTCATCACGCCTGTGTGACATTAGTGAATGTAGGAATAGTGACATAAGATATAAAGGTCATTTTATGTACTTGATGTGTGAATGATGTAACCACAAATAACATCAAATAATGCTCGTATGTGTTAGATAAGAATGCTTGTGTGAGAATGGTGAGTATTGGTAATTGAGTTTTCCTGAGTGGGGCAAATTTATTCGTAAGTACTGGTTTTCTCTTGGTAGCCAGTTTGGTATCTATAGTTATAAGAAGCGTACTCATTGATTATAAATCTAGGTAAATTAGCCAGAAACATAGGTTACTATATTCGATGGATTTCTTATATGGTGAGAAGACCGCTGAGTGGCATCGCGCGCCAGTCCCTTAAGTAGAATCCAAGTGGAGAATGGTAACTTTGGCGTCTGAGAATGACATGAAGGAGATGACAGCTTATGGGCAATGGTGGAGCCACCTAAACAGAACAGAATGAGAGCAGGATAAAACAGAAACGTGCTGCTGAAGCTCTGTCCTGCACTCAGAATCCAAAGGAATAATAATAATCCCCTTCATTTGGCATCTTTCGGCTGTGCATTGTACAACAGCTGGTTACTTTTCCCTTTTAAACCAGATCTGTTGCATCTTATTGTGATCTACTGATTTCTGGAATTTGGTTTCATTTGTTACGTTGCAGGTGTCAGTCTAACTTTTTCTAGCTTCGCTAACACGTAGAAACAATTACAGCTTATGACTATTTCTGTGTATTTATGTATAGTTAATGTGTTGCATGTGATAGTGTTATGTTCTATTTTCATGATTTCTTTCAGGGTTCATCTGTCTCACTTCGGTTTTCTATACCTGAAACTAGTACATTACATTATTTAATACAAGAGCTTCACAATCGTTTGAAATTTGTAAATGGTCGTGGTCAACTCCAAAAGTCATCACCATTTCATTCTAGTATTCAAGAGATGAAATTGTATAACTCAGAATCTAAAACGTAAGATAATTTATTGTGCTCAATTCACAATCTGATTTACATTAAAAGTTTCACTTGAACATGTATATTTCACATTACGGTTCTCTCCTGTTCATATTTAGCATTAACAGTTTCATTTAAAATTATTTGTTTGACAAGCTTCTAGATTTTACAGCGACCAAAACCTATGGGTTGTGGTTTGAACGCTGAAAATCAGTCCTTGCATCCTACTGCTATATAGCTAACCAAAACTTCTTTGAGTGACTCACAGTCTCAAAGTGCCCCTTACAATAGCAAAAAGGCAGTCATTCACGATGAAATCTGTGATACTTATTTAAAAATAATAATAATATATCAAAAACTCAAAATTACATCATCAGTACCGTTAGGCAGCTATACAGATCAGAGAATTCTTCAGAACAAAACAAATACAGTAGAACAAAAATCGACTGTAAGAAATACCTAAGGATCAAGTACGATATTCCCAGCAAGAGGGAGTCAAATCAGCTAGAATCTCGTATCAAACACTTTCAGCAGACATTCGATGGCCAACTCTGACTTCATTCAAACAAAATCCCAATCGTAAAACAACACATTATTAGCGCTATCACACTACCTCAAAGAGAAGCGTCTAAATTAGGGATTACACAAGTATAAAGACATATAATGGTGATTAGGTTAATAGGTAATATACGAATGTTGGAAGAATGATGTACCACTTGGAAAGAAATAGGAAAATAATTACAAAGTTAGTTGAAGCAAGCATCCAAATAAGTATCAGTATTGTAATTAGATTGCTCAGGAGATATTTTCAAACAATTATTCCGTTACATTCGTACTTTGATGAGCAAAGCTGAAGTATGTAAATAAAGTATATCTATTCTTATTCAAGCGATTTTACAGTATATTAATTAGTTTCTATACCCCTTTATTACGAACCAATAACAGCCAGAAAAACTGTTGAAAACCAACGTTTCCTGATTATAATTTAATAATTCCCATTGTAGCATTAAGAACACAATATTCAGCGAAGAGATTCTTTTCAACGAATTTATTATCAAGCCGTACAATCATATATATATGGTTTTTTTAAAGAAATTATATCCAGTGAGGGAATTAAGTCAAAGGTGTGAATACATGAAATACTAATAGTATGAAATGCAATTAAAATATTTGTGATTATAATCATAGTTTAATGTCAAGTGGAACAATAATTAATGTCATGTATAGATTTTGGAAAGAGGTATATAATTATAATATTAGTATACGAATATAAAATGTTACATAACATGGTGTAAAATTTGAAAAGATAGAATGTAATATTGTAAAAATAAAAAGTATACAAATCAATAATTTTGGGTTTAAAATGTCAAGTGGGTCAAGTGGAAAGGATTCAGAGTGAGTCGTAATAATAATAATAATCGAAGTAATAAGGGAAAGTACATAGAATAACTAAATAAACAAAATAAATAAACGTCTATCCCTCTACGGCCAAGGCAGAAGTAGGGATTGTACGTAGTTCTTTTGTACACAAAGGTCTGGCTTAAAGTCATGAATTGCCAAGGCCTCAGCTGTCTTTAGAAGTCTGTAACGAAGAAAACGCTGGAAGTTACTATGGATTCTATATATGATCTTGAAATCATGGTGAGGGTTGACCGAGTGACAGAAGTCGATCAGGTGTTCTAGAATCGAGCTTCGCACATATTTTTTTTCTCCCTTGTAAAACCAAGCTGGAATATGTTCTCGTATCCGTGTGGAGAGCGTTCTCTATAAAATTCTATCTTGTCAAATTTCACACAATGTTATGTAACATTTTATATTCGTCTACTAATCTTATAATTATATACCCCTTTCCAAAATCTATACAACCTTAAGTATTATTCTATGTTTGTTTTTCCTTCACGTTCCCCAGTGGAACATAGGGCTACAAGCTGGTGGCTTGGTGTTTCTGTAGCAGTGTTTGTTTTACAGGATGGGGTTGCTAGCGTCATACCTAACCTTTCCTCTTTACCAGCATTATTTCTAGCTTAGCGAGGTAAAGGAGTGCGTCAGTGGTCGGGGATCGAACCTCGGACCATGTGCATGGTTGGCGAGCGTCCTAACCGCTATGCCACCGACGCACAAGTATTATTCTATATATGACATTAATTATTTTGCCACTTGACATTAAACTATGATTATAATCGCAAATATTTTAATTGCATTTCATACTATTATTGTTTCCTGATTAGACGTTTCATTCTAGTTCTACAGTGATTTCAGCAGTGGAGTGATTAGTATGGGCTGATATCTATTTCAAGATAGTTCCTAGACAACTGACTGTTTTCCATAAATACCTTGGAAAGTAGTCAAGATATTTAGGCTGATAATCACTTTCAAATGCTTTGGGATATTGTAGATCGTGAATATCTGAACCTCTGTCAAATCAAATTGTTTATTTGTGTAAAACTGATATGCGCCAACTTTTGAAAGTAGAAATGTATTTCGAACTTTTCCGTGCACATTTTATGTTCTAATTCACGGATTATCCCCGTCCAGGCATTAATGAAAACAAAACACCCAGTTCAGCGAAGAGTGTCTTTTCGGCGAATTCATTTTCGTGACGAACCCACGAAATTTGTGTTCAATTATTCCACATTTTATGTCTCTAAGTAAATAATTGGGTTTCCTGCAATCAAAGATAAAAGTTACTGTTTAGATTTAAAGACAATTAAGTAGGGAATACATTTGTCAAACCTAATTATCCACAGTATTCAAGATTGTCTTGCCTTCATCTAACACTTTCGTGCTCCTCTGTTAATGTAAATAAATCCCTTAGTATTCTTTGTATCTTTTTATTTCCAGAATTAATCTTCAATGGTTTGATTGTGGTTGGGCACCTCGTATCAGCCTTCGAATTGCCTATGTCTATCATCCATCACCATGGGTATCTGAGTATTGGCATTTTCTTCCACCTGACTTCAAGATGACCGTAGCCTCTCCTAAAGGTTCACTTTCGACTAATCCATCTTATCAACGCAGCAGTCGTAAACTAGGCGGATCAAAACACACAAATGTTTCAAACCAACAAAGCACAGAACTATCTAGTCAAGTGAGTGTTGTGTTTATTCCCCACTGCGAATATATGAAATTTTCTGTTTTTACATTTACTGAAAACCTTAAGCGTAAACTTTGACGTTATATAGAGATCAACTTTTATGTTCTCATTCTCTGAAATATATAGTACAACATAGATATGTTTGATAAACTCGTTAGTAGTTATTGCTGTACTTTGTACAATTAATGCTTATGGGGAAACTGATTACCCCGAAAGAATTAAAAATCTTGTATATAATTCCCCAGTACTTAAGATTAAAAAGTTATTATTATTATTGTTCCCTTGGGTTCCTAGTGGAACATAGGGCTTCAACTCCACGTCTCCACTTGCTTCTGTCTTCCTTCTGCTGTACTTTTCACCTGCATCCATGCATGTTAGTGCATACTGTTTCAACTCATCTTCACACGATCTCCTCCATGTCAACCTTGCACTGACGTCCCACTCACCGCTTCCCTTTCGGATTCCACTTGAGCAATGGCCTCACGCGCGCGCGATGTCACCCAGCGGCCTCCTCAGCGAGTGTCCATCAATCCATCTCCACTTCCTCCTGCATATTTGTTGGGTGAGCGACTGGTTCTTGTTTTGTTTGTTCCCAGCCATAGTTTCTTGTTGGTGATTCTTTCCGGCCCGGCCATCTGATTTTCAGTATAGAGCCAGCGAAGACAGTTGTTGGTAAAGGTCTGTAACCTGTTGGAAATACTCTTTGTGACATCCATTCCATCTTCTCTCGTAGATTCCCAATACTTCTATTCTATACCTTCTCATTTCTGCGGCTACCTGGGCAGCCTTTCCAGTTTCGTACATTGTACGAACATTCCAGGTCCCCATCCTTATTTTTGCTTTCATCGAAAGAAGGCACATTGGTTGACTGGCTCCCCATATCTTTCACCAGCCTGCGTCACTTCACTTCCCCGATTCCAGCGAAAAATAAGGTTATTGTTTATATTCTTAGTATTTTTTAAATATATTTATGCGTTGAAGATTATGTAGTTTTGGGGGTGGAATTGCTGGCACCTCGCCCCAACCCTCCCTCTTTATCCGGGCTTTGGACCGGATAGAAAACTAGCTAGCTACTAATCTAGTCGAGGTTCCATTAAAAAGTTAATTAGTACAGTTTTATGATTGCTGATAATTTCTTTGTTTAATAAATATTTATTTCTAATGAATTACTATCCACTGTGAACTAATTTCTATTCACATTAAACTTTTCTATCTTACAGACAGACTTAGAAGAGTCAGCACTTCAAAAACTTCGACCAGAAGGTAGTCATACACAAGGTCCTACAGAAAATGATATACTACAGAGTAAATGTGATGTTTTCTCTTCTCTAGAACCAGATACAGTTGATTTACATTTGCATATTCCATCTGCACAATTACTCTTCTATGGAACATTACTTCGACATTTCATTCATGTGAAAGTGAGTTAATAAATATTTTCTTTTTAAATTTAAAAATGTATATGAAGATTTAGTAAACAATTCAAATTTTACCACCTTTCATTTTTTCAGTTCATTAAATTCGGTTATTATTATTATTATTATTATCGATTTAGGACATACACTGCCGTATTGATCAAACTTTGACTTTTTCTGTCCGTACTGGAATATCCACTCACTGGTATCTCACACTTACCATTCTTCTGGATCTAAGACCAGAATCTGATTGGGTTTCTCGAATCATGTATTGGCAATGTTCGGATTTTGAACAGAATACTTCACAATTAAAGTATGCACTGAAGATGTTGCCTAGGAGGGCAATGAAAGCTTCTCGAGTAAACTGTCCAGCTTACAGAACATAACTACAGCAAAATCACTTATATGAATTACAAATCTTCTCAATTATATCTACCGAGAAAGTATTTTATGCTAATTGACGCCTTCCATTCAGACTAATTTAGCCGTGTGGAAGCTTATTTCAATTAACGTCCTAAGTGACTGCATGTAGCAGTGTTCATCAGCGATGTTGAGTTTCATAGCTCTTGATCAATTTGTTGTAATTATTTGATTTTGACCTTTTAGAAACCGTCTTGTTCTATTAATGGTGAACTATAAAATTTTTTAAAAGTATGAATATGGTAATCTCTTTGCTTTCTCAGCAAAATTTTAAAATATTGGCTTTTCATTTCTGTCACTTAGGAAAACTATTTTGGATGTCATCAGATACCTGTTAGTTTTGATCGTGAACCTCTTCAACCAGAAGAAAGCACATCTCTTACTGATGATGATTTAATTCGATTGAAATCTCAAGCAAAGCCGCCTGACAAAGATGAAGATTTAAGTAAAGTTAATAAACTTCCTGAGAAGCGTATTATAGATCCAAGAGATTGTCGTCCTCTGTCTGTGCGTGTTTCACTTGAATTTCATAACGTTCAGGCACATCTGCCTATGGTGAGTGCGTATCTGTACTTGTCAAACCTTTTTGTTGTTGTTACTTTTTTTTACTTAATTATAATGAGCCTTCCATTATAATGGAGGTTTTGAGGAAACAGTGTATGACACACAGGGGATGATGATGCCCCAATCTACATAACCTTGAGGTTGCTTAAAAGCAGCCATTGAGTCTTCATTCATTCATTCATTACACTTGACGATTTATTTTTTTAATTGATAGTAGGAAGTTTATTGGTGATCAGGCGTAGTGAAAAAATGTAACGTGCATCTTTTTTTTCAACACAGCCAGCTAGCGTGCTAGAGATTTTTTTAACGATTCAATTTTCTAACAACAATTAACATGCTGGTAAGAAAGATTGTGTCCGATTCGTAATGAATAAACAATTTGAAACAATTAATTCTCTTTATGAATTTTGACAAAACAATAGGAAGACGAACGTCATTGATAGTAATATATCTAATCAATCAAATCAAGGAATGAGAAATAGTGGAAGTATATGAACAAAATTTTTAGAATTATGTCAGTGTCTTGACACGATTATGAGGAATAAATTGTGCCTGAAACGTCATCAATATCACTGTTTTTTTACCAAATAGAATTATTCCTGTAGTAATTTAGTGGGCTGTGACTAACAGTGGAATCGAGGATGTGCATTTCATCCTGTTCGGGACTCATCACTGGATGTACTTGCGTTCCCCGGTGATTGGTGATATCTCCATTAAGGGTTGAACCCAGTACCCATCGTTTCAAACGTCGAAGCTCTATCCACTAGACCACTTGGGCGATGAGTGGTCTAGTGACGAAATGCTCATCCTGGATTCCACTGAGAGTCATCATCTACCAAACAGCTTCAAGTCAAATCCTCATGCACGCATTATCGAAGCGTTCGCGCAAGGGGCCTTGATCTCAACAGAGACTGAACACTTCGGTTTCATTCAATCAACGAAGAAGACCAAATTGAATCAAATAAACATCTTATGATGGAATTATACTCTACTTCAGAGGCTATATTCTATTTTTATATCAATGTAACGGGACATGAAGGATCAAAATGTTATCAATATAGGCGACAATCACAGACAAGAAGTAGGGAAATGAGGTAAGAGAAAGAAAGGGGGGGGTGAAAATATTATTCAGCAAAATAAACCTCGCTTTTTAAAATTGTATTATCAACGTGGGGTCATAGTGATAAGGAATAATTTTTGAACACAAAACAGCTTCGAGTATATGACCTAAGCCTCTTTATATGTAAATTTAAAGGTGTTATTGAAATAAATTTTGTGACTCATGTGTATGATGTGAATAGTGACAAATGACTTTGGTCATCTATTTCCATGGTTAATTGAATCAGGCGATTTTACTTGTTATCGCTGCCACTAAGAATGTATTCTGTAGTCTTGACCTTCAGAGACTGATTGGTGTTCTCTATGTGCATGTAAATTGGTAAACGTAGTGGAATGCAAAATTATCTCTCAGATGTGTGAAGTTTCACATCACAACACAAATTTCGTTCTCCCTATAAAAAATGAATTAAGCTGTATAGTACCTTCTGTTGAATTCCACTTTTTGTTTTCTTTTGGTGATCATACAATGATGATCGCTCTTGAAGGGCAAAGATAATATAAACATCCCTTTTTAGGAGCCGATCAGATCAGTGGAAACCTTTCATTTGAGACTTCTGTAGCGTCTAAGCGATTTCAGAATGGGGCTATTGTCTATTACTGTTTTACTGAAGTTCTACATTTCTTCAATGGCGTCCTTTACACATGTATACTGAATACGTCGGAACAATGAATAAACCATTAGTTGTGAATTGTTCTACTCGCTAACGTCAGATATTTTGACGCCAAGGAAAAAAAACAGGACATGACTGTACTGCCCAAAATAATCATTCTTCATTATGTATCCATATTTGATTCCGTGTACTTTTCTATCACAAACGTGTGCAATAGGAAGGGGGATGTAGTACCTAAACACAAATAGGCTCAAAATCAACAAAAATAGAAACTTAAATTTCAGTATTCGAACAAAACGTGCGTCGGTAGTTCAGTGACAGAGCACTCACCGGGTTCAATCCTCGGCCGACCCCCTTCGAACAAAACAAGGTGGTAAAAAGACAGAGTTAATAACCCACTACTACGACTACTAATAAGATTTACTTTTTATATGTTCAGTACATCTATAAAGGCTTTCTAATTTTTTCTTTTCAGCATGGTTCATCTAATGAGTCGCCCTGCCCAACAGCTTTTCTAGATTGTATTGGCTTTGAAATGGATAAACGCTGGCATGAGACAAAGCTCCAGTTACTCTTCTCACCAATTTTAATATGTTTTTATGATCAAAATAAGGTAAAATTTAGTAAATATTAGATTCATGCTCCATTCATCTTTTATCTCTTTTGAATTATTTTACCCATAACATTTTAAGTAGAAGTATCCATTTTATTCAAAGAAGTGGAGGTTTTCCGTAAAAGGCTATCATTTGAATTTTTACATATTTTTCAATAATCCGCTAGCAAGTGTTTGTATTCACTAAGTTTAAGAAAACTATACTGTCGATATAAGTATATGAAAGAAGACTACTGTGAGATTGTTTATTCTTCTGTGTATTTTGAAAGTTCGTTCAGCACTTTGTTACGTAGTATTGTTGGATGGTTGTATCGAGCTGTGGCTCATTTGTCTAGGTGCTTGACTTCCAGTCAGTGAGTCATGGTGTAACGACAGAAGACAAGGGCCAGGCAACAGATCGTTTATTGAGAAAATCAAGTGATATTTATAAATTTTTATCGTCAGCAGAGAAGCAGCGTCTTCTGATTGATTGTTTTCTTGCTGAAGATTATTCTGTTATCTCTTTGCGGCAGTTTCTCAGAAAATCAAGTCATATATCTATGAATCATATTTCCGCACTTTAACTCGCCTATGATTGGCTGGTGATTCTCTCAAGGTTAGGCTTTGTTATTGTTTTTCTCATGACTCTGATTTGGGGCGTGAACATTGACGTAAACTGTTGTCTACAATTTTGGATTGCAGCCGGCTCTCACCACAATTGGTTCGGACCCTGTTCCACCTACCGAGGTTAAAGCAGCGAAGTAGTATAACTAGCTCTCACACAATAGGTATGACTCATCATTTTATCTTGATTTATCTGTTGGATTTACATATTTACTTCTCTTCAAGCATTCAGACAAAACCAGACAGAGGGGATCTGAACATGCCGTTCATGTTTTTGTATTGTGTCATTGTCAATTTAGAAGTGACAGATTTCTGACTACGAATGAATGACTTTATCTTTTAGAACGAATACGTTATCCACAACCTGACCTTCTGTTATAACTGTAGGGAATTCAAGGAAGACGTTTTCACCTTGCTCTGTCTGCGCCTGAACTAATCTGCCTATCTGCTTGTCGTACCTTCCGATTTAGTAAAGCACGCAAATATCAAAAGACAAAGGCTGGACTGTGACTGTGTATTGAAGTGCAACAACGACAAAGAAAGCCATGGTATTTATACATTTTACAACAATATGGACAGCTAACAGCATTTGAAATAATTTATCTTAATAGCCAATAACAAAGTGCGTGAGAGATGATAATATACCATATGTGCGAGATTGACAGTCAATAACAAAATGTGTGGGAATGATAATATACCATATATACAAGATTAGCAGTCACTACCAAAATGTGTGAGAATGATAATATACCATATATACAAGATTAACAGTAATACCAAAATGTGTGAGAATGATAACATACCATATATGCAAGATTAAACAGTCAATACCAAAATATGTGGGATCCTATCACCTCTCCCCGTAAAGAGTGTAGGACTTGCTTTTTGGATCTATTTGAAAAGGTTTCGGAGCTCTTCTTTGTCGAGTTGACCTTTGCGTGGTACTGGATAGAGCGTGATCTGTGTGTCTGACACATAACTGTCCTTTTTCATTCGTACGATAATGCAGCAAGAATTTATCCAAAATTTCTTCTGTTGTTCCCTCCCCCTTCGCTTTTGCATAAGCACGCTTAAAGGTGTCGACGAAACGTTCAGTCTGTCCATTCGATTGGGGATGATACGGGGGGCTACGAATATGCTGGATGCCAAACAGTTTGCAGCAACCAAGTTTGTCCTGGAAGACAGAAGCGTGCTTTTGACGACGGCGTTGCAAGAGAGATTGATCAGATACATCTCCGGGAACAACGTTGTGTGGTGAAGACGAAACATTAGAGCATACTGAATTTAATGGTACATTAAAGATATGGAGCTTGTCTAACCAGTCAAGACCAAGCAAATTCAAATCATGGTAGTTTGTAACGTAACATACACCATTGAAGTGATGCTCACCAAACTGAACCTGGCAATTTATCTCACCCACGAGTTTCAGTATATCTCCAGAGACATTCTTGGCGACATGCTCGGTCGGCAGAATCTGTGGGCAACCAAGTTTGCGCCACGTAGTTCGGGAAATTACGGTGATATCTGATGCCGTATCCAACTGAAGACGAATACGTTTGCCGTTAATATCTAGTGTTATGTACTTACGTTTGCTGGCGAACTCGACTTTGGAAGTTGTGAAAACGGTCTGTACTCGAGGAGATTGTTTCGGCTCGAAACGACTACTTCTGTTCCTCACCGAAGGATTTTTCTGCGGTGGACAGTAACCCTCCTTATGTCCAAAACGGTGACAATTACGGCATTTATGCTTCTTGAAAGGACAGAACTTGACAAAATGCCACGAACCACAGTGCCAGCACACTGAAGGAGGTTTAGCTGAATTTTGAGACTGACGTTCTGTGTGCTTAACGGTGATCGGAGGACTTTTCACTGTGTTAATCGAACCAAATTCAGACGACTGTCGTTTGCACTCCACCATAGCAGTATCGTGCTTCAAGTTGATTAAACGTAGGCATTCTGCTGTCACCATTTGTAAAGTCATTTTCGGGTCTTGTTCCACGAGTGACAGAAGTCGAGTTCGTATGTCAGTATCTTCTGGGTTCTTCAACCCACAAATAAAAATCAAACACTTGAACTGATCTGATGTCATTTCGTGTGGTTTGAACCTTTCACATTCCTTGTTCACTTTGCCAGCGTAAGTCACATAATCATCGGAAGGCATTTTTGTCAACTGAAAACATTGATACCGAATATTAAACATGGATGACTGTTCACCAAAGATTTGTGATAAAACGGTGACTGTCTCATCGAATGATAACTCACGTGGGTTCTTGGGCAGAATGAAGTTAACATATCTGTTGTGCTCAACAGTACCAAGTTTTCTTAGTAACAATCGGACTTTGGCAGCATCATCAAACATGTAGCATTCAATACGGAAGACGTCTTCGTAACGATTGAACCATGCATCAAATACGAGACCAGATATTGGGTCGTAGTTGAACTCACTGATAGAATTTGAGATGCTTTCATATTTGTCAGAATGAGATGTTGATGGAACTTGAATGGACAGCTTCTGAGTGAGAGCTTCGATTAATTTTAGTTGAGCTGCTTCATTCTGAACTTGCTGCTGCTGCAAGATAGATTTGAGATCGTCCAGAGAGATAGACATTGTAATTGGGTTGTAATTAACACAGTCAAAAATGTTATATAGCTGCGCTGAACAGAATAAAAACTGTCGTCGTTTGCTTGTTATAACTGCAATGAATTAAGGTTTGTTATAACTGCACTGAATTAAGGTAAAACCCCGTCGCCAATTTGTTATAACTGTAGGGAATTGAATGAAGACGTTTTCACCTTGCTCTGTCTGCGCCTGAACTAATCTGCCTATCTGCTTGTCGTACCTTCCGATTTAGTAAAGCACGCAAATATCAAAAGACAAAGGCTGGACTGTGACTGTGTATTGAAGTGCAACAACGATAAAGAAAGCCATGGTATTTATACATTTTACAACAATATGGACAGCTAACAGCATTTGAAATAATTTATCTTAATAGCCAATAACAAAGTGCGTGAGAGATGATAATATACCATATGTGCGAGATTGACAGTCAATAACAAAATGTGTGGGAATGATAATATACCATATATACAAGATTAGCAGTCACTACCAAAATGTGTGAGAATGATAATATACCATATATACAAGATTAACAGTAAATACCAAAATGTGTGAGAATGATAACATACCATATATGCAAGATTAAACAGTCAATACCAAAATATGTGGGATCCTATCACCTTCCTCGTTCAGTTCTGTCTTTCGATTGACTTGCATCATGTTTTTCAGTGAGCATAATCATAATAGTTCGCCCTCTCGATTACCTCTCTTCTGATTGTAGATTTGAAGGGAAACCAACGAATTTTGAATAGGATAAAAATCACTTGACAAAAGGACAGAATTATGCAGCTTTCATTATATTGGGAAATATGTATTATTTTGATTAGCTAAAACGATGTTATTTTCTTTTGTTTCTCCAGGATTTTCGTTCAAAGTCAACCTCAAACATTTCTTCCAGTCGTATTCAGCTTGTTGGTTTGCAACTGCGTGGCCAAGGGATGTTTAGTCATGTTGACTTACCTATCCGAGCAGAGTCTTTAGAATATGCATGGTTATTAGAACTAACTGTTGGTCAACTTACTGGTCAATTATCTGCTCCAAAAATGGCATGTCTAGTCCAATGTGTAAAAGAATTTTTATTCTCTGCAGTAGACTCTGAAAATCAGCTAACATCTTCAAGGGCATTTGAACTTTGTCAGCATGGTCGTCCACAGGTATGTAGAGAAGCCTGTTAAAGTGTGAAATTTAAATAGTGATATGAAATAAAATTCTATCTGACATTATAGTTGATATTAGGGAAATTGTAATACTCATGGAAAATATCAAGATTATCTAAGAAATTTACCTTTGAGTTAATGAAATACACACAGATCTAACATCTGAATATCAATTAAGTGTTCATTGTCGACCAGCTTTAAGATGGATTTTCCAAAGTCTCAGTGAAAATTTGTGGTCATTAGAGTTCATCAGGATACTTTTGTCGACAGATAATCAGCGATAATATTGTATGCTAATGGCGTCACATTACGAATCGAAAGAATTTGAAAACCGTAGGCTATTGATCCCCTGGGATTTATTTGAATGGGAGCGAAACAGGTGCTACCACTCCCGCATTAACTCTGTATTGTATTCATAAAATATTTCTATAATCGGCAAGGTCAAGATGGTGTGAAGTGGTATAATAAGGTGAGCAATATTGAGGTGAGGCCTCGGTCGAGTGCTAGGTAGGTGGGAGGGGAAATCAATTGACGAGGCTGTGAAATTACATCGACTGAAACAGTTAGTTCATGTGTTGCGTATGCCTAGTCATCGCCTCCCTCGACCGACGGGCAGTCTTAGCTGACATAGGGTCAAGCTGGAAAAGAGCTAGTGGTGGTCAAACCAAAACATAGCTTCATCAGTCACTGAAATCTACAATAGTTAATCTAAGCCACGTAGGAAGGTGTAGACTTCCTGGTTGGGGTCCTCAGGACGGTAAAAACCAATGGTTGGAAACAATTCGTGACATGGCTCAAACTCATCGTTCTCAATGACAGCGCAGATGCATCCACTCCTTGTGACTCATGATTTCCAATGAAACTATATTGTTCTTCGTTATTACTATTCCTTTGTCTCACACCTGTGATTACTGTCTCTATTATGCATTTCTTCAACTTTCTTCTCTTGCTTTGTGTGCTACAAAGAGGGTGTGTGGCGACTTGAACTTCCGCACATATGTGCAAAGCTCTATGTCGAAAACAGACAGACAGACAGGTGAACATTAAATCTTTTGTTTTGTTCGAACTGGTCTCCATATTGGCGGGAGACAAGAAGGCCGTTATTGCTTAATCGTGTACTGGTTGGTAGAAGATTGGAGAAATATAACCAGAAGCACCATTATACATTATATTAACATTTATTTGCAGACTTTGGCACTGATTAACCATTGTAAATATGTTTCATTATCGCTTGAAGAATAAACAGTCGTGCTGCCCAACCGTTTTCTGTTGTTCTGTGTCGGTTACAATGCATAGTGTTATGTGTATTAAGTATAGGTTTCTGAAACCAGCGGTAAGATTAGGATCTTTGAGACCTGGATATTCGACAAGCAACATTTCATTGCCCAGTAGGGCAATAAAAGCTTCGCAAATTAACTATCCAGCTCAGAGAACACAAACACATAAAAATCATCCACCTGAGCTACAAATCTTCTCCATCATATCTAAGCATTCTTAATTATTTAATATTGAGTAAGAAATTTTCATTTTCTTTAATTCTTTAAAATTATGTCAGCGGATGAGGTAGCACTTGTGGTGCTTTTGTCAGTGATTGCATTATTGTGACTCCAAGTCTTATCGCCCATCTTTTATTTTGATAAGACAATCTTCTTATTGTCGCACGTCCTTTTTTTTTATTAATTTCTAAATCAAACATTTTAGCAACTTTGTCCGTTTTGGTCTAAAATCTGTCCAATCACTTTATGTCCAAGTGATATGCAACTAAAATATCGAATGTTTCGTCTAACTATTGATGCTATTGACTTGAGTATTGTGGAGAATCGAAACTGCTTGTGCATTCAATGCGATCCAATTCGTTTAGCTCATTGTAACCGGCATGGAGCTACTCACTGTGATGGAATGTTTGTGTTAGTTCCTGATGTAAGATTAATACAGTTTGTCGCACCATTAGGTAAGTTAATATTATTATTGTATTAAACATGTAATCAAAATTTTTTTCTAAAATGAAAGTGTGATATTCTGACCATTGGCATTATGCTTTATGTTTATAAGCTACACAACACCATAAGTGTGTGAAGCTTTTTTTGAATCAGTAACTTTTTTGTTATCGTAGTCATCTTTCATGTCATTGGTATACTCTTTTCTTATTTCAATGGAGCAGTATGTATAACATGCAGTGTATCTTGAGACGCCTCTATATTTATGTAACAGCAATCATATTTCAAGTAGAAAATTCATTGAATTACGATATATTCGTTCAAATACAAAAGTTCAGAAAAGTATTTAAGTGTGGTGTTTATAATTGTCTTCATCCTGGCTAAGTTGATGTTATTCGAGGCAGAGCTTTCAATGAAGGTTAAGACCGATGTTAAGACTGTCCATATGAAGTGTCATTGTACGTATAAGATGACGATTGAAATGTCATTGAAAGCTTTATCAAACAGCGACAGCAGTGTTTTAGAAACATTTATAGTTTCAAATGTATTATTGTCTACTGTGGTATACCAGATTTTTCGCGTCTTTGTTCAACTCTTATTAGTCGATTATCAAAGTATATTTTTTCCCTTAGATTTTAATGATTTTCATAGATTTTTATCTAATTGATGATAAGGTTTATGCAGGCGGCGATAAGAATAACAAAGGTAGTAATATATGTATATGTAGACAATTCAATAAATAAATTAGGTCAAATCTTAACAGTTACGTAATACTTGAGGTGAAGTGGACAGATAATCAGACTTTGAATAAATATCATAAAAATACGAAGGAGATGGAAAATAAGAAAGGGTGGGAGGGTTTTGAATAGAATTCACCTAGGCTGAGGGAGAGACAAAGGTAGAACAAACTTCTTTTGCTTGCCGAAACTAGGATTGTTCCTCGAACTCCCGTAGTTTCAGCTATATGTAAGAGGGGGGTTCGAATTCCGTTCGGCAGGTCCAGTGGAATACGATAGATAACCTTGAAGGCACTGCTTCTGTCCACATGGTGACGGCTATCAATCAAATGAGCCGAAACAGAACTTTTTATAGATTTTGTTTGACCTTTTCCAAACCATGAAGGAAGATGCTCATTAATGCGTTTGTTGAGCTGTCTAATTGTTCGGCCTACATAGTTCTCTCCACAGGAGCAACTAAATTTATAGAAACATAGATGGGGCACAGCTAGATAGCTTGTCTTTCACCTGAGCAATCAAAATTGGTCGGCTGGAAAATGACAAACAAAGGGTGGCGGCAGTATAAGTCCGTTTTATCGCTCTCGATAATCTCAGACGTAAGACTTCGCTAGCCAAGGAGGAGATACATGAACACCAAGTACAATAAAGAGAAACTGACAACGGTTGAAAAGAAACAACTGTTCATGAAATTTCAATTTAATGGGGGACGTGGCTAGCGAAGTCTTTTATCTAATTATTCATTCTGTCTCATGCATCCATCCACCCTTTTCTATTCATTTATGTTCTAACTTTTTTTTGTACTGTTACAAAGAGTGACACATTAGCCTGTTGAACTTCTTTGTAGGATTCAACGTTGCCCTTGTGTGTTTAATTGTCCTCTCTCTCTTTTTCTCTCACCTTATGATTACCTATTATTTTAAGGCTAAATTTGCAATGAATTTTGCGATATAATAAACTTTCGCAGTAGTTACAATGCTACACAACTAGCTGGCATGCTTCCTTCAAAACTGTACTATTATACATTACTTTATTTGGAAGTAATCTTATTAGTTTTACTCCTTATAAAAATGATTATTTAGTATTTTTAGCCTAAATAAACGTGTAACTATATTAAGAACAAAAATGTTGCATTATCGAAGTCATACACTAGTATATTACAATTCTGAGTCATTTTAAGTTAAAAAGTAATCTAATATATATGGATGCTAGAGTGAAGCTTGACAAGAAGGTTCTTCTCAAAAATGATACATATCACGTGTTAATTTTTAGCTAATTTACTGCTACTTTTGTTTAAGAGATCGGTCTTCCTTAAAACCTCCATTCAGTAAGATGAGAATAGTTGTTTCAAACTAACTTCACAAAAATTTATTGTCAAGTTTATTAAGGAATGTAAACGCTTTTCATATCTCAAGCTTGGTCAGTATCATTTAAAGGACCGTTAAATATAAGGGAGTACTGAGCAGTTGTTTCCTCCTAGTTTGGGGCTCTTCAGGCGTACTCACCTGTGACTCCATTGGGGGGGGTCGAATCCAGGATTTCTAGACTTTGAGGCAAATCTGTTGACCATTCACTGGCTAGGGTAGAATGAAATAGTACATGGATTCCACATTTTGACAATTGGCGATATATAGCGCTACATCCCACCGATTTCATCGGCCTTTATCTGTCCTCAAACTTGAAATGAGTGAAATCCTTGCAAAATAAGTCTTGAGAACTTTTCATATCTGTTGATTTATATTGGTACTCAGGTCGGTGGTCACTCCCCGTAATTTTTTTTCCTTCACGTTCCCAGTGGAACATAGGGCCTCAAGCTAGTGGCTTGAAGTTTCTGTAGCAGGGTTTATTATTTTTACAGGATTCGGTTGCTAGCCTCATGCCCAACCTTTCCTCTTTACCAGCTTTATTACTAGCTTAGCGAGGTAAAGGAGTACGTCGGCCTGGGATCGAACCCCAGACTATGTGCATGGTCGGCGAGCGTCCTAACCGCTGTGCCACCGATGCGCTACTTCCTGTAATAGCACTAGTCATTTATCAACCCCAGCTGTTTTTTCTTGATCAATTGGAAATATTTGTTTGTACTTATCTAGAAATATTACAGCATACTTTTATTTGTCGAAACAGCTCAGTACTTATTCTTGTTCAATGTCTGATGAATAAACATTCTTTTATTGTATAGCTTCTGAAGTTAAAGATCAATCCAATTCCAACAATCATTGTGTAAATACTAAACAAGTCGGAGATTCAGTACTATGGTTTGAAGCTGGTTCATTCTCTCTTGGTCCAGTTCATATTAATCTGTCTAGATCACCAGAAAAACGTGATCATCTTGACTGGCAATCAGAATTTCTTAAACTTCATGATTTAACAACAAAACGTTTATCATTTCTTTGGTCTGATAATAATAATAATAACAATGATGTAATCAGTGGTACAATTCGTAATGCTAGTTTAAATTCACGTCATACTACAAAATCATTTGATTTATTCTCTACTGGTGATAGTAAACTGATGCTGAAAAGGTCTTTACCAGGTTATGTTGCTCCTGATATAATGCCAAATTGTGGATGTTATGGTCAGTGTTCATTTTTTGGACAAAATGAAAGTGGTCGAAGTTTATTTAATGAATTATTAACTGGAGATTTTCAACAGCGTACTGTATTCCCATCCAGGACAGACTACAAGCCTGATTTATTTATACCAATCATTAGTACTACTACTACTAATAATAATAGTAAGAATGAAAATCATTCAGCTTCTGTACTCAATCCGCTTACTGCTAATCCGTGAGTTTTATAATTTGCTTAATGATATGATTTATAGTATTAATTATGTGATAGGAAATTATTATTCCTACTAATGCATCCATTTCCTAGTGTGTTTTATTTGGGAGAAAACGAAATTGCAATTACATATATCGCCTATTAATGTGCCTCTACTACAAGTAGTTAATTTATTTAAATACACCAGCTTAAAGTAAATCAATTTCGGTGAATGCTTCACGACTGAACTTGCTTCTTCGAGGGTTAATTGTAGTAGGATTTTCATCGGGTTATGTATAGTCTGTCAGATACTTGTGCATCACCTTAAATGAAAGGTGATGACTTTCAGTTTAACTAATATGATTTGCATTGCTTCACATAGACCCTTTAGATATTTCAGTGATCATATGATAAGAAAGCCTTGTACAGAAACACCCTTAGGTAGAGTGAGAACATGAAATTGGCTATCACCACTGTTCTCAACCAATAGAGGGGTTTGACAGGATTGTCCAATCCCACCATTCCTCAGCTCTGAAGGACGCGCATGATGGTGGTGTAGATCTGCTTCCTGGAAAGAGACATTCTGACTTCAATCATAGAACTATATCGTCTTACTTATGTTGCACTATATCAGTTAATGATCAATATCTTTAAGTATGGTATGTGCTTTGCGCCGTCTAAGTGCAAAGTATTGTTTCCAGATTAGAAGTAGTTTGTACCTCCATTCACCCTTGCAGGTGAACCGCTCGCACTTGTTGACAAGTGTGTAATTAGGTAGCTGTTTGAATGCTGGATGTGTGATGGATGAAATCTCCAACCAAATAGTGTCATAAGTCAACTTGGGCCATTCGTTATACCCTTATGACTTCAGCCGGCCTGTTACAGGTAGCGTTTACAATGCTTCAGAGCGTGCAGTCTTGCTCCACGTCCGTCTTTGAGAACTGTCCTCTTCAGACCAAGGAGATATGGCGATTGTGTTTCCGATAATTGCTGCCTCCATAGGGTTACGTCCGATGTCATCATTGTGTAAGTAGTTCTGAAGTCTGACAGCACGTGTTACGACACGGTGGAGGTCAACTATCACCTAGCTTCGGTGACTCGGACATATGCTACGAATGTCACCCCAGGGGCTCCCATATCACTCACTGTTCATTAGCCCCGGGAAGCGGATGAAAAAATTAGAGGTGGTCAACCTATGATGAAAAATAATAATGATACAAGCGTCCCAGTGATCAGTCAGAGAGTAAATAAGGTATGCGTTTGTTTGTTTTATTTCTATTTAGTTTACTTTTTATTTCAGACAAATATCCACGTCAAAAGATAACGAATGCAGTCCTAAAAGTTTGGGATTTGGAGAAAGTCTACTATTGCCTAATTGTTTACTCCACGAACTTCATTCACCTCATGAATGTCGAGAGAGGCATAATGGTTTATTGCTTATGAGGGAAGAGGTTATTTTGGCATATCTTGAGGCTAGTAATCAAAAAGGTGTAAGTTTGTGAAAAGATTTTTTTAAAAGTACAATATATTTTGAATTCATATTTCATACGTTACTTTTAAGTGTGTTTGCACATCTAATCTTTATCAAAGAAAACAGATGTCTTTCTATATACATATTCTCCTTTCCCCTTCACACTATTCGTTTCCACTCATGCAAATTTACTCTGTTTAGATTATAGGGCTTAAATTTATCTTAGACACTTAAAATCCTGTCAAAGAATTGTTTTTCATTCACACTAATCAAATACGTCATGGCGCGTATATATCCTATTCATTTATTCTACACTTGCATATTTATTATTATTATTATTATCATTATTTATTATTATACCCTTTAATTCCTAGAGGAACATAGGGCTTCAGTTGCGCGTCTCAATTGCCTTCTGTTTTCTGCCAACTTTTTCACCTGGCTCCAAGTCTGCCCACATGCTTTCATCTCCTCTTCACATGACCTCTTCGAAGTCACCATCGCACTGACGACCAACTCGCCGCTTCCCTTTCGGGTTCCACTCGAGTGATGGTTTGTCTAGTGATGTCACTTGATGGTTTCTTCCTGCCTATTTGTTTAACAATTGGTTCCTGGTTGGTCCACTCATCGTCAGAGATCCCTGTTGCTGATCTTTTCTGGCCAAATTTTCAACGGGTGAGTCAGTGATCTACTCCGGTCACCCGGAAGATAACCACCTGCACACCGAGGGCGTGGCTATCATTATGTCACCAACGGCAACAAAGGCTCTGATGCAATGGGAGGCGATCTCGTCCAGGATAATGACCGCCAGATTCAACTCCAAAGGAAGGAAAGTGTCAATTATACAATGTTATGCACCCACAAATAACGCAGACCTCGAAAAGAAAGAAGAATTCTACAGACACTTGCGTATTTAATGCATACGAAAAGACGATTTCATTTCCATGGGAACAGTCAGTGTTTTTATGGTCATATCATTAGCTTCAGATGGATATTTTTTTTAAAAATCTACCAGTGGAGATGTAGTTGATTGACTTAAGCACTCGATTTCCAGTCAGTTCGTTGAGGATCGAACTTTAAACTCAGCAACTGAGTATCATCATCAAAGCCCGGTACCGGGTAACTGAATTTCGAATAACTAAACAACTTTTTCTAGTGAATTCAATGCAACAGAATCGAAAATTTTATTAGCATAACATACATTTTATTAGCGTTTTATGTTTGCTTTCTTATTTTGTGCAGATTGACTGGAGCTTATTGCATTTTTGTGAAGATGAAGACCAGTCTGATACAGATTCAACTAAAAGTTCCGATAGTCTGGGAACATATGCATCTTTTGATAGTTGCAGTAAATTAGAACACCTTATTGAACATGATTCTGATGCGTCTGATATGGATTTATCTATAAAAGATTTGAAAAATCCTTTCAAAGATACATTGATACTTTCTGATCCTACGGAGAAGAAAAAGACTAAGGGTTCTTGGCCAGAACTCAATGTCTCTCAACACACAAAGCCTTCATCTCTATCTGATCTTTTAGTGCCTGTAGCTACTGATGTTTCAAAAGAAACTACTAATGCGGATAAAAGCAATGATTTAGCAGAAGGTAACTAGCATCCTTTTTTGTTTCTTATTTTTTAAACAACAAAATCATACTTTTCTATAGTTGGTTTGTGAAGATTTTTTTTTCCTTCACGTTCCCAGTGGAACATAGGGCCTCAAGCTAGTGGCTTGAAGTTTCTGTATCAGTATTTAATTTTACAAGATGGGGTTGGTGGCCTCATACCCAACCTTTCCTCTTTACCAGCATCATTTCTGGCTTGGTGAGATAAAGGAGTGCGTCCGGTGACCGGGAATCGATGATTCCTAAAAGAACTAGGATGAAACAGCTATCCAGTACTCCCTGGTTATCTAGTGGTTCTCTAACTGATATCAATCCGTGATCAACTAGTAAAACAAATCATACTTTTCTACGATAAACTTCTGTATACTTAATCGTTTATTCTCTTATGTATTCCATAACGGGAAAGAAATTCATACTTCCTGTTAGTGGAAATGTTTCAGCTTTTCGCCATCTCGATAATGTGTAAAGATGTAGTTTTAACTAGTTTTTCAGGACATTTAAGTCATTGGGTCATAAATTCAATTTGTAACCTCTGGTCTTTCTGTTTTAGCCTTTTTGAGACTAGTAGTAGTATCATAAGCTCTCGAATACTGGATGTAGCTCACTACTTAGTATATGAAAATACATGTAGCATGCAGCTAAGCTGCACCAGTTATTTATTTAGGATAAAACGCATTCAATTCTCAAGGAAAGTTAACTCGACAATGAAAATTCATAACTTTATACGTATTCAGCGTAAAATAAGTAACTAGCAGTTGATAAAATTTCTCTAAATGTATCACTCATTTGACCAAATGTAGCTAATTTCGCTTCTTTATAATAATAATACTAATAATAATAATTCATATTTTATTCTTTCATTTTTAGTTGCTTCACTTCATTCCCTACAAATGTTAAAAGTGTAACAAAGAAACTAAGTTATCTTCCGTCTAATTTGTCATTGAATAGTCTCATTGAATTACCTGCACACTCAGACACATCATCTAGTTCATCAGGTAGTATATTAGTTCCATCTAATGTTGTTGGTCAACCAAACATAGAAACTATTCCCCTGTTTTATCCAATGTTAAAACATCACCTAGTGTTAAATCACCGCCTACTCCACCACCAAGAAAGTTTGTCAAAGAACACCAAGCTGGTGATACAAGACAAAGTGAACTACACGAATCTGAGAAGTTAGTTCAAGATAAAGAAGTGAATATTGGTCCTAGAAGTTTAGATGGTGATAAAAAGGAATATAATGATGTCTTTGAAAATTTCGTCGGTAAGCGAAACCTTCATTTCTTCTTATTTTTTTTCTGAGGTATTTTATTTCTGTGCGTTAAAGTGTCTGTAGCTATTGAGTTGACTATCCAAGATAGGATCGCTAGCGCTAGAAGGTGTAGACTTCTTGACAGGTTGAGGTCCTCGAGATGGTAAAAACCGATGAAGGCTGGAGACATTTGGTGATATTGCTCAAAATCGTTCTCAATGGCTGCCGCAGATGCATCCACTCTTTGTGATTTGTAATGTCCAATAAAATTCTGTTGTTCCTCGATATTACTATTCTTTTTACCTTATATCTCTGTTTATTGTCTCTATTTTGCATTTATTTTTACTTTATCCCCTTGCTTTGTGTGCTACATGCAGTGTGGAGACTCGAACTGCTGCACATCTGTGCAAAGTCGTATGTTGAAACCAGTCAGACAGTCACCATGGGAAGGAAATATTTTCAAAGTTTAAAGAAGGTGGGACTTATCCATCTGTTGTCAGTATACTTTGGTTTTTAATTTTAGTGACTGGTCAGTACTTTTCAAAACCATGTTTCTCTGCCTCATGTATCAGTAAAATATTGTGAAAACTTATTCAAATATAATTTTCAAGTATTGGTTTTGTAGGGATTTTGTTTGATTGCATGGAGGATTTCATCATGAGCTGACATCAGTTAACGGACCACTGGAAAACCTGGGAGTACTGGGTAGCTGTTTCGTCCTAGTTTGGGAATCTTCAGCAGCACGCACCCACTGGCTTTCGAACCCAGGACCTTCCGGTTACAAGGCAAGCTCGTAGACCATTGAGCCACTGGGACTCGATCTAGTGGCCTTTGAATTCTAACTTCTGCTAATTCCAGTAGTTCTCCAACTGATATCAGCTCATGATAAAATCCTCCATGCAATAAAATATCATTGTTGAAATCTATATAATGCACAGAGTTATTCGTCGTAATAAATAAATATTTTATTGGTTATTCTCAGTTAGTGTGGGTAACTTACACATTTCCTTTTACTATCCACTGTTTCTTATATGTTTTTCATATGAATGTTTGTCTATTTCAGATCTTAGAACTCAATTAAATCGACCAATAAGCGAAAGTGGTCTTTTACGTCCAGCCTATGGTCGACACTTAAACGCCTACAAGTGTGTTGCTGGCTTAACTTGCCCATCAAATCTTCGAAATCGTTGGCGTGTTTGTAAACATATCCATCCTGGCAACACTTGCCAACGTTCACTAGACAATCTTTTAAATGCTGATAACAATACATATATTAGTCAGTTAAAGTCTCCACGTCATCAAAATATGACTGCTTTTAACCTACTGCGTCAATGTCAACCTAAGGTTGCTATAGCACCACGCTTTCAAATTCGACATACCGGTTTCTCACCTCAATCGATTACAGTTCGTTCAAATTCACTACCATCGCGTACTGATGTTCCTTCATCGAGTAGTCCTGCAGCTGTCGTTAACGTTGAATCCAATTGTAAGTTTATTTTGAGGACTAGAATATAAAGAAGTTATTGGTGAATTTTTATATCTGCGCTATCAGTTTTATGCTTCATCACTTTTGAAAGAAGTAGTCATTGGAATGCTTTTTAAATAATCAGCCAAAATTTGCTGGCTTTATATCTATAAACTTCTCATCATTACAATACCTATATTTCTTTATGGTCATACCATTGCATAGAAAATTTTCAAGCTTATATATTGTTTCCGTTTTTAAGTGAATTTAGTGAGCTTGAATCCTCAGATATAGTCATTCTAGCTGGTGACTTTAATGCTCAAGTAGGGAAATTGTGTCAATCTGAGAAGGATGTCGGTGGCACCTATGGAGTTCCGTGCCAGCGAACCGACAACGGTGACCGTCTCCTACAGTTCTGTTCAGATAATCATTTGTTTCTTGTAAGCACTAACTTTAAACACAAGGAGAGACACTGTTTAACCTGGCGACCCCCATCATCAAACCAACGCTGGACACAAATAGACCACATAGCAATAAGCTATCGTTGGCGTGGGTCGGTAGGAGATTGTCGCTCCTTCTGGAACACGTGTGTAGATACCGATCACGCACTGGTCCGGGCTCGTGTGTGCTTACGACTGAACGGACGTAGGAAACAGCTGGCGGTAAAACCATCACGTCCCCAGCTCGATCAGGAAACTAAATCCCTATTTGAGGAAGAACTAGCTAAACGCATATCTGAGTTCGACAGCTGTGCTCACCCTGGAGAAGCCTGGAAGAATATTCAGTCAGCTATAGATACAGCTGTAAAAGCTGTGAATAAGGCAAATCCAAAGGTGAGTAAAAACCACTGGATTTCGACTGCCTCATCCGAACTGATAGATGCTAGAAGACTTATTCCGGCGAGCTCCGAATTCAATGAGGAGCGAAAGCTGCACAAAAGGAAACTTACTAAAAGTCTCCGCAAGGACCGTGAACAGTGGTGGCTGACAAAGGCAAAAGAGATGGAAAAAGCATCGGCGATAGGCAACACTAGGCAACTCTTTAGACTCATCAGGAAACGGGTGGGAGAAGGCAATTCATAAGTGAGACTATTTCTGAGAAAAATGGCTCCTTAATTAGCTCTCAGGATAGACGCCTTGAACGCTGGAAAGAACACTTTGAGGAACAATTTAACTTGCCTACAGCCACACTGAACCTCCCCGACATCCACCACACACCCGAATGGGATATAGACACTGGTCCGCCGTCTGTAGTGAGGTTACAAAAGCTATCAGTAATTTGAAACGAGGCAAAGCGGCAGGACCCGACGGAATTATTCCGGAGGTGTTTAAATATGGGGGTGACATACTAGTTTGTAGATTAACTGAGGTACTAGGCAAAGTCTGGGAATCAGAGACAGTGCCATCAGACTGGGGTAAGTCACTTATTATACCGATATTCAAGAAGGGAAACAAGTCCTCGTGTGATAATCATAGGGGGATCAGCCTAACGAACATAGTCTCTAAAATCCTAGGCTCAGTAATCATGCATAGACTAAGCAGAACTCGGGAGGAACAGACAAGGGAAAATCAAGCAGGCTTTAGACCAGGTAGAGGGTGCATAGATCATATCTTCACTCTTCGACAGATTCTAGAACATAGACACACTTTTCGGCGTCCAACAATTGTCATATTTCTTGACTTGAAGGCGGCCTTCGACTCCGTGGATCGAAAGGTACTATGGCAATGTCTGACTGTGAAGGGAGTGCCAAGAAAGTACATTGCACTAATCAAGGCACTCTATTCAAACTCACGTAGTCGTGTAAGGGCTTATGGGGAATTGTCATCTGAATTGGTAACAACCAGTGGTGTCCGACAGGGATGTCCACTTTCCCCATTTCTGTTTAACTTCATCATAGATATGCTAATGGAAGTATCCTTAACTGAACGTAGTGACTTAGGAATCGACTTGTTACCAGGGAATAATCTTATGGACTTAGAATATGCAGATGACATAGTCCTGTTAGGGGAGGATGCTGACAAAATGCAGAGTCTTCTGAACACCTTGAGCAGCAATCTTCGTATGTTTGGCATGCGATTCGCCCCTGCAAAATGTAAGATGCTGCTACAGGACTGGACCACGTCAACCCTAACTTAGTGATAGGGAGTGAAGTGATAGAACATGTTGACCACTTCACCTATTTGGGAAGTTGTATTAGCACCAACGGACTGATTGGCGATGAAATCTCAGCACGGATCCGAAAAGCTCGAGCTGCTTTCGCTGACTTACACCATCTCTGGCGTAGGCGTGACATCCGGTTATCAACCAAGGGACGTGTGTACTGCTCATCAGTTCGCTCCGTCCTTCTCTATGGCTCTGAAACATGGCCAATACGCGTTGAAGACATGAAAAGGTTGACTGCTTTCGATCATAGATGTCTGCGATCTCTGTCTCACGTTAGGTGGTTTCACAAGATAAGTAATGTTGACGTTAGGCGTAGAGTGTTGGGCAAAGAGGGAAAATCAATCGACGAGGCTATAAAGTTACATAGACTAAGATGGCTAGGTCACGTGCTGCGCATGCCTAACCACCGCCTCCCCCGACGGGCATTGCTAGCTGATATAGGTTCAGGTTGGAAAAGAGCCAGTGGTGGCCAAACAAAAACATGGCATCAATCCATGAAATCCTTGACAGTTAAACTGAGTCAGGTAGGGAGATGCAGACTCCCGGGTTGGGGCCCTCGGGACTCTAGGAATCAATGGCTGGAGACAATAGGTGACATGGCTCAAAATCGTTGTCAATGGCCAGCGCAGATGTATTCAGTCTCTGTAATCTTTCATATTCCTTTCTACCATTACCCATTCTGTTTCACTCTTATACTTGTCAAACTCTATTGATTCTCTTCACTCATCTTCTTGTCTACCTCTGTGTGCTATTTGGAACGTGGCAACTCGAACTGCTGCACTTCGGTGCCAAGTTCTATGTTGAATCCAGACAGACAGACAGAATCCTCTATAAGTGATGTGGTTTAAAGATGCTATTCTCGCCTATTCTTCAAGTCTGTAATTAGCCTTACATTATTCTTGTTCTTCGAAGATTTGTAGTGTTGCTAATATTAATTATTATATTATTAAAACACACTCGCTACATTTAAGGCCATCAAAAGATGCACTACCTCAATTCTCATAGTTTGTGTGAGTATTGGCGTACTCCCCGGATGCCCAGAGCCAAGCAGGTGGTTGTATTAAGGGCCTCTTCACCTGCTTTCTACTTGAAGTCTGATTCACAAGGTAGTGGAGCAGCATCATGAGCTGCATTCCCTTGGATACTGGTGACCAAAACAGTCTCATTAGCCATTCGATGCTTTCAGATTCGGGAGACTGTGTACACCATTGAATGAATAGGACTTACACGAGAGAAACCATGAACGTAAGGCCACATGATTGCATTCTGAGAGGAGGACCTAAGTCTACTCACCTTCGAACATACCACGTCACTTCTTGGGTAGTGTTGCTGGTGCGACATCTACACGATGGGATTTGGCTAAAAAATTGTTTTGATTTCGAGCTTTCATTATTTGTAATAATAAATTTAATGCCCCCTAGGTCATCATTTCCTCTTTCGGATATTTTTTCTATTATTATTATTTACTTTATTCCTTTGCGTTCCCAGCAGAACATTGGGATTCAAGTTAGATCTTCGAAGTTTTGGTAGCAGTGGTGCTTGTTTTTACGGGGTGGGGTTCCTGGCCTCATGCTTAACCTTCTCTCTTTACGGGATTTATTACCGGCTTAGTGAGGTAGAGGAGTACGTCATCCAGGGATCGAGCACTGGACTACTGCTTGCGGGGTAGGCGAGCATTCTACCGCTAAGCCATCTATGTATTTGCTTTCAAAAGTATAAAGAATCCTCCATCAAGGAGTTTCACAACACTTTTGTCCAGTATCCTTGTAATACAAGTATGATTAGACATTGACCAGTGTGTTACATCCTTCAGGTGGATATCATACACTTTTTATTTGAAGACTCAAAATGATATAACCTCTGTATTCGATAGAATTTAAGGTTAGGGGAATTTTGTTGTTGTTGAAATTTCTTACAAATGACTGTTACTTTACTAAACCTAACATCTTCATATTTTATAATTGTAGATGATGTCGACTCTGTTACTACGACTATAAAATCTAAAGCTATCGTGTGGCTTCAAGGCCCTGTAAACTTGTTGCTTACTCCACTTTTAACAGAATCTCTGGAAAGGTAAGCTATCAGTTGAATTTTAACAACTTTATATGAGTGATAATAACTTGACTGTTTTGTATTATATATGCTGGTGTTTCGATGAAATGTTAATTGTCAAAGGTAAATTTATCTCACTTCTAACTAGGCATTATAACTTCAGTCAGAAATGTTATGTTTTTTTTTCACTTACCAAGTATAATTAACTCTAATCAGTAGGTTATTCACACCTCTTCAAAATGACCTGCAGTTCAACTTGACTACTGAGTTGATAAATTAAAGTAGTGTTTTCACAGTAGTTAAGATTTATCAATGGGTTTACACACTTATTGGCATGTTATTTTACTGAAGTTATATTACCGGAATCTAGCGTTTTGTCACAGGAGAATTTTTTTTATTCCTTCACGTTCTCAGTGGAACATAGGGCTTCAAGCTGGAGGCTTGAAGTTTCCGTAGCGGGTTTTTTATTTTTACAGGATGGGGTTGCTAGCCTCATGTCTAGCCTTCCCTCTTATAACTGGCTTAGCGAGGTAAAGGAGTGCGTCGGCCGAGGACTGAACCCCAGACTATGTGCATGGTTGGTGAGCGTCCTAACCGCTGTGCCACCGACGCACCATAGGAGAATTTATTTTTTATTTTAGCCTTATTTGTGATTTTTAAGTGTCCCATTCAGTTATCTTAATTGAAATATTGTACATGTAGTGGGTTGTGTTCTCGGTATCTTCGACCATTCGAATTCATGTCTGTGATAATGTTGAGCTTTATCTTAAGACAAACAAGCGTTTGTTTTCTGGTAATTCAATTTGAAAAATAATCGATCACAGTAATAATAATAATAAACTAGAACTTGTGATCTCTCCTCCTTCTTAGGCTTTTCCTGCGGTGTTGTATAGCAGTTCAGTGATCTTTAGTACATTTCACCCGACTGATAGCTGCTATCTTGACGTGGTGGTAGGGCTTGTATATCGCAATGATCCACCAACAAGCTGCACTGGCTGGAACCAATGTCCTTGCAGGTCCTACCATGCCAGGAAGGTTATTAGGATAGCGATTAGGCTAAAAGTAGTTACCGGCATTGTGCAAGAATCATTCTTACACTATACTAGGGGTCTAAGGGCGAAGTCGTACTGCTGAGGAAGAGGGGTGTAATAGCAGTGAGGTGTTTCCCTCAGATGACCAGCATGCCAGCTGTGCTGTCTCTCTACTCTGGAGAGAGGGAGTTAGAAAAGGTCAACCCCAAAAATTGTACATCCCGACCTATCCTATGGCGGTCCGTAACCGGCGGTATGTTTACTAATACGGAACTAATCCCAGAAACCAGTTCATACAGGCCGTATGTGACCGGCCTCAAGCAGTTGTCCCCTGGACTGTGCGGTCACGCAACACTCTCTGTCTCAGGTACCCGAAGAATCAATCAACTTCCACGGTGTGGGCAGCCGGGAAGTAACAACCGCCCACACACTCCCAAAAGCACACAAAGCCTTAGTACATTTCAACAACTTAAAGTTATAATTAATATTTTGTTTCATAAGTCTTGAATAATAACTATCCGTTTATATGTTTCAGATATATAAAAATACTTATGCCTATTGTTAAAACTACGTCACCTTCCTCGATTGTGGATTCAATGCACTACAAATGTGTAAAGTCAATGGAACAGCAAATAAAGCCTCTGTTAAGTTCTACAAATAGTATAACACCTAAAATTCAAGATACATCTTTACCAAAAAGCAAGTCAACTCAGTCACCTCGTCCTATAATCACTGATAAATCTTCTGCTAATGTCGTTGCTCATACTGAAGAACGTCAGTCAATATTATATAATCTACTTGGTTCTCGTTTCACTCAAGAGGCAACATCTACTAATATGCCTCACCAAAATGTTACATCAAAACCCTTTCGAATTCGTAAGACATCAGCAGATTATGAATTAAGTGAGTTAATTATTTCAATGAATAGGTAAAGTAGTATTTTCTATAGTTTGGCTGGTAAGGGTTAGTTTAGTTTTTACGAGTTGATCACGGATTGATATCAGTTAGAGAACCATTGAAAACCGGGGAGTACTGGACAGCTGTTTAATCCTAGTTTTTCTTGGGAATCATCGGAAGTACGCACCCACTGGGGTTCGAACCAAGGACCTTCCGGTTAGAAGGCAAGCTCGTATACCATTCAGCCACTGGTAGAAGTTATAATTCATGAGCCATTGAATCGGGTCCCAATGGTTGAATGGTATACTAGTTTACCTTATAACGGGGAGGTCCGGGGTTCAAACCCTTACGGTGGGTGCGTACTGATGATGATTCCCAAACTAGGATGAAACAGCTGTTCAGTTCTCCTTGGTTTTCAGTGGTTCTCTAGATTATATCAATCCGTGATCAACTCGTAAAAAAGTAGTATTTATGAGAATGACAACATTTCTAACGGTATTTGTCCACATATATTTCAACTAATTTTACTGAATCCAATCTGAATGGTTTTCATGTTTTTTTGTGTATATCTGATGACTTAAGAATTTATTTTTTATTATGATATTAGTCAGCAAAACAGATGTGCATAACTAGAAACCGAATATGCAGCGGTTTGTACATATTACTAGTTTCCAATATGGCTTTAAACATTTGCGTACGCGTCATCAATTTGCGTGTTCAAGTATGAAATACTCGTGAAGTATAGAGCTCTGTTAATGATTCCTGTATAATTCAGCATTCATCCTACAATTCTAAGTTAGTTATTCTTCCTATATTAGATCACTTTCTTCACTCAGTTTTCTTTTGAAATATGCGATAGTTTTCGCGAGAATATAAGTTTTCAATATATTAAATATTCCCATAGTAAAATTTAGAAAAACATTACGAAGGATAAGCTTGATAGTTTTGCCACATCTATGTGCATTTATCAATTCAAGTGCACCTACGGTGACAGTTATGTTGGGCGTACTAATAGGCAGCTTACCCAGCCAACGTGTCAGTGAACATCTCCCATCGTGGTTTGGCAAAGGACAGACGAAAACAATCCGTAGCTCAATTTTATCACATTTAATTGATAATGGTCACGTAGTGGAGAAAACGAGAGCCTTCAAAGTAATTCATTGTATCCCACCGAATCTTTCAAATAGACTTCGTCTTCGTCTACTGCACCCAAATGAGGCAGGCGATAGGCATTCGAACTATTAGACCTAAACTATGCCTTCATTCAAAAGAAGTTCGTACAGCTATTATCCCTTCCTTGGCCTATTAAGACATAACCAACTAATGACTTCTACACCACCACCCCTTATTTATATTTTCAACCCCTTTCTTATCAACCCTTAATCTTATCCCATCTTCATTAAAAACGTGTCTCATTTACTTTCCTTACAATCTAACATTACCTAATCGGTTCATTTGTTTTTTAATAGCCTTTATCGACTAATTCCACCTGAACATTTGTTTGTTTAATCATGCTGTTTTTCCAATATTCGTGTTATCACAGATTGTCTCACTTTTTCATCCTTATTATTGATAAAACCATTATTATTATTATTATCATTACTACCATTGTACAATTTATATTCACCATCTTATTATCCTAAAGACAAAACACCATGATTGGTTTATATTTGAATTTTTATTTGTAAACTTATATATATTAGAGTTAAACCTGATGAGATCTAATTGAAACCAACAATATTGTTCGCTTTAAATGTGTTGTTCTAAATATAAGTTTTGCAAACGAGCTTTGTAAAACTAGGGTTCAACTTTTAACAATTGTGTCTTGTGCTGAAATGGTGATCACTTCTCAATGAAGCATTACACAGTCGTTTATTATTTTGCTATCTATGAAAGTGTTACAATAATACACCACCTCAGTAAAAAGTATTAGTGTTTATAAAAAAGAAATACGGTTCATATCAATGACTATTCCTATTTGGTTTTTTTTTCTCTAGTGTCCAATAGCCAAGATACTGTCAAATTTACAAAAAATACTTCAGATGTAACTAAGCCATTACATTTAGTGGCTGAAATTTCCGGTGATCATTCAGAAGTAAATTTTGCCGGTTCACCCTCCAGCAGTGCACCTGTTACTTCGAAGAATGTAGGCAGGCACAATTGTAAATCAGCGCTGTCAAGCAAAGTCGCTGCATTATCAGTCGAAAGAATTAATATTTCATTCTTACAACTTTATGCTGTCGAAGATTTGGTTCATCTGGACAGTCTTAAATCTGGTCTACACGATTTAACTTGTGTCTCTCTAATGACATTTTGTTTAGACTCATTTTCTTTTGAGGTAGGTAGTTTTTTTTTTGGAACTGAATGCAACTGTTACGTTTGTTGAATAATATGTATTTCTTTAAGTCATCCTTTTATTAAAAGATACTGTTAGTTGAAAAGTTATCTGGTGAGAAGTTCTGCTTGTTGGTTTGAGCCATGTAGAGTTGTTTTCACTGCATTATCGCTTGCCTTTTGACACTCGAAACTTGTAGCTGCAGGTTTTGTCAATAAACCTTAGAGTGGACACCATTACACTTCATCTTCATAAATCTTGATGTCGTTATGTAGTTCTCATATATATAAATAGCTGATGTTTTGTCACTTTTTAGGTTTCAGGCATACATTTATAGATATTGTCTTTCATTTCACTCTGTGTGTATATAACATTTCACAGGTTACAGTTTGTGACTTTTGTTTGGATATGCTTCTTACTTCAACTTTAACCTCAAGTATTCTAAAATGCTGCTTTGAAATATTTGCACAATACTCATATCTGTTCGCCATTTCACTACGCAGGCTATCAGGGAAGTTATAAATGTCACTGAGTTTTAATCGAATTGTTTTTATGATAGCTGTGTTCAGTACTTCCCTTTCTGTTTACCATCTTGTAAACTTATTCTGGGATACAACTTCTCTATTGATTATCAAGCAGCATGTTTAATATCGCTATTTATCTTTTGGCATGAAGTACTATTATCATATACAAGGAGAGAGAAAGAGAGAGGGCCTACTGGTTCGAAATAAAATTTAAGCGAACTAAACATTGAAATAATTTTTGTTGGTTTGTCAACTGATCTTACGAGCCATGCAATGTTAACTCCAACTGTATATACAAATTCACATGTATCTGAGGGAGCAGTTACATAGGAAGGACAGAAAGAAGGGCATATTTACGATTTTCTGAACATGCACCGAAAATCTTATGTCTGAAAGCAAAAAATGCTTTAAACAGTGCCATTGCCAGTCATCTCCTTGACACGGGTCATAAGGTGGACGTCGAAAAGTCCTTCAAAATTATCAGTAGGCAAAAGAGCTCAATTCTCCTCAAGTTTGCTGAAGCCATTTCCATCAAACGCCTGAAACCTGATTTATGCGCCCAGAAAGAAGCGGTTATCAGTCTTTCTTTGCCCTGGTAATTGAATATTTTCATCTCTCTTTCATCTGAATGCATGATGCTGAAAAGTTTCCATTGTGTATGATTATTATTGTTCAGAATAGTGCTTAATATTACATTTATATATGTATATATTATTACTGTATGCATATATTGATCGGTTGATTTTTATTTAAAATGAACTGTCTGTGCCAGTATGTTAAAATTGTTTTTGTAGATATATTTAATAATGTCTTTGGCCTGTAAGCATCTGACGAGAAGGCAACGAAATAAATTATACTGCTAAAAATATGGTTCTTGCTTTGTTCAAATTCATTAGGGGAATAAATGTATGCAATTGGATTGAATCAGCGGTTGGCTGTAAGTTATTTCAACGTTACAATAATCTAGATCCTATTTTTGCCAAGCATTGGTGGTTCAGTGATAGAGTAACTCGCTAACCACCCAGGTGTTCCGGGGTTCGATCCCTAGCCGACGCACTCCTAAGCCTCGCTTAACCTGTAGTAAGCCCTGTAATGAAGGGAGGTTGGGCGTGGGGTCAGCAACCTCACCCGTAAAAAAAGCACCACTGCTACCGCAACTTCAAAGCCCAAGCTTGAAACTCTATGTTCCACTCAGAACACATTGGAATGGTTTAAAAAATCTTACTAAGCGAAAATCAGTGTTATTTGGATCGCAACTTTTAATGTCATCTATGGTTTCAACTTGTGTTATTCAGATCACAGATTTTCGGTTTTTTAATAGCATTCTCTGCAATGTTAGTAATACCTCGTTAGTTATTATTATTATTCATCTGGCTTAAAATCTGTATCGTATAATATTTTGTAAAAGTCTTACACTCTAAAATTGTTCATCTTTTTTGTTTACGTTTCATCACCTAATTAGTTAATGGCATCATATAAACGTGAAATGTTGAATGATAAATTTAATGATGAATCTATTCATGATCGACATAATAGTATGTCTACACCAGGATCAAATATTAGTAATCGACCTTTTGTGGCATCATCAACAGTTGAATCAGGTCACCAGACAATTCGACCACCAAGTATACTAAATACACAGAAATGCACAAAACTACGAGATGATGGTGTTTCAGCCAAAATGATCTCCTCTAATATAAGTGATCTGTTAAATGCTTATCCTTCTTTTCGGGAACAATGCAATACTACGTCAATAAACCGTAAAGATAGAATGAGTAATTCTTTTCCTGGTAGGTTACAACACAAACGACAACCATCTGCCCCTCCAGTTTTATACAATTTACCTGATTTGACTCAAAGTTGTGAAGCATTTACCCGGTCATCTGAGCCAATCATTCGAAAATCGAACAAATGGTATGATTGTTCACTTACTGATTCAAAACCCAATCCATACAAGCTCACGAATAAGACAGAAGACATGAAGGTGACTGATGGTCATAGTTTTCAGGTTGATGATAAATTACCCAATGTTGAGTTCACTTCATCGAAGCCTGTAAAAAAGACTATCGACAAAATTGACGGTAAGTGTTTAGTTATATTTGAATCAAGATTTCACCAATTTATTTCTATTCTTCATTAGTAATTTGATGACTTCTACACTCAAAAGCCATACGGTTTTCATTAAATTTTTAACTTTTGCTCTGATTAACTTCAAATTTTTTAATGGTCACCTATCTTTCTTTGTAGATATCATTGATTCAATCAATGTGAGACCGACTACAACTGAACCAAGTGGCAATTTATGGAATTCACATGATTGTGAACATCTAGGCAGTGAATTAGTCTGCCAAGTAACCGTTCATAGACTACATGGACAATTACGGCGTCTTACTCGTCATAGTCAATTCAATGCAGATGTTTTGTTAACAGCAATACCCTTTGAATCGTCTAGAGCATTTTTCCGTTTCACATCTGATCCGCTTACTTCTAATACTAACACTGTAACTGAATCTTCGTGTACATCTAAGTATCTTGAAGAGCAGAGTTTTGGATGGATTATGTTTGAGTGTGGTTTAGAAGATTTATCAATTTCTTGGGTTCAACGTCGTGGATTTCCTGATTCAGTGTCTGGAAAGGTTACTACTTCTACCGAGGAACACCGTAAGGACACTTATAATGAGGTAAGGAAACATTTATTTTAATTCATTAAAGATACCCATTAGAAATTTCAAAACATTGTTTAATGCATAAAGAGTATTCTTTTTGATAACTTCATCATCGGGTTCTACAGTTATGTATCCATAATAATGGAAGAATTATCGATATTGACAACATTAGTGATTTCTTAAGGTAACATTGGATCACTGAAATCAAAGTTCCGAAAGCTATTCACTGACAAATTTTTTGAATAGATTATATTCCAAAACATGAGTACGTGGTAGTCTGGATGGCTGTAACACTAAATTGAACACCAGTATTCCATTCCAAGGTTAAATCATTATGAATAACAATGAAGATATATCGTAGTGAATTATCATGTTTATATTAAATTCCATTCATATTGATTATAAACTTCAAATGGATGAATGGTAATTTCAAGGACGGGGACAGAAAAACCGGGGTAGAAGGTTGGGTGTGTGTGTATGTGCGCCAGTGTGCGAGTTACCGACTACGTTTAAATAATAAGACAAAAAGTTAGTTTATACAAGTGTAATAATAAAGGGTAAGGAGGGCTATACGTAAAAGGCCCGCATAGTGCAGTATTTATGCATTTGTAAATTCCATAGCTGACCAAGGTAGCGATAGTGACTGGACCTGTTCTTTTTGCAACATACAGCACTGGTTGTCTTAGGCGAATTACAATAACTTCTGCTATTTAGAGTATTTGATACCTGAATGCTTTCGGAAGTTTATTTGGTACCCGATAGATGATAGCGAAAGACTCTTCAATGATAGCTTTATGACCGGTTTGAACTAGGCGCTGTGATATCGAACTGCTTATTGTTTTCACTACACCTTTATTTAGCCACACCGGTAGGTGTTCCCTAGCGACCACGAAAAATCAAGTTCTTAGAGCCATGGCCAATGTAACTCGCCGCACAAGCGCTGTTAAATTGGTAGATAGCCTAGGTACTTCATCTTTCAACGGAGGGATTAAAACCGGTCATGTAGAAAATATGACTTGTATTTTACCAACATTAATATTTCTTTGAACAGATTATGTTGGTGATTAAATCACTAAGTATATCACTTTTGAATCTGTCATATATATAAAATTATCTTATTTACAGACAGAGAACAGTTCATTTCTACTTTCTTGATCATGTGTTTCTGCATAGTTATTTTGAACTAAGGTGTCATATACAATATTAAGTTCGGCGAAGAGACTTTTTTCAATGAATTTATTATCAAGCTGTACAACCGTATTTATGTGGTTTTTAAGAAATGATGTCCACTGAGGGAATTGAATCAAAGGTGTGAATACATAAAAAAGCCATAGTTAACTGTTAAGTGGCAAAACATTTATTGACATATACAGAACAATTCATGTGATTTTTGGATATTGGGAAGAGGTGTAAGATTATACGATTAGTAGACAAATAAAATTAAAATAAAAACGTTACGTAGTATGGTGTGGAATTTAATAATATAGAATTTAACCTTGACATTTAACTATGGTCATAATCACAAACATTCTAATTGCATTTTACACTATTATTAATTTATGTATTCACACCTTTGATGCAATTCCCTCACTGGACATAATATCTTAAAAACCATACAAATACAATTGCACAGCTTGATGATAAATTCGTTGAAAAGAGTCTCTTCGCTGAATCACTTGTTTTGATTTTCTATACGTCCCAATGGGAGTTTTCGACAAATCTTAAGTTCATCTTCAATTACATCTTCTGAATACATAAATGAACACAAATTTAATAAAAAATTTATTTTGTACTGGAGAAGAACAAAGCTATGAAAATGTGTATATTGTCCTATCCATATGCTTTTCTTATGCCAATTTCTCTTTATAATACCATCTGGTTTTTTGTAAGGAGGGTATTTAAGAAGGCGATTCTTTTTTGAGATTCCTCTTCGCACTTGAATTTCATAGCAGAATGTACTTCATTGCATTCAGTTATTATTGTATTCATATCCGAATAATTATCACAAAGAATAAAGGTGTCATCCATATACTGGCAATAAAATGAGAATTTGCTAATAAGGTTTTTCACAGGTCCGTTTTCTAGTTTACTAGGAAAGAAATCTGCCTAAATGGGACCCACTGGGGAGTCCGTCACCACCCCACCCACTTGTCTGTAAAGTGTGGCACCCAATTTGAAGTTTACATTCATAATACTTCTTAATAACAATTCTTCTAGAATTTCTATTTGGATGGTGATATTTATTGACTACCTCGTACACTCAATATATATATATATATATATGATTTTGATTCTGATTTTGACTTTGATGCCACACCGTATTTTCGGTACAAGTATGGAATTTTCAGCATGTGATATCGGTAGTCCGAATTTCGCAGCCCGACCATAGATATCGGGTGTGCGTCGGCAAGGGATCGAACCTCGGACCATGTGCATGGCCGGCGAGAGTCCTAACCACTGTGCCACTGACGCATATATATATATATATATATATATATATATATATATATCGTAATAGCTGTTTCATCCCAAACTCAAAGCAGCTTAAGGATTCTTCCAATTCTAAACAATTTACCCCCACATTCCTACTAAATTACAGTAGAATTTGATATTTTCTTTCCATGTTGATAAAACTAATTGAGTCAAAAGGCATTTAATTCAGTTTATATCTCTATCGCCTTTATTTAAAGTGACTTCCACCAGGAATCTAAGACTTTCTTTGGAACATCATGCTGGGCAATTTATTATGAAGGACCTTTTATATCTGTGTGCATAACCTAAATGAAAGCTACATTTTTATCAGCAATCTAATGGATAGTGTTTAGGTTATGTTCTCCTTTACGTTGACTTCATTGAAGTAAACAGAGAATGACCCTGTAAATGTATGGTAAGGAACCCAACTGCATGATTTCGGTTGTTTTATTCGTTTCACTACAATATGTAACAACTTTGCTCAAGCTTACTAGCAGCTTATAAATATGTGAACTTATTTCACCAAATTACCAGTGTTTCAATTCCATGAACGCTTCAACAGAAATATGGTCTTACAAATATTTCTTATTTCAGAGCACTGCTTCTATGCAAAATGCCTCTCCTCAACCTCCTTTGCCTAATAATTCGTCAACCAATAAAGAATCTAGTCGTGTTAACGGTTTGTCATCGAAATTACGTGTTAATACTGTCTGGTTGAACTTTGCTACTCCAAAACGTTTACCAAATAAAAGAAGAATTGAACTTATCAGGTAAGTAGTAATATATTGTTAATCTGGAAGTTGTCTTGTTATAGCTGATGTATTTTGATGGAGTAGAAGTGGTAGTTAATAATCTGGTAGACTCAGCATTTCGCTGAAGTCAAGCTATGTAGGGAACTGAATGTAGTTACAGGGTATGTTGTAAGTTGTTAGTATGGTTCTTTTAAAATCGAGAGTGCTGATACTCTGGAATACCTCAGTGTAACGCTTTATATGACACCACTCGATATCAAGGACTCAAAATTCTATCATACTGCCTACCTCAGCCTTGTAATTTCTCGCTGTTCATAAATAACAGTAGCACCTTAGTTAAGACAAGTTAAGCTTTACCATCACTACCTGAAACAGCTTCTGATGCTTTTTTTCTGTGTTTCGTATTGTTTTGAATGGAATTTTCTTCTAATAGCTTTTTCCGTCATGTGATATAATATGCGTAATATGTTAGATTCAGTATAAAAAAAACTGTATTCATTAAAATTATAAACGTGGTTGTGTTCAAGTGTTTTACTATTCTTATTTTTATTTAGGTCTGATTGGAACTTATTAAGCACTGCAGCTCCAACAATCAGAGCATGGATTGATCCATGCAATCGTTTGGTTGGTGTTTGTAAACAATTTCACATGAATTCAGAACGTCGATTTTTGGCTGTAATTTCATGCCTTATGACTGAAGTGGTGAATCCTAGGTCAGAGGTGTTGAATGTAAAAAACAAACGATGTCCTCGTCCAATTAGTACCAAAGTTCAATTGGTTATGAATAATAATGTAATTATTTCTTCATGTTTTAATCATATTAGTTTCCATATTTTTATTTTTAGTATGTATTCATGTCCAAATATTTTTATTCATTTCAGTTCCCAGTGAAATATACGGCTTCAGACTAGTGCTTCGAAATCCCAGTAGCAGAAGTGTTTTTACGGGATGGATTTGTTAACCTCACACACAACCTTTCCTCTTTGCCGCGTAAGCGAGGGAACGGAATATTTTGGCCGGGGATCGGACCCCGAACCACTTGCTTGGTTAGCCAGTGTCTTACCAATAAGCTACCGGACTCACCACTTCGAAAAAGAATCCTACATATTCAGTGTGAACAAAAATATAACTATCATTTACTCTAGTTACTTATGTTATAGTTATTTTGAACAGTCAGACTGTTTTGTTTTTCAAAGGAATGGATACTTGAACAAACAGTACTCTTTTCGATAACTTCATCATCAGGCTCTACAGTTATATATACATTATAGTGAATGAATGAATTAGTCTTATGAACAACATTAACGCTATTTAAATAACATCGAATTAATGATATTAATAGTTCACAGTTCAGTAGCATCAAAATAAAATAAGCTGAATGTCAGAAAAATTGGGGAAGATCATATTACAAATTCATGAATTTATAGTCTCTACTGAAGGCTGGCCAGGGCAGTAGTAGGGGCTGGACTTGCTTCTTTTGAACACAGAGCACTGGTTGTTTGAGGCGAATTGCAATAGCCTCTGCTGTTTGGAGCATGCGGTGCTTCGATGATTTTGGCAATTTATTAGGTACCCGGTAGATTATAGAGAAGGATTCTTCCACGCTGGCTTTGTGGCCGGTTTGCACCAGATGGTCCAATATCGAACTGTTAATGGTTTTAACTACTTAGACATAATGGGAGATGTTCTCGAGGACGAAAAATCTAGTTCCTAGAGCTACGGCCAATATAACTGGGTCCACAAGCGCAGTTGAATTGGTAGATACAATTTAAAGTGGCTAGTCTAGGTACTTCATCTTTCAGTCGAGGTAGCCCCATCGGTCGTGTAGAGAATAAGACGTGTAGTTCGCTAGCATTAAAAGTTCTCTGAACTGATTTTCTTAATTTCTTCGTAACTATCTCACTTGGTATATAGCCCCTGAATTGTAGTCGTATATAAAGTGGCTTCTTGTTTACAGATAGTGAGTTGTCTTTTCCCGCTTCCTTTGTCATGTGTTTCTTGATAAATTTTTCGGGATTGCTATTTTCGATCAAAGTATCATACAGAATGCTTAATTCATCTTCAATTAGTTCTTCTGAGCATATAGCTCTAACTCTGTGGCTTCACTAATTTTCTTTTGTACTTGATAGGAACGAAGCTGTGAAAATGTGTATATTGTCCTGTCCAAGTACTTTTGCTATGCAAATTTTTTCTTATGTTATCATCCGGTTTTTTTTGACTCCACAGTCTTCATACCGGAGTAGAGTAATCAGGTAAAAATGCAACTGTCATGCAGTACAGGAAGTTAAAAGAATCTGATTGAAAACAAAGTTTCCAGTACTTTTAAGTATTGGAATTTATTATGTAAAATGTTCTGACTACCTTGTGGTCTGCCAATTGTCGTCACACATACTTATTTATTACATTGTACATTTTTGAATTCCAGCGGCTTTGTCTCTTTGATTACAGTAATTATATTATATTATTATTATTGTATCCTTTAGTTCCTAGAGGAACATAGGGCTTCAGCTGCGCACCTCCATTGACTTCGGTTTTCTGACAACTTTTTCACCCTGCTCCAGGTCTGTCCACATGCTTTCATCTCCTCCTCGCATGACCTCCTCCAAGTCACCCTTGGACGACCAACTCGCCGCCTCCCTTTCGGGTTCCACTCGAGGGCTTGTCTAGTGATGTCACTTGATGGTTTCCTCAGCGTATGGCCAATCCATCTCCATTTCTTTCTGCCTATTTGTTTCACAATCGGTTCCTGATTGGTTCGCTCCCAGAGATCCCTGTTGCTGATCTTTTCTGGCCATCTGATCTTGAGTATTGAGCGGAGACAGTTGTTAATGAAGGTTTGAAGTTTGTTTGAGATGCTCTTTATGACTCGCCAAGTCTCTGATCCGTATAGTAGCACTGACTTCACATTGGAGTTGAAAATCCGGATCTTATTTTTGATGCTGATTGCTGTTGACCTCCACACAGATTTGAGAGTAATGAAAGCTTGTCTTGCTTTTCCGATTCTGGCTTTGATGTCCTCGTCAGTTCCGCCTGTAGTTGAGACGATGCTTCCCAGGTAGGTGAAGGAGGTTGTTTCTTTCAGGTTCTTCCCATTTATGCTTATTGTGGTCTGTTGGTGTTGTTGATGTTGGCTAGGAATCTTCATCATCTCTGTTTTATCTATGTTCACGTGAAGTCCTATCTTTGATGCTTCTTCTGCCAACTTGTTACTTTTCACTTGCATATCTTCCAGTTTATGGGAAATCAGACATATATCATCGGCGAAATCCAGATCCTCCAAGTCTTTTGTGTCAGTCCATTTTATGCCTGTTCCCTCGTTGGTTGCCGTTGTCTGTCGCATTATCCAATCAATTGCAATCAGGAAGATCATTGGTGATAGTAGACAGCCTTGCCTCACTCCCGTCCTCACTTCGAAGGCTTCCGTAAGTTTCCCGTTGTGGATTACTTGGCATGCAGCATTGTCGTATAACTGTTGGATGAGGTGTATAATTGTCGATGGGACCCCGTAGTAGCGAAGTAGTTTCCAAATGACCTCTCGATCGACGCTGTCGAAGGCCTTTTCAAAGTCGATGAAGTTGAGATAGAGAGGTGACTGCCATTCCAAGCTTTGTTCAATGATGATCCGTAGAGTGGCGATTTGATCAATACATGATTTGTTTCTCCTGAATCCAGCCTGTTCCGGACGAAGTTTTTCATCTAGGGCTTGTTTGATTCTCTCCAGGATGATGCGACTTAGTATCTTGCTTGGAATGGACAGAAGCATAATTCCACGCCAGTTTTTACATTGACTTAAGTCTCCTTTCTTTGGAAGTTTGAATAAGTATCTGTTCTTCCAATCCTCGGGTACTTTGCCCTCTTTCCACACCTTCTCCAGCAGTGGTGTCATCAAGTCCGCTGTTGTCTCTGGGTCTATTTTCAAAGCCTCTGCTGGGATTCCATCTGGTCCCGGTGTTTTCCCAGTTTTAAGCATCTTGATTGCATTCAGGACTTCTGATTTCGTCGGGGGGTCAGTGTTCACTGGTAGTTCTGCTTCCGTTGTTGGTATTGCTGGACGTGTTGTAGGTGGCGGACGATTTAGAAGTCTTTTGAAGTGTTCAACCCAGTGCTTTCTCTGTTCCACCTCTTTGGTGATTGACTTTCCATTGTCGTCCTTTATTGGCTTAATCTGTGTCGAACGTTTGCCCGAAAGGTTCCTAGTTGTTTGGTAGAGTGTGGCGAGGTCTCCTTTGCCTGCAGCTTGTTCTGCTTCGTTTGCCATGGTTTCATAATATTTTCTTTTGTCTTCCCTGGCACTTTTCTTCACTCTTTTGTTCAGTGTATTGTAGCTTGCATTCAGCTCCTGTTTTTGTTGCTCGTCAGTGCACTGGATAATCTTTTGCTTCACTGTCCTTCTCTCTTCTATTAGTTTCCAAGTGTCCGTAGTGAGCCACTGTTTGTCCTGTCTCTTTTTTCTGCCTAGAATTTCTATGCAGGTTTGGCTCCACACCGTTTTCAAGTTGTTCCAGTGCTTTTCAACGCCGACCTCTTCGCTAGTGTTGATTTGTGTCTCGGCTTTGTCCTTTATGCTTGCAATGAAGATGTCCTTTGTAGCCTGGTCCTTCAGCTTTTGAGTGTTGAACTTGGCTTGTGGTCTATCTGCAGCTCCTGATTCCCTGAAAGCTTTTAATTTGATTTGGATTGTCCCTTGTACGAGATAGTGGTCTGAGCCAACGTCTGCTCCTCTTCTTGCTTTTGTGTCCAGTAGGCTGCGCCTCCACTTCCTTGAGATTGAGATGAAGTCGATTTGGTTTTTGGTTTGCCCGTCTGGTGACACCCATGTAGCCTTGTGGATATCTTTGTGCTTGTATACACTGCCACCAATCACCAGTTCGTTGAAGGCGCAGAAGTCGGCGAAGAGTTCTCCGTTTTCATTCATTTCTCCTAGAGCTTCTCTACCCATGATGAGTTCCCTTCCCGTATTGTCTGGTCCCAGTTTGGCGTTCATGTCTCCCATTAGTATTTTCATGTCGCCAGCTGGAGTATTGTCCATTGTTGCCTGTAGTTGCCTGTAGAATTCTTCTTTCTTCTCGAGGTCTGCGTTGTTTGTGGGTGCATAACATTGTATGATTGACACTTTCCTTCCTTTGGAGTTGAACCTGGCGGTCATTATCCTGGACGAAATCGCCTCCCATTGTATCAGGGCTTTCGTTGCCGTTGGTGACATCATGATAGCCACGCCCTCGGTGTGCGTGTGGTTATCTTCTGGGTGACCGGAGTAGATCACTGACTCACCTGTTGACAATTTGGTGAGTCCACTCCCATTCCATCTGCTCTCACATATTCCCAGCACTTGTATTCCGTATCTTTTCATCTCGTTGGCGATCTGGGCAGCTTTCCCAGTCTCGTACATAGTTCGGACGTTCCATGTTCCTACACAGACTTTTTCTTTTGGTGCAAGGAGGTTCAACATACTGAAGTTTCTTTAGCAATTTTTGTTTACAGGGTGGGGTTGCTAGCCTCACGCCTTTGTTTGCATTAATTAATATTAGATTGTCTATAAGAACTGTGCTACATATATAGCTAGAAGCGTACTTACATTTTACTAAGCAAAATGGCATCCTCATACGTTACATTCCATTACAGTCCTACAAGTGGATCGATCGTAAACCCCAATAGGCTAGTTTTCAATGGTCTCTAGGTGTGACGACGGGGTTCGAATCTGAAACTGTGTATACACACACCTTACTGATGAGTCTCAACAATCACGACATTTAGATCCAAGATTTCTTACCAACTCCATTATCCATTATGGATAAGATTTTATTTTTGATAAATTGTCACACAGTGGTGCTGTACAGTAATATTGATTACAGTAATATGCAAGCCAATATTAATTGGTTGAACTTATGCAGGTGTGCGAATTATTCCACTCTTTATGTTATGTAACACCAGATGTGTGCGAAGCTGTAAGTTTCTGTGTGTCCATTAGAAGACATTTTTGCATTACCATCATTTCATTACTTTTATTCTTCACCTCATCCACTTAACTTAATTTTCTCAGTTTACTGTCTTTTATTTACAAAGTCATTCATATTTGTTTAAATTAAAGCTCTGTACGACTGTTTATTTGAAGTACAGCTGAAAAGGATTTATAGAAGACTGTTGTGTATTAGGAAGAAGCTATCTTATAACGGTTTTAATCTTTTGTCATAAGCTAAGATGCTTTAGTTTATGTTAAGTTATCTTTAGATTTAAACTTTTTCAGGTTAACAGGTACATTCATAAACTAATATTCACATTTAAATGAGATTATTTCTTCTTTTACTAACAGTGAAATATACCTATAATATGCAGTATTGCTTTTTCTGACTATTTTCTAGGATTTAGACGGATATGCTCGTCATAGAACTCAAACTGCTCATATACTGCGTTTCGATCCCAGTTGTCAGTTGCTCGTTGTCTTAAGGCGATATCTACTGGCAATGAATGATTATTATGGTGTAATAAAGGCTGATGAACTTTTAGGTGAAATGCTGAAAGATCCCGTTGTACCTCAAAATGAGTTTCTTCAAAGAGGAATTCTTTCGTTAACACGAGAATGGCGGTTTTTAGTTGATTCACTTGCTCTTAGTATATCAGATTTAAGAGCTTCAAGAGAGTGTACAACACCATCGATTCCCGTTTACACAAATTATATGGTTGACTTTCGTCAGAATGATTTAGAAGAACCTGCTTTTCTAGGTGTCAGTATTCCTAGAACTAATTCATTGTTTGGTGCACCTCAGGACTGCCAGGCTGAAGATACTGATGCAGTCCAACCAGTGACAGCTGTAAAACCACTTGCAACAAATCATCCTAAAACTGGGAGCTACTTTCCAATTGCTAGTCCTGCAGTAACATCTCGTTTGTTAAAAATGGTAGTTGGTTCGTTATCTCCAGCATCGCCTCAACTTATGAGGTCAGGACTTGTGAATGTTGAAGATGGATTGAAATCTAGCCCAAACGTCAACACAAGTGAGTATAAAAGTGCCTTCCCAATAATTTTTTATTTTGGTTATTTCTCTGATATCTTGATTCACAAGATTGTATTCTTGTCCATCTCATGATTCAATTTTATCAGGCTTTATTAGACAACTTATTTATTGTGTAAATTCCTGCACACCTCTAATTTTTATTATGAAGTGTATTTAGTTTGTTAAATTGTGAAGTTCATTAGATTTCTGTTGAGTTAAGAATTACCTGTTGCATATTTGACAAAGCGTCGGTTTGTAGAAATTTGTTTGGTTACAGGTTTCTAAAAGAGTTGGTAGCAGTTAGAGAACCACTGGAAAAAAGCAGATAGTACTGCACAGCTGTTTCATCCCGGTTTGGGACTTTTCAGCAGCACGCACTCACCAGAGGGTATAGATCCAGCATTTTCGCTCACAAGACAAGCTCCTAGACCGTTCAGCCACTGTAACCAGATCCAATGGCCTATGGATTCCGACACCGTATACTGTATTTCCGATATCTTGGATAAAAGTTTTATTGTAATTATCGTTTTTATTCAATAGCCTCTTTTTTTTTATCCAAAGAAATCTTTTATCTTGTTCATTAGATTCAGGTGTTTTTGGAAAGCAGTCAGACGATATGAATACCTCTGTTGATAAAACTGTTGGTCATACACAAGGACAAAATATATTAAATGATGATTTATATGACCAATTAGATGATATTTATTGGGATACAAGTGATCAACTAAGTGATTGTATCATAGATACTAGTGAACCGTTAGTTCGTAATCCAATTATGAAACGATTTCTTCAAGATGCTAGAGCAAATATTATGGAGTAAGCACTTTGTATTAAACTTTTTTGCTTATCATTTAGAATGTACAACTACTTATTTGAATGAATACTGTTAGTTTTTTTTAAAATTATACATTCATCTTATGTTCATCTTATCATTTCTTCGTAAACTGTGCACAGCATCGTTCTTTATGCATGCGATTTGTTCATGAAATGCTAGACATGTTCCAGAAGTTGTACTTGAACGACTCAGTGGGTTTATTCCTAGACTTCAGTATTTTGTAATGCAAACTATAACACTCACAGTTCACTTTAACGTTGAGATTGAAGTTATTGGATGCATTAAAAATAATAATAATAATAATAATTTGTTGCTTGCGTTCTAAGTAAAACAGGGTTACAGTTGTACACTTGATTTTTCGCCATCACTTTTAGTCAAACTCACTGCTGCCCATAAGCTTTCGATTCCTATCCACCGAACCTCTTCAATGTTCCTATTGGACCCACGTCTAAAGTGTCGCTTACAATCCAGCTCCTACTTGATGACCTCCCTTGCACGTGATGTCACTTGAAAGTGTCTTCAGCGAAATGTCCAATCCCTCTTCATTTCCTTCTCCATCTTTTTTTCTGGCGGGCTATAGACTATCGGCCGATTTGCTAGCTGCTGGAGATCGTTGTGCCTCGGTGGTATAGAGGTTAGGACGCTCGCCGACCATGCACATGGTCAAGGGTTCGATCCCCGATCGACGAACTCCTTTACCTCGCTGAGCCAGAAATAATGCTGGTAAAGAGGAAAGGTTGAGCATGAGCAACCCCATCCTGTAAAATAAACACTGCTATAGAAACTTCAAGCCTCTAGCTTGAAGCCCTATGTTCCACTGGGGAACGTGAATGAAAAAAGGGAAGATGAGAGAGAGATCGCTGTTACTTATTCTTTTCGGTTGCCCACCTGTTCTTCACACTCTTTAACAGGTAGTAGGAAATGCTTTTGTTGACATACAAAGTCTATGAACCATGCTAAGTGCTTTAGATCACAACATTGATTTCAGGGTAATGAACGCCTGTCAGTTTGCCAACTGAATACTAGAGAGCAGTGTAAATGTAATTAATATTCAAAGCTTTCATAATTTTTTCAAAACCGAATCATACTATCTCTCAAGATTGTTTTATACTTACATTTCCATTTCTAGGCATCCACAAACATGTGAAGTAGCTTCACGACCTACAATAAACATCACTGATCATAATGTACACCAGAATACTGAAAATTCTTTTGCAAACAGGTTATCCTCTTCAAGTACCGTAGATCATCATGTTTGTGAAAGTGATACGTGTGAAAAAACGGCATCAGAAGATAGTAATCCTAAAGCTGCCGTGAAAAAGTCTACAAAATCTACAAAAGAAAAACAAATTCCTATCAATACAAACTTCGACCATTCACTTAACACAGACTGTAAACTGACAGCAGCTGATTTTGAACAGGCTGCACATTTAAGCGCTCAATATCGTTATGTTGCTTATATACAAAATCTGTTTTCACCATTGTTAGAATCAGTTGGATTAAGTGTTAAGGTAAGTAGTTAATCAATTCAATGTGTAGAGTTGCACTTTACTCATTGATGTATAGCTTTCATAATGATGTGGTGAATGGCAATCGGCAGGAAGCCTTGGACTTAGACTTGAAGGAACTCATGTTCCTTCTAAGATTCGAACCGGCGTCACTCAGTGCTGCGGTCAGAGACGTTACCACTGAGCTATTCGGGTTCGCAACTGACCTCCTGTAGGACTATATTGCATATTTTTGATTCGACACTAGTCAGTAATTAGTGTAATGTGTCTAGTCCTATATTCGGCATAGACTGAATTCCTATCAGTCTATTTGACAAGGGCCAACTAGCACAAAACCTAGGTCGATGGCTTCCTCTCGATTGCCTCCAAACCATCTAATACCAACAGTTCACAGTGCACCGTGATGGCGAACCACGTAGCATGGTGGCCACATTGCAAGCTTGACTGATAGAATTTCAGTCTGCAGTGAATATAGGACTAGGCACACTACACTAGTTACTGACTAGTGTTCAATCAAGTTATTCTATATGCTGAGATTTTAGTACTGATACATTTTTGTAGGATAATTGCTTGACCTATTCTAGTGGATGAGTTGAAGAGCAAGTGGTCTAAACTTCCTGGTCTCTAGGGTCTCCACAAACTTTAGAATACTCCCTAAACAAGTTTTACAGATAGGTTTAAAAGACGTGTAAATATGATTTTTATGTCTTTTTTTCTACAATGTGTTATACAAAAGAAGAGCTAGGTCGTCTGTTTTCACCATTAATGGATTCAGGGGATTCGATTAGCTTCTAAAACCTTTATTTGCAAGCATCGATGAGTCGTCCCTTGCTTAACAATTTTCATTATCTTTAATTTTCATTTGTGCTTATTATATGTTACTGAGCTCCAATCACAAAGGTGACATTAAGTTTAATTAAAAATATGTGAACCTTTTTCCACTTCAAATGTTTTGATTATATTCGCATTAATCATATTCATATATTTAAATAGACAGTGGTTGTTTATCATATGTTATTCGATTCTGACTCAATATACACCTCGAAATCTGACTGTCCATCGTTTTGACTAATATGAACTAAGAAAAAATGTTTGCGTTATGTGTCTTGATTATCAATAGTTTCCTGACTTATGTCAATTTGTAATGATGCGCAGTTTTATATCGGTGTATTAGTTATGCACTTGCAAATACAGTTTAGTGAAAAGTGTTCAGTAGTCGTTTTTCTCTCGGAAAAGGACTTAACAATATACAGATTCAATAAGTTGAAACGTATTTCCCACCGTGACAAGCTAGATGTTATATATAAAACCCAGAAAGAGCACATCAAAAACGTGTAAACTGTACATCATATATAATGTGTAGTATGGCCTCAGTTACATCTTTCGAGCATCTAAGTGTATCTTCACCGAATTTCCTTAGTACTGAAATGGAAAGAAGCTTTGGAGATGTGTACATCTCCCCCTCCATGTACTTTTGTAAACTTATTTTTATACCACCATTCGGTCTTTTTGTCAGTAGGGCATCTTCTTCAGATGTGAATTTGATGACTGAATGTATCTCATTGAAATGAGCGATTATCATGAGCCTATAAACAATCATTTCCACAATGAATGAATATATCATCCATATATCGACAATAAAAAGTGATCAGAATGAAATCTGTATTGTCACCCAATAGTGAGTCTAATATCACCCCATCCACCTGCCTATAGAGCTTACTGTCAAATTTAAAATTTAAATCCATAGTACACTTTAGTAGTAGCGATTCTTTAAGGATTTCCACTGTGATCGTAATATTTGTTGACCTGTTATTATATTTGTTCACAAGTTTGGACAAGTGTTTCTATCAGTTGTATATTAGTGAATAGTGTTGTTACATCGAAGGATATCGTAGTTTTATCCTGGATGTTAATATCTTTAATTTTGTCGATGAATTGTTATATATATATATATATATATATATATATATATATATATATATAATCTGTTTATGTAAAAGATATAAGAGTACTGACCAACCACTTAATTGGAGCATGGTAAGGCGAATTTCAGAATTCGTCTTAACCGTTCTCCAGGTTTATGTACTTTGGGTGAACCATATAATCTTGATGTGTGCCTGTATATATTTGGTTTGAGTACCCTATACAGACTGTTCAGTCTCTTCATACTTCCGGTTAGTTCATTCACTGTTTTGTTATTTAAGCCTTTTCAGTTTTTCAGTCTCTGAAACTTCTGTTTATTACTTAATAATATCACTGATCACTTCTACCGAGGAGGATTAGCCATGTTCCTCTATCAGGTTTTGTAGCCAACTGACTGACTAGTTTCAATATAGAGCTTTTCACAGATGTGCAACAGTTCCAGCCCAGCCACACTGCCTCCGTGTAACATACAAAGCAAAGAACAGAGTACAGGGAGGTCCAGAAGACAGAAATGTGAGCGAAGGAAAAAGAATAGTAATGTGAAAGAACAATAGAGTTTTATTAGATATTATAAATCAAAAAGAGTGGATGCATCTGCTCCAGCCATTGAGAACTATTTTGAGCCGTATCAGTGATTATCTCCAGCCTTCATTGGTTTTTACCATCTCAAGGACCCCAACCAGTCAGGAAGTCTACACCTTCCAACGTGACTGACTGGCTTAAACAAGCTGTTATGGATTTCATTGACTGTGATAAAGCCATGTTTTGGTTTGACCACCACTACCAACTCTTTTCGAACCTGATATATGTTATGTCAGTTAACAGGGGTTGTCGGTCAGGGAAGGCGATCGCTAGATATGCGTAACACATGTGTTGACCGTCTTAATCGGTGTAACTTCACAACCTCGTCGATTGATTTCCCTCCTTACCTAGCACTCGACTGAGACCTAACCTCAATATTTCCAAACTGCTACACCTATCACCTTACATGCGAGACAGAACGCATACACCTATGATCAAAGACAGCTAACGAGCCTTTTCATGTCTTTCATTTTCAATGGCCACATCGCACAACCATAAAGGAAAACGGTGGGAACTGCTGAGCAGTAGCTAGCATCTTTTTGTCATTTACAAATGTATGTAGTGTTTCTCTGTGTTCTTTTATAGTCGTACTTGGAGCTTTTTTTATTGATAACAACAAAATAGCAGACTGGATTTGGAGCGTTCTAGTTTGAGATTGGAGAATGAAACTAGATACCTTATCTGACTATATCCGTTATTAAACTCATTGTCAATACTTATATGGTTGATGTGTTTTAGTTTACCGCAAACTCTTACATCTTGAGAAAGCTCTCTGAGTTGCACTTAATTCTGTACTACTATAATTCCGCAAAAAGCAAAACTCCCAGCTCCGTATTGTTTTAATTATTCAACGTAGAGTTCAGTAGATGTCAAAGGAAGTATTACCGGTATCTACTATTGTGTTACATTGTCAGAGGTGATCAGCACGAAATAAACCGTCTGTGCAAACAGAAAATTAAACATAGAAACATAAATTACTAATCAATAGGTAATCATATTTAATCAATGTAGCTCCATTCATTGGAAAAAAACTTCAGTGAGCTATATGATGTGAGCATTATCACTTTAAATAAAAGACGTTACAAATCTTAGGAAGTGGGAAGATCACCAAATTCAAGGTTTTATTCATAGTAGTTAGGATCTTATGGAAAATATTTCGATGATAATTTTATACGCTTACTCCGAAATGTTTCCTCTACTTGTCTATTGTTTCTAGGGGATTCGTCGGACAACACTAATGAAAAAATTTGATGGATTTCTGTCAGTTGATGGTCTTTTACAGACATTTCAGATTGAAATAGTCTCCTCTGCACGTAATCCCATGGTACATTCATTTTCAAAACCTCCAGCACCGGAACAAACGAAGACTGATTCATCGTCTAACTTGAGATCAAATAACCGATTAGGTAGTCAACAACAAACAACCTCACAAAGACAATTAGCCTTCTTATGCTGTAATTTTGCATCGAGTTTAATATTACGTGATATTGTAGACTACAAAACTGGTAATTCAACAAGATTTCAGGTAAGTAAGATCATTTTTTATTATTGTACCAATTCAAATCTTCTTATCGAACGAAGTTTTGTTGTACACTTGTATTTCAGTGCTAGTGCCAAAGTAAATGCGCAGCTATTTCATTGTGTGCATGTGTTTGTGCTTCATATCGTCACTTTTCACTCAGGTTAATATTCACTCTAGTTAATGAGTTATTAAAAGTTAATCTGAACAAAGAATATTCTTCATTATAATAAAGGCTTTTGTATTTCCCAATGAATGAAACACAAAACTATATTGTTTTTACTGACGTTTCGCTGTTTAATGCTAATAGCTTTATCAAAGTATTATAAAGAACATTCTTTTCAATAGTTTCTCCTATTCAGGATCTTACAATTATAAAATATAATATTTATTGTCGTTACAATAAGAGCCAGTTATGTGGCGGATACATTTTTCAAGTAGAATAACATATTAGTTATGGGGTGTCAAAATAAATAGTCGTATTTGTGTGACAAACGTGCTAGGCTGAAATCGATTAATATCAGTAAAGAGTTTGAACATTGTGGATTAGATCAAATCGATTACAAAATATTGTAAAACGGGAGACACTGGTGGTGATTAGTCATAATAGATTTGTAGAGTGTGGGGTAGGAAAATTGACAAGTCAGTTTAAGGTTATAAAAGGTGTCAGGTGAGTGGCTAGTACAAAGTGGTCTGTATTAAACAGGAGATAAATAAGACTGCAATGAGAGGTTCATAATGAAATAACGAATATGTGAAATGAAACAGGCGGAGGAATATATTGAGAAAAGAGATAATATCACTAATAATAAGTCCAGATAGTACAAGTGGAAAATCCGATAGTATTGAGAGAATGTTTGCATGAAGGGCATAAATTATGACGAATAATAATTGTAATAATAAGCAAAGGAAGAAGACCAAGAGGATTAAAGGGAAGAAGCACTCTTCTGTAATCGATTTCAGCCTAGCACGTTTGTCACACAAATACGACTATTTATTTTGACACCCCATAACTAATATGTTATTCTACTTGAAAAATGTATCCGCCACATAACTGGCTCTTATTGTAACGACAATAAATATTATATTTTATAATTGTAAGATCCTGAATAGGAGAAACTATTGAAAAGAATATTCTTCGTTCAGATTAACTTTTAATTCATGATATGGGGACATTTCACACTAAAGAGTTGTTCCCGGCACTTTCGGGTAATTTATTCAATATTTTTGTTGCTACTATTTTTCATGTTTACAGTTCTTTCGTGCATTTCTGTTGTTGTTGTTTTTTTTCCTTAATAAATTAGAAACAAAAAACTAATCAGTTAAGTCAAATGCAGACTACAACTAAAATGGATATTATTCTACACATCGACTTTATTCGACAACATGTTAACTTATCCTTATTGCGTTTAGTTCATCAATTTGTTACTATGATCTACTGTGCTAGAGATACATGTAAATCAGTTTCTAATGATCATTCAATTGATCCAATTGTTTCAACACCTTCAGCCGCATGGCCCCAGAAATATGATTCTAAAGGTATGTCTACCTACTATTGTCATTATTATCTTTGGTTTTACACTGGATAACCTTTTCACAAGTGGATTTAATCTCGATAGTAGAGTAAAGACTGAAAATTAATTGAATGTCATTAGTGTGTTTATATTATTATACACATTGGCTTAAGGCTAGCAGTATTTTTGAAGGATGTATCTAAGTATTCGATAAGTATACTGGAAACAGAAGTTTTATCGCAAAATAAGGTCCAACTAACGTATGAATCACTCATACTACTTGTTTACCTTGAGATATTTGATCAGATTAGTATATAGGATAATTTACTGACGTGGTAATAAGATCGATACTTTTCAATAATTTTCACGTATTTGTTTTATAGGGACTTTGTTTGATTGGTTGGAGGATTTCATTGTAAGCTGACATCAGTTGTAGAACCATTGGAAAACCTGTAAGGAGTACTGGACAGCTGTTTCGTCAGTCTAGCTTGAGACTCTTCAGCAGCATATGCCTCATCTTCAGGGTTCGAACCTTTAATGCTTAATGGTTTACAAGTTCACCTTATAACCAGAAGGCCATGAGTTCGAACCGCAGTGGGTGCGTACTGCTGGAGAGTCCTAAACTAGGCTGACGAAATAGCTATCCTGTACTCCCTGCAGGATTTCCAATGGTTCGCTAACTGATTTCAGCTCATGATAAAATCCTCCAAACAATCAAACTTTTAAATAAGATTAGAATTTTGCCTTTGACTTTTATGCTTTTTATACACAACATATATACAGAGTCACATTGGCGCTCCCGCCAAATGCAAGATGATGATACAGGACTGGACTGCATCGACGCCTAGTTTAAAAATAGGAAGTGAAGTGGTTGAGCACGTTAACCGCTTCACTTATTTGGGAAGTACCATCAGCCAGTGACAACGGGTTGATCTCTGACGAAATCTCAGCACGAATACAGGGGGCTCGTCTCGCATTTGCCAGTTTACGCCGACTCTGGCGTAGACGAGATGTTCGACTATCGACCAAAGGGCGGGTGTACTGCTCATCAGTCCGCTCCGTCCTCCTTTATGGCCAGCTGTGAGACCTGGCCACTGAGAGTGGAAGACATGAAAAGACTAGCTGTCTTTGATCATAGGTGCGTGCGCTCTATTTCCCGTGTAAAGTGGCATAATAAGGTGAGCAACATTGAGGTTAGGCGTCGAGTTCTAGGTAAACAGGGGAAATCGATCGACGAAGTCGTGAAGTTACAAAGACTGAGATGGTTAGGACATGTGTTATGTATGCCAAGTCATCGCCTCCCTCGACGAGCAATGTTAGCGGATATAGGGTCAGGCTGGAAAAAAGCTAGCGGCGGTCAAACAAAAACTTGGCACCAGTCAATGAAATCCACAACAGTTGGTCTAAGCCACGTAGGAAGGTGTAGACTTCGTGGTTGGGGTCATCGGGACGGTAAAAATCTATGGTTGGAAACAATTGATGACATGGCTCAAAATCGTTCTCAATGGCTAGTGCAGATGCATCCACTCCCTGTGACTTATGATCTCCAATGAAACTGTTTTGTTCTTCGTTATTACTCCTCCTTTGTCTCACACCTCTGTTAACTGTCTCTATTATGCCTTTCTTGTACTTTCTTCTCTGGCTTCGCGTGCTACACGGAGTGTGGCGACTTGAACTTCCGCACATATGTGCAAAGTTCTATGTCGAAAACAGACAGACAGACATTGGCGTATATTATAAGATGATGACTCAATACTATCATGAGTAGAGTTATTCGCAGTTTGTTGCAATTGTATAGACTTCAAGACTGAATTTCGCAAGTCCTTTCCTTTCCTTTACTTCGGCTATCTCCTACGGGAGGATGAGCCGGCTTCATGAACGTCTCGAATCATCGCTGCCCAGGCGCGGCAATTTGTAAGAGAGTTCATGAAGTTTCATGGGAATTTGGTACGAGTGATGTCCCCAGCATCGCTCGGCCTTTTGTTTGAGAGTGCAGCTCTAGCCTTTACACAGCCAAGTGTGACCTACAAGGCAGTAGGAGTGGAGTAAGGAGTCCACCATCCATTGGCAGCCGGTGACCGGAGTTCGGTTCATACGCCTTTTTGAATGGGGCCAGACATCCAGGACATCCAACAAGCCCTTTGTCCATACGTCTGCCGGTGAGCTCCAGTGAGCTTCATACGCCAGTCGTTGGAGGTTTGGAATCAGGGTTTAGCCATCTCCCCTAGACCGTCATCCAATGGACAGTCAACCCGGTGGAGAGCGCCGGGCATCCGCTTTCGCCCTCTCACTTTGGTGAGAAACACCTCCGCCACGTGAAGGCAGTGAGTAGGACTTCCTCAGGAGAGGCTATGTAAGACGCCCGGTCATATGGGAGCATTTCAAGAGGTGTGCGGAGGGGTGGCCAACCCGCAGCGCAAAGCACCCACCCCCGACCATCCTGAGGCTTTGGAGGCAAGTACAGACTACACATGTTTATTTTTATGTGGATAATTTTTTGCCACAAACTTCAACAGCCTGAATTTATCCAAATGTTTTATGCTTCTATACACCACAAGCGTGTTTATTTTTCTACTACAATATCTATTTTCTCAGTGTGTTTACTGTAATTTACCTTTCTAAGGTTTTTTTAATTATGTTGTATAACAGGTTCATCAGACGATACCGATGGAACTTTTCGATCACGTTCATCTGCTTATGTTCGTTTTGGTGAAGAATCTATTGATAGTGGACGACTTATTCAAGGTGAACATTTGAAAAGTAAACATAAATATGAAAGTAAGTTTTTATTTTGTAGAATAAATCACTGATATGTATCCACATGATGTGTGTTTTGTTTTTGACAGTCTATTATATTTTGCTATGTGTATATGGATCGATATTTCATTATAATTTTACTGTTATGCTATCATAACACTCTGTAGTCGAACTCTTCTGAACCATCTATTATAACTAACTACTGTCTCTTAACTACATTGTGAGTCCCAAGTATTAACGGATTTTATTTTACTGTTATGTTATTATAACACTGTAGTCGAACTCTTCCGAACCATCTATTATAACTAACTACTGTCTCTTAACTACACTGTGAGTCCTCAGTATTAACGGATTTTATTTTATGGATTTCATTATAGTGCGTCGGTGGCACAGTGGTTAGGACTCTCGCCGACCATGCACATGGTCCCGGGTTCGAGCCCACGCCGACGCACACCTGATATCTATGGTCGGCCTGCGAATTTTGGGCTACCGATATCCACGCTGAAAATTCCATACTTGTACCAAAAATACGGTGTGGAATCAAGCTGTAGTCAATAATAAAAAAAATAAAAATATAACTGATAATATGCTTTTGTCTGTCCACTAACTAAATAAACATGTATGACCTTGTCGTCACATGACATTACAACCAATCATGTTAAGACTGGCTATTTATTGGTTCATGTGTATTAGCCATTTTCATATATACTCTTGCTTATCATTCTTGTACACGTTTCGTACACTTGTACCATTTCACTCACACACTTGTGTGACATTTATTTTCCTTGTCTGGAAAATACAAGTATCATCGTAAACCTGGTGGTCTTCTGATTTCCCTCTTTCCGCGTCAGGACTATTGACTACTCGACCAGTACATAACATAATTGGCGACGGGGAAAAACTCTAATAACTCACTCAGCAGCAGTACATAACAATCACACATATATATTGGCTGTTATAAAGCGTCCACTTGTATAGATACTTAAACTGCATAGCATATGTTATTCACAGTATAACATAACAAGTTTCAACCTACTCACTGAATCTATCCAACTTGAAACAAGTAATGTGATCTTCTGATGTTTAAACCTCTGAAATTTGTCTCATGAAAGATATCAAATATTATGGGTGGTATCTAACTTTTCGTGTAAAAGTTAGTGGTATGCTTAGAACAGATTTTCTGCTTGACTTCTGCCTTCCATACTGAATTTCCAAGTTAGTGATTATTGGTCATCTAAACTCTTCTAACTCTAAGGGAAGCAAATGTGGAATTCCTGTCTGTAGTTTTGCAAACACTCGTTTTGAAACTTAGCAGAAGTTAGTTAAGCCCTGAGTTTTGTTCTATGAGTATAGATCATTAGTTAAGCCTGTTTTTCCTTGAATTCTTAGGTGCATGCTTTCAAATTAGCCACTGGTATTGATTCTGCTGATACGCTTTTAAGCAATCAATGTAAAGTGTGTAAAAGTCAACAGATGTAGTTTTGAATAAAGCGAAGACTACAGTTTTAGCAGAATAAAATGGTACCATCTTTTATTTCGTTGCCTTCTCGTCAGCTGCTTACATGGCAAAGACACTATTAAATATATCTACAACAACAATTTTAACATACTTGCACAGAGTTAAGTTTAAACAAAAATCAATCGATCAGTATACTCATACACTAAAAATATATACATATATAAATATGCAATATTAACCACTATTCCGAACAATAATAATCAAACACAATGGAAACTTTTAGCATTTCACATTCGGAGGAAAGAGAGGTGAAATTATCCAGTTACCAGGGCAAAGAAAGACTGATAACCGCTTCTTTCTGGACGCATAAATCAAGTTTCAGGCGCTTGATGGAAATGGCTTCAGCAAACTTAAGAAGAATTTAGCTATTTTGCCTATTGATAATTCTTAACGACCTTTCGACGTCAACCTCATAACCCGTGTCGAGGAGATGCCTGACGATGGCACTGTTTAGAGCATTTGTTCCCTTTAAACGTAAGCTTTTTGGTACGTGTTCGGAAAATCGTAGATATGCCCTTCTTTCTGTCCTCCCAATGTAAATGCTCCCGCAGATACATGTAAATTTGTATACACAGTTGGAGGTAACATGAGAAGGATATCTATCGATTTTTGATTGCACCAAAGAGCAAGTTATTCGATAGACGGGAACGAGCTTAGCTGCAGGATACGCTATGGCTAGTGATGTACTCAGCCTTCTGTTGATCATCGCTGCAATATTTTCACCTTTATAATCAAGCTGAAGGTAGACTGGCTTTTTTTCCACTGTGATTTGTTTTACATTTGTGACTTCAGATCTTCCATACTTGTTGATGAACCTTTGAGGATACCCATTTCTCTTCAATATATTTTCAAGGAACTCAAACTCCTCCTCTAGTTTCTCTTTAGAGCATATTCTCCTCGCTCTATAGTACAAAGTCTTGACTAGACCACGTTTAAAGCTATGTGGACAAAAGCTATTAAAATGAAAGTAATGTCCTTTCCATGTGGGCTTTCGATAAATTGGCTTTTGAAGACCACCGTCTTTTAGGCGTTTTGCATTAATTTTTTTCTTTGATGTTAATTCTATACCTTAAATACATGTGTAAATGAATTCTTCAGAATTGCGCCTTCGATCAATCAGGCTGTAACAAAACTGAGAACGTCGATATTCATGAATAAGTAGATTTTATGAGACTGATGTGCGTTGGTGGCACAGAGGTAAAAGTGATGTAAGAATAGAACTTCTGCACTGTAGTATAGTATAGTTCCATTGGGGTTAAAATTTATTTTGATAAAGTCTCACAGTATTTTGATTGGACACTAGTAACTAGTGTGACGAGTCTAGTCCTTTCTTTGACGCAGACTGAATTCTATCAGTCAGATCTGCAATGTGGCTACCATTCTCTAGGTAGCTCACCATCATGGTGCACATTCATTTGATGATACTAGATAGTTGGAGGCAATCGGCCACAGAAAGCCTTGGACCTAGGTTTCGTGCTACTTGGCACTCGCCAGCAAGGCGTATCTGCAATCTTGAAGGAACTCATGTCCCTTACTGACGAGTGCCAATTAGCACGCAACCTAGGTCCAAGGCTTCCTACCAATTGCCTCCAACTATCTAATGTCATCAAAAGTCTCACAGTGTTCAACGGTAATATTTACTGATAATGTTTCGAACACAATATATTCCTCATAATCATATCAAGGTGGTAGAATGATTGCCAACCAAACATGTGGTGCGGGGTTCGGCCCTGGGACGACACACTTTTATACCTCGCTAAGTTAGTAATAAGACTGGTAAAGAGGGGGGAGGTTGGAGATGAGGCTAGTAACTCCACCCCGTAAAAGCAAGCACCACTGCTACCGAAACGTCAAAGCTCTAGCCTGAAGCACCTATGTTCCACTGAGAACGAAAAGGAATTTTAAGAAATATTTAATGAGACAAATATATATTAAAGCAAACACAAAATTCCGTAAACTAGTTCTATTAGTTTAGTTGTTATTTTGTTTCCAGTTGCATACTTGTTTTACGAATAACTTAATCGAATCTTTGTCTCTACAGGAGTAGTACCTTCTGTTAACTTAAAGATGTTGTATGCACCAATTATTTCTTATCATTTATTTTGTACACACTTACTTCTTCTTTGGTAACTTTTAGGTTTCACCAACACTGAAGATCGGTATTCTTCGTTTGCTATTGAACCTGATCGTTCTTCTGCTGAGAATACATCAAATTCTAGTGCAGATAAAGATTTATTAATTATAACTAATCCAGCTAATTCACATGACGTCATCCCTACACTGCCTTCATTTTCTCTTGTTCCTACCAGTAGAATTTCAGATTATGATGATACTTCATTAAATGCTACAAGATTACCTGGTAATCCTTTTTGTTCTCCACCTTCCTGTTGGAAACGTTTAGCTAATTATGTTGAATTGTATTCTACAGTGCCTAAGACAAAAACAGTCATACGCAAGGTGAGTTATTCGAAACAATTTTCTAGGAAATATATGTTATTCAATGCATTCATGACTGTTGGTATGATTATTAAATCTCTTATTCTGTCTTAATTATGATTTTCATTTTATTGAATTTGAGATTTTCCCGTCGATTGATTGGACCGAACTGTTTGGTCTCAGGTTGACATGTTGGCTTATTGTGCAGATGCTTCGATGATGTCTGGCTATTAGTTAGTATTTAATTGGTGGATGGTGACTAGCAGTGGAATCCAAGATACGCATTTCGTCCTATTTGGGACTCATCATCTGGATGTACCTGCGAAAGAAGCCGACGTGTCAGCCTGAGACCGAGCACTTCGGTCCAATCAATCGACGGGAAAATCTAAAATTCAATAAAATTAATATGACCCGTCGCACAAGAGGTGGCTCTCGTGGCCCAAGTGGTCCAGTGGATAACACTTTGGCGCTCGGAACTGTGGGTACTGGGTTCGAGCCTCGGTGGGAACATCATCACTGACTGAGAAATGCAGGTACATCCGGACGAAGAGTCCCAAATAGGACGAAATGCGCATCTTGGATTCCACTGCTAGTCACCATCCACCAATTAAATAATTTTCATTTGTTTAAATATGCTGTTTTCGCTTTAATTTTATGCCATGGAAATTATTTCATTTTCTTAAAACTCATTTTGAAGGCTATTAGCTTATCAGTTAAGTGAAGTATTCTATGGGAGTTTAAAGCTCTCAACCTTCTCTACCGACCGAATTTCCAAATATATATATATTATAATAATGTATATAAATAATGCATTTTTTTCTCAGCCTATGTCTGCATCAATTCCGACTATGGCAATGCCAACAATTACAGAAGAGGATCGTGATCATAATGCTATGTGTGTATCACAGGCTTCTAAGGTTAAAACCAGCATATCTACAACCAATCCTCCTCCAAACAATTCTGGTTTAAGTTCGCCTACAGGAAATAAGGTAAGGCTTTATTTTTCTGTGCTGATAATCTTTCGTTCTTTTGTTTTTCTATGTTATTTCATGCTGTTTTGGTATTTCTTCTTCTTTATTCAGTTGATAAAGTCAGCTAGCTTTGTAGATTTCGTGATATTCAACTGTCTTGTCATTACATATTTCTAAACCTCTGGTTTTACTCCTTTTTAGAATTGAATTTCATCTTGAAAGCTTTTTTTTCAATTTTGTGTGTAATTGAATACATATAAGTTGTCAAAGAGACCGCTTTCCGTAACTTCACTTCAAGTCTGTATGCCTGTTTATGAGTGCATGTATGTATGCATTATTGTTCCCTTCGATTATGATTGGAACATATGGCTTCGATAATACATCTCCATTTCATCCTGTTTTCCTCAGTCGTCTCTATCTGGGTCCACAATTGCTTATAAGCAACAAGTTGGCAGAAGATGCATCAAAGATAGGACTCCAAGTAAACATAGAGAAAACAGAAGTGATGAAGATTCCTGGCCAACAGCAACAACAAAAACAACGGACAACAATGAGCATAAATGAGAGGAATCTGAAAAAAGCATCGTCTCAACTACAGGCAGAACTAAGAAGGATATCAAAGCAAGAATTGGAAAAGCGAGACAAACTTTAACTACTCTCAAATCTGTGTGGAGATAAACAGCGCTTAGCATCAAAAATAAGATCCGAATTTTCAATTCCAATGTGAAGTCAGTGCTACTATACGGATCAGAGACTTGGCGCATCATAAAGAGCACCTCCAAAAAAAAACTACAGATCCTCATCAACAGCTGCCTTCGCCCATTACCACTCAAGATCAGATGACCGGCCAGGAAATATCAGCATCAGGGATCTCTGGAGATGAACGAACCAACCAGACAGGAACCGATTGTGCAGCAAGAAATGAAGTTGAATTGGCCATCAGGTGAGTGACGTCACATGCCAGGCTGTCGAGTGGAATACTAATGGGAAGCGGCGGGTTGGTCGTCCCTGGGTGACTTTGAGGAGGTCATATGAAGAAGAGATGAAAGCATGTGGGCAAACCTGGAGCCAGGTGAAAACTTTAGCAGAAAACCGAACGCAATGGAGACGTGCAGCTGAAGCCCTATGTTCCTCTAGGAATTAAAGGAAATAATACCAATAATCTCACCTCTTCACCCTAGCTCCTCCATGTCATCCTCGGACGCTTAACCTGTCGTTTCTTCCTTTGGGTTCCCTTTACGGGCCTGGTACATGATGTCACTCAACGGTCTCCTCAGACTGTGCCCAATCTGTATTCGTTATCTTCGGCATGCTTGTTAGGCGATAGGTTTTTAGTTGGTTTGTTCCCAGAGTTGCTGGTTGCTAACGTCATCTAGTTAACTAGTTTCACTGGTTTTACCAGCTGGTCTTAAGTTTGGAAAAAGAGGTAATGTTGGACGTGGAGTTGGACGTGACCTAACTCCGGAAAATCAACGCAATAGTTACAGAAACTTCAATGCACAGGGGTCGGTGTATACACTTGTTAACTGTGACAACAAAGGTCAGAGGTTATTGTTATTAGGAATAACAACGTGTTAAAAGTAATGGATAATCTTATGTAATTGAGAGAGTTGACAAATAATTAGTTAAGTTATTGACTGTCATTTGGAAATAACTGACAAAATAAACGGAAGAACGAAGAATTGGACATAGGTTTTAGAACAATAAAAAGACTCCCAAGAGTTTACTATGTCACATTTCAAGAAAACAGAATCGACACAAAGGCTACAGCGGTGGTGGTAGTAGAAGAGGTTGGACAAAGTTCCAGTTTTTTCTTGTCGATTGCCAGAACCTCAGCTGCATGAGGAGATGTAAGCGAAATACTTTGTAGGTATTTTTCATACGGGGCCCGTCTGTTGTAGTCAATTTGTTTCATCATTTATATCACCCTTTTAAGTGTCATTTAAAGATTTTTTTTACTTCATGTATAATTAATCTATTTTTTTTATTTTCTGAAGGCGATCATTTTCAGTAAGAAAACATTTCCTACTGTTACCTATCGTGTTCTTAATGAAGAAGCAGACAATGATCACACCTGTATGCAATCTAAAGATGCCAATTACTACACTACCAAGTCATCTGGAATAAATCAATGGACTTCTGGTATACAAGCATTTCCTTCACGTCCTTCCTCTACTGCTGCGGCTGCTGCTGGTGGCGGTGATAAAATTCAAAATATCCTCAATGCTTTAACAACTAATGAACAACAATATAAATATCCTTTCATTGGTTTAACAGATAAATCATCAAAAAAAGATGGATTGTCTAGTTGTGGAGGCTTAGAACATTTCACTTATCCATGGGTTTTAGGTGAACGTGTACCACTTGTTGTTTTTGTTACAGCTAAAATACGTCAAATGGCTGTTAGTGCTGTACTCAGTGAGCTTAATTTGAATGCAAGTATTCGAAATGTTCACGGGTCATTTACACTAACAAATCAAATACGTGGTCGAGGTTAGTCTATTTATATAATAGGAGAAATAATACCCAAACCATTAAATTTGTTTAAAATTATTATTTGATTGGATGTTAATTTTTTTGGAAACTACTCGAGTACTACGGCGTACCCCAAATATTCATCAACCTTATTCAACAGCTGTATGACAATGGCACATGTGAAGTGATCCACAACGGAAAACTTAGCGAGGCGTTTGGAGTAAACACAGGAGTCAGACAAGGGTGCTGGCTTATTATCACCAATGATATTCCTATTTGTGGTGGACTGGATTATGCCTCAGACAGTGGGAAACGAGAAGACAGGGATATCCTGGACCGACCGACGTGAAGAACCTAGAAGACCTGGGTTTCGCTCGTGGATGACTTATGTTTGATGTCACACAAAATCGAAGACTTACAAGCGAAAATCGACAAACTGGCCGAAGAAGCAGCCGGCGAAGACAGGACTCCGGGTGAACATAGACAAGACGAAGGTTATGAAAATAACCACCGCCACCACCACCAACAACAGCGACAATCACCATCAACGGGAGGGATTTGGAAGAGGTTACTTCATTCATTCACTTATCTAGGGAGCATTGTCTCAACTACACGAGGAACGGAGGAGGATGTCAAATCGAGCGAGAAACACATTGATCAACCTGAAACCAGTGTGGAAATCTTCGTCACTCAACTCAGTATCAACAACAAAATTCGGTCGGATTTTCAATACAAACAACGTCAAGTTAGTCAGCTAATCTATACGGATCAGAAACTCGGCGGGCGGGTCACAAAGAATATTTCCTACAGCCTGTTGCAGACCTTCAGCAACCAACAACCGTGTGAAGATTGTGTGAAGATGAGTTGAAACAGTATGCACTAACATGCATGGATGCAGGTGGAAAGTACAGCAGCAGAAGACAGAAGCAAGTGGAGACGCACAGTTGAAGCCTTATGTTCCACTAGGAACCCAAGGGAACAATAATAATAATAAATAATGTGGTTTTTTTCCTGTACCTTAATATTCCAATTTCCGTAGATTTTCAGTTTTACATTTAAAATTATGGGATATGTGTATAACAGTGTCAATTCATACATATGTCGATGTACCGTATTGGCTTTAGTCTTCAATTTTCAATCAGTGATTCAGGATTTCATATCGTTTTTCTAGTTTTAGCATCGTTTAGTTTCCCAAGTGGAATTCTGTGGGACAGAGGGAACTCTTCATATAGTGGTGTATTTTTTAAAGCTTGATCACGGATTGACATTATCTAGCGAATCATTGAAAACCAGCAGGGAGTATTTGACAGCTGTTTTGTCCTAGTTTACCGCTAATCTGCTCAGTACTCCCTGCTAGTTTTCAATTATTCTCTAACTGATATCAATCTGTGATCGAAATTGAAAAAAAAACAAATCTCTACAAACTAACTCTTGGAAAGGATTTTTATTTGATGATGTACAATTAAGACTAATAGGACGTTATAACCATTTACGCCACTAGATTTGTTTATTTCATTGCTTAAGTTTCTAATGTATTTTGTTTTCATTTTTGCGAGTTGATCACGGATCAGTTAAAAAACCATTCAAAACCAGGGAGTACTGTACAGCTGTTTCATTCTAGCTCTTTGGGAATCATCAGCCGTACGCACCCACTAGGGTTTGAACCCAGGACCTTCCGGTTACAAAGGAAGCTTGTATACCATTCAGCCACTGGGACCCAGTTCGTTGGCCAACGCATGAATTCTAACTTATACAAATTCATGATTTGGCGCGACCCCAACCAATGTCGTCGGTGGGACATCCATCCTCACAGCTGTCCAGTACTACTCCCTGATTCTCAATGGTTCTCTAACTGGTATCAGTCATCCGGATTAACTCCCAAAAGCAAAACTAATCCTTACAGACCAACTATAGAAAATTTTGTTTTCATATTAGATAGCTGTTTAAAATTATACTCTCTTCGCAACAAATTATTAATTGTAATCAATTTAAATGCCTTTCAGGTGTTATTGTCTTTATTTAAAAATTTTATTTACTTCAGTATTCTATTGAAATTTCTGTTTTTGAAAAAAAATATTTAGGTAGTTTTACTGAAAAATTCTCTGCGCATAGTTCGACTTTACATTGTGGTGATTGTAATATTCAGTTAACCGAAAAGTTACCACTTAGCATTCAGTAAGTGTTTTTCACTTCCAATGGAGTGTTTTTCTTGTTTGTACCCGGATATCACATATGTTTCATTTTGACAATAACAATTGTCAAAAATTAGTTTGTAGAGGAATTCTGTTTGTTTCAAGTTATACCACGGATTGATATCAGTTAGAGAACCATTGAAAACCCGCTACAGGGAGTACTGGACAGCTGTTTCTCCCTAGTTTGGGGCTCATCGACAGTATGCACCCACTAGGTTTCGAAACCAGGACCTTCCGATTACAAGACAAGCTTGTATGCTATCCAGCCACTGGGAGTGAGGATGGAGTTCACGCCGATGACACTAGTTGGTGGTCGCGCTAAAACCACGAATTGGTAGAAGTTAGAATTCATGGACTGACCATTGATTAGGGTCCCAGTGGCTGAATGGCAACCGGAAGGTCATGGGTTTTGAACTCAGTGGATGAGTACTGCTGATAAGTCCCAAACTAGGGAGAAACAGCTGTTAAGTACTCTGGTCAGTTTTCAATGGTTCTCTAACTGATATCATTCCTTGATCTAACCTGAAAGAATAATAATTATAAGTGTGTTTCTTTATTCTAAGCAAAATATATCCTACGTTCATACAATTTTCAGCGAAATTTATTGCATAACATTTTCTCTCCATCCAGGATCTTCAATTAAAATAGCAATCTATAGTGTATCACGTGACGCAATGCTTCTAGGTCTGAGACTTGAACCAATCCCTTATGATATTTCCACTTCCGATTCTGCAAAATATGCACCGGTAGTATTGAAAGCCTAATGAAAATGTGCATGAATAAATTTTGCAACTCAAAGATATAACTGAATCGTTAAAACAATAAGAATTAGAGATAATATGATGCCATTTGTTAGGTAGCCTAGTGACTCAATCACGCATCCAAATTTATTAGAATTTATACATTACTAGAGAAAATGAAATTATGTTGTTATTTAAAACATTATCTTTTCTGCTGTTGCCTACCGAACGAATACAAAATTTGAGAGATGGTTGTTTAGTAGAGTAAGCCTGAAGTAGAGCCATCTGTTGCTTTATAACTCTAAGGAAATATATATGCATTTGATTGCATCGTTTTTATGTTTGCTTCCGTCTTGTAAGAAACAATTTTCTTTTTCAGTTTCAAACTCTTAGATGTTCTTTCACCCGCTGATATCGAATCCCATGCGAATTGGATTGTATATGCAGTTAAGAGTGACATCTCAAATAAGTTCTTCTGTATTTATATTTAACTAAGTTATAATAGGGAGAGAAGCTGCTTTTTAACTACTTTTTAATAGAAAATCTCCATTCGTATGTGGTGATTAATAATAACTTGCAATCTCCACTGCGGATTCTCTAAATTTATTCTGAATAAGCTGATTTCTGTGATGTTACACTAGCAGTTTTCGAAAATAGGTGAATCATGTTCTTTTTATATTCCAATTATCCTTATCTTTGTTATTAAAATGTTTTATTAACTTTCTTTTATCTAGAGAAGTAGTATGTGTAAAAGCTGGACGTTCCCATGCTATGCTATCGTGTAGCAGAAGTTTACATTCTGAAAGAAATGCATGCGTTTTTAGTCTTGGAAGAATTATGGTTACTCTACCTCATCATCCTGTTCGACTGCATAGTGTAATGCAACGTCAGGCTAAACGTATCTCGTCTACTGTATATGAACTCCTGAGAAATCCAAACACCGGTTATACACACATACATTCATGGTAAGTGGATTAGGTTTGTTTTTTCCCTAATAAGCCAGAATATTTAAATAATCAATATCAAACAAATAAAGGAAATATTACTAGTGAATCGTTATCCATCAGAATTTATTAAGAAATATGTGAATAATCATAGAAAAATTAAGATTAGGTATAAAAATGACGGGTAAGGAAGTTCATCAGTTGGGAGTTGAACCTCAAACCACATATATATTTGGGGTGCATTCTACTGATGCACCACTGACGCACATATATTGATCATATTATAGCAAAATCAGTATCTCCCACCAACATATGTCCATCTGTTTTTGACATAGAACTTTGCACATATATGCGCCAGTTCAAGTCGCCACACTCCATGTAGCACGCAAAACAAGAGAAGAAAGTACAAGAAACGCATATTAGAGACAGTAAGCAGAGGTGTGCGACAAAGGAATGGTAATAACGAAGAACAGAACAGTTTCATTGGAGATCATAAGTCACAAGGAGTGGATGCATCTGCACTAGCCATTGAGAACGATTTTGAGCCATGTCACCAATTTTTCCCAGCTGTTGGCGTTTACCGTCCCGAAGACCCCAACCAGGAAGTCTACACCTTCCTACGTGGCTGGCATAAAATAACAGTTGTAGATTTCATTGACTGGTCCCATGTTTTGATTTGACCTCCGCTAGCTCTTTTCCAGCCTGACCCTAGATCAGCTAAGATTGCCCGTCGAGGAAGGCGATGACTAGGGATGTTTACGTAACACATGTCCTAACTATCTCAGCCTATGTAATTTCATAGCCTCGTCGACTGATTTCCCCTGCTTACCTAGAACTTGACGCCTAACCTCAATATTGCTCACCTTATTATACCACTTCATACGGGAAATAGAACGCAGGCACCTATGATCAAAGACAGCTAGTCACCCTTTTCATGTCTTCCACTCTCAGTGGCCACGTCTCACAGCTGGCCATAAAGGAGGACGGAGCGGACTGATGAGCAGTACACCCGCCCTTTGGTCGATAATCAGATATCACGTCTATTAAGCCAGAGACGGCGTAAACTGGCATATGCGAAATTAGCCCTCTGTATCCGTGCTGAGATTTTGTACTACTGTATAGAGAAGGAACGTCGTCAGAGGCCTTACGTAGGATTCTCAATGAAGCTGAAATTAGGGTGGCATTTAAACTACCCAAACAACTCTCTCAGAGATAAACTTTGTCGACTTAAGGACCCGCCTGATAGATCCAATTAGAAAAAGTAATATAATTTACCAAATACCATGTAATGACTGTGGGGTCAGTTACACGGGTCACACTAGTAGATCGGGGTCAACTGGATTATTGGAACATAAAAATTTAGCTAGACCTAGAATAATTGACCCTGCTAAGTTAAGTTACCTAGAAAAAGTACAGCTCAGCCATTGCACTGCATTCACCTGCATGTAATCACACAGCGACAGTTTGCGACAAAGTGAGGGTATTAAGAAGTAATATAATTAGGTAGAGAGAGGGAGAGGTGGTTGATCATTGAAGCTTTATTTATTGATTCAACACCGCACACATGCATTCGGAATGACGCAAAGCCAATACTGGAGATATGGAAAGTGGCAACAAACAACAAATGGAAATTAGAAAGAGAGAAAATATATATAAGACAAAATGTGACAACATGTGACTAAATTGCTATGATTATGAGCAATAAGTTGTTCTCGAAACGTCATCCAGTTGTTAATACTGTATCACTGTGTGATACTTAGAATAAACTTATCTAACATGGAATTACATTCTACCACAGTGTCCAAGTTCCGCACTTCTATTTTTTCTTTATATAAAAATCCTTTTGTTTTGCACCAGTTAGATTTCTAGCACTTTTAAATTATTAATCGAAAACTAATTTAATTATTTATATATATTTTAGGCGTTCCTCAGGATCTCGTATGGCGACAACCCCAACAACATGTAGTACAGCAACTACAGCAAGTGACCCTTCAAATAATCTAAAATCACATCAGTCAGCATCAGAACCTGTACAAATTTCAGTCACGAATGCTAAGAAGGTGAACCAGTCACCTCCACTTGTGTTCAGTCTTCTAGCTGTTTCTCAAGGTTTAACTGTCAATGTGGCTTTGCATTCTACACTGAAAGCTGTTTACCATGTCAGTTGAAATTTAATGTGATGTCATTATTTTCAAGTAATGGTTTTTGTAGGGATTTTGTTTGATTCGTTGGTCGATTTCAACATGAGCTGACATCATTTATAGAACCATTGAAAAACCTGGAAGTGCTGAACAGCTGTTTCGTCCTAGTTTGGGACTCTTCAGTAGTACACCCACCACAGGGGTTCGAACTCAGGACCTTCTGGTTTCAAGATGAGTGAGCTCGTATACTGTTCAACCACTGGGACCCGATCCAATGCCCGGTGCATGGATTCTGCCTATTTATGACCTAGCGCGACCACTTCACAGTGTCGTTTTCAGGGAGTTACTGCCCCATCTTCAACCTGCTGCACCCCACTGGTCACGACTTCCCACTGCAACTGCCTGAATATGGCCAGTCGCTAGTGAGCATCAGATCGATTTTCATGATGAAATCCTCCAACCGATCTCACTTTTGTTGGTGTTTTTATTATTATTCAGACTATTGTTATTACTTATTATTAGACGGAATGACATTAGCTATTTTCGAATAGTCAGTTAAATTTATGTAATCTAGTATTTTGAAAACGAAAGTAGAGATGAAAACAACGGAGTGGTAAGGTTTATGATATAGACATTAAGTAGATAGAGTAAATTTCAAAACGTTCATTAATTCCTTCGACACTGCTAGCGCACACAGACACGAAACATTAATCCTGGATACTTACCTACTGCTTTTATCGCTGGGAGACTTAATTTCGAGTATTGTATATGTGAATCAATTCCAAGTTGCCAATGAATATGAAAGAGTCATTCTCTTGAGTAATTATGTATGTTTCAGTTATTCAGGTGTCGCTAATGTTGGCTAAATGAACAGTCTCATTTCTAGTTATTATACTTCATCAATATACTTCACCATAGGATCAACACATAACACTTGCTATAGGAATGACTCATCACTCATACCAGAAATATGGAAGATACTACTACCAATCAAATCAAGCGATGAAAAATATTGGAATTATATAAACGAAATTATAAAGTTGTGTGAGTAACTTGATATGATTATGAGCAATAATTAGAGCTCGAAGCGTCATCAGGAAGTATTAGTGTATAAAACTGTGAGACATTATCAAAATAAATGTTATTTACAATGGAATTATACTCTACGACAATACACAAGTTGTATTCTTGTATCAATGATACTTTATCAACGCGTTTTTCACCTGAATAAGGTAACATAATGTAGATTATTTCATTTTTGCTTCATCCTGTCAATTCTTATCTTTTATTTATTTTTTAGATTGATCCCGTTTACGTTTCTGGTCAGCTTGGCTCACGCACTTATGTGGACATTAGTATCACCGATCATTCTCTCAGCCTTAAATCTTTGGTGAGTTGATTGTTGTCTAGATAGTATTTATACTTTGATAAGTGTTTTATTTTACACTCAAGTTGTTCTATTTATTTCGCGAAATGTGTATTATCTGAGTTACATATTGCTACTTGCTATTATTTTATTATTATTATTGTCTCCTTTAGTTCCTAGAGGAACATAGGGCTTCAGCTGCAAGTCTCAATTGCGTTCGGTTCTCCATCAACATTTTCACCTGGCTCCAGGTTTGCCTACATACTTTCATCTCCTTCATATCACCCTCTCACTGATGACCAACTTGCCACTTTCCATTCGGGTTCCACTCGACAGCCTGGCATGTGATGTCACTCACTTGATGGTTTGTTTTCTCAGATTATGGCCTATCCACTTCCATTTCTTCCTGCATATTTGTTGGACAATTGGTTCCTGCTGGATTGATTTGCTCCCAGAGATCCCTTTTGCTGATCTTTTTTGGCCAGTAGTATTGGGCAGAGACAGCTGTTGATGAAAGCCTGTCATTTTTTGGAGGTGCCCTTCGTGATGCGTCAAGTCTCTGATCCGCATAGTAGCATTGAATAACTTCACACTGGAGTTAAAAATCCGGATCTTATTTTTAATGCTGAGTGCTGTTGATCTCCACACAGACTTAAGAGTAATGAAAGTTTGCCTCGCTTTCCCGATCATTTTTTGATATTCTCATCAGTTCCTTCCGCCTGTAGCTGAAACGATGTTTCCCAGATTGGTGATAAAGGAGGTTACTTCTTTTAGATTTCTCTCATTTATGCTGATTGATGTCTGTAGTTGTTGTTGCTGTTGGTGTTGGCCAAGAACCTTCATTGCCTCTGTTTTCTCTGTGTTCACCTGTAGTTCCTATCTTTGATGCTTCTTCTACTAACTTGTTGCTTTTCACTTGCCTATCTTCCAGTTTGTTTGAAATGCTACTTGCTATGCTTCTAGCTAAAATTTAACGTGAATGATACCTTACATGTAATATTACTGGAAAGATATAGGAGAATATCGTTCCTTTCTTAGGTATATTAATGCCAACCGAATTGGTGTATCCCTGGGCTTTCTAACTACTCTTTTTGTCTTCATATCTTAAGAACTTTGTGGATGTTACCATATGTACCGTTTAAGGATGATGTCGTTTCTCTCTTCGTTCTCAAATAATTTTCATATTAATCGTTGAAGCAAATGCTCAATTCTTTGCTTAGTACATTTCTGTTTGTTTATTAATTGTTGATTGTTCAGTGATATTTTTGATAACATTTTTATTTCAGCGTCCTCCTGCTAACTTTCCAACATCAATCTCATTGCCTTTACCGCGTATATTAGCTTCAATAGTTCAACGTGTCTCTTCAGGCGGCCGTTATGCTCGTGGCCAACGTAAAGAGGCTATACTCACCTACGGTTTAGAAGCTGAACAAGGACTTTATTTAGATATTCAAATACAAATTGATACTCTTGAACAAAATTTAAGTACTGATATGCTTAACTATATTATGGTAGTTGTGAAATTATTTATGAAGGTAAATTTACTGTTTGTTGAATATAACATTACATCATGCAATACCTTTCACTGATATTAATGATCATTATTTTCGTTACCATGTTTATACTGATGTTAAAATTACCTTATTTGAGTAATAGGACTGTGAGTGTATTGATTGGCTGACTAGAAGTTTGCCTCAATTTTCCATAGTTTGAACAGTCACCTAAGTGGTGCTCGGGAGGCACAAACACGAGAGAGCCAGACAGGCTTTAGACCAGGAAGAGGGTGTATTGATCATATCTTCACCCTCCGACAGATTCTAGAACATAGGCATTCCTACCGGCGTCCAACAGTCATTATATTTCTTGACCTAAAGGCAGCATTCGACTCTATCGATAGAGAAGTTCTCTGGAGATGCTTGGCTGTAAAGGGAATGCCGAGAAAATATATTGCACTGATTAAGGCACTCTATTCGTACTCATACAGCCAGGTGAGGGCTTACGGCGAGCTGTCATCTGAACTGATGACGACTAGTGGTGTCCGTCAAGGATGCCCATTGTCTCCTTTTCTATTCAACTTCATCATAGATGTGTTAATGGACTTAACCCTAGGTGACTTCAGCGACTCAGGGATTGACTTGCTACCGGGGAATAATCCCGTTGACTTAGAATATGCAGACGATATAGTCCTTCTAGGCGAAGACGCTGACGAAATGCAGAGTCTTCTGAACACCTTGAGCCGTAATCTACGAATGTTTGGCATGCGATTCGCTCCCGCCAAATGCAAGATGATGTTACAGGACTGGACTACATCGACGCCTAGTTTAAAAATAGGAAGTGAAGTGGTAGAGCACGTCGACCGCTTCACTTATTTGGGAAGTACCATCAGCCGATGCCAACGGGTTGATCTCTGACGAAATCTCGGCACGAATACAGAGGGCTAATTTCGCATATGCCAGTTTACGCCGTCTCTGGCTTAGTAGACGTGATATCTGATTATCGACCAAAGGGCGGGTGTACTGCTCATCAGTCCGCTCCGTCCTTTATGGCCAGCTGTGAGACATGGCCACTGAGAGTGGAAGACATGAAAAGGGTGACTAGCTGTCTTTGATCATAGGTGCCTGCGCTCTATTTCCCGGGTGAAGTGGCATAATAAGGTGAGCAACATTGAGGTTAGGCGTTGAGTTCTAGGTAAGCAGGGGAAATCAATCGACGAAGTCGTGAAGTTGCAAAGACTGAGATGGTTAGGACATGTGTTACGTATGCCAAGCCATCGCCTCCCTCGACGAGCAATGTTAGCGGATATAGGGTCAGGCTGGAAAAAAGCTAGCGGCGGTCAAACAAAAACTTGGCACCAGTCAATGAAATCCACAACAGTTGGTCTAAGCCATGTAGGAAGATGTAGACTTCCTGGTTGGGGTCCTCGGGACGGTAAAAATCTATGGTTGGAAACAATTGGTGACATGGCTCAAAATCGTTCTCAATGGCGGGCGCAGATGCATCCACTCCTTGTGACTTATGATCTCCAATGAAACTGTTTTGTTCTTCGTTATTACTCCTCCTTTGTCTCACACCTCTGTTAACTCTCTCTATTATGCCTTTCTTGTACTTTCTTCTCTTGCTCTGCGTGCTACATGCAGTGTGGCGACTTGAACTGGTACACATTTGTGCAGAGTTCTATGTCGAAAACAGACAGACAGTCACCTAGTCTGCTTAGTTGTCAAATAACAGGTCAGTTTGTAGGAATTTGGTTTATTTCAAGCTTGATCACGGATTGATGTCAGTTAGAGAACCATTGAAAACCTGCAGGCAGTTCATTGCTGGACAGCTGTCTCGTCCTAGTTTCGGACTCTTGCCTGGAGTTCTTGTGAGAATTCATGACCACTGGAGTCCACGCGGTATGACCTGAAGACAAATAATCGCCGATGACTTTGACTGATGGTTGCGCTAAAATCACAAATTGGTAGGAATTGGGATCCATGGAACCCTTGAATCACGAACCAGTGACTGAATGGTCTACGAGCTTGCCTTTGTAACCTAAAAGTTCTGGGTTCGAACCCTGGTGCATGATTAAGCGAGAAGTATTCAACACACTGGCTCGTCAGTCCAGTTTACACAAATTTCAGAAACTTGGTATGGTTTTCTGTTCAGTTTTTTATATTTTCTGATTAGCATTATCTTTATCTAAAACAAATATGTCGCCAACTGGGGAACTGCCCACATATCTGGTGATTATAATAAACTTTGATTTCATATGTTTAACCACCTTCAGTCTGATCAGACCTGTAGTGCGTGTCACAATCTTTGTTCAAAGTTCATTATTTACTATTTATTTCATTTATTTAGTGTAACTTTTGTAAGCTAGCCAGACAGTATTTGATGCTTACAGCTTTGCCTACAAGATTAGTTTGAGACAGACTGTTAAACTAGTCTAATTCAGACAAAAAAATATTTGCAAACAAATTCCATTACTAATTTTTTTTTATTTGAACTATCTAATTATGTCAATAGAAAATAGTTACATGCTACTGTGCTATTAATTATTGATTTTTGTCTGTAAAATGTTCCTGAAAGCCATTAAAAATCTTTATTTCTTATGTTTAGGAAATAAATGAAGTTATACAAAAAATGGCTGGTGATGAACGACCTCGTCTACGTAAACCTCTTTTAAGATTCACACAAAATCAAACGAATCAATCTGATGATTTAACACGTTTAAATATATCCGGTATTCAAAGTGGTCCGAATGGTGACTGGATTCTGTCACGTGCTGCACGTGGCAGAACTAAATTCACAATCAAGTAATAATTTAACTGTTATAATTACCTCCTGATGTTTGACCTAAATTCTAATATTTTTTTTATCCATCTTATACCCAGTATAGCAAAAATCAAGAGTAAATTTCTCATGGATCGGTAATAATATTCAGGCGGATGCCTTACCTAGAGATACCTTGAATTAATGCAAGTTTATTGGCACTAATAACACTCGACTATTCTACTATTTAAATACATTTTGTGTGGATGTGTAGCTTATTGGCTAAAGCACTCATTTTTCAACCAGTGGGTCGTAGGTTCGAGTCCCGCTTAACTTAGTTTAGCATTGGAAACTGAACCACATCAATGGTTTAGTGGTTGGATACTCGCCAACCATGCACACGTGACCCACGGTTCGATTCCCGGTCGGCGCACAGCTTCACCTCGTTTAGTTGGTTGTCAGCCCAACAAAGAAGGGAGTTTGGACCAGCAAACTCACCCTGTGAAAAAAGACATCATCACTACTACTGAAACTTCATAGCTCAAGCTTGAAGCCCTATGTCAAGGAACTTAACCCTAAGTTCCTATTATTTGCGAATACGCTCCGAATCGATAACTACTACGATCAGTAACCCACTTCAACTCCAAAATACCAGTATTTGTAGGAACTTATATTGTTCAGCAATTAAAATTGAAACTGATACAGAAGTCTATAAACAAATGCTTTATAATGAATGCACCAGTACTTTTATTCGTATTCTTTCGTCTTCTTCCAACTTGTACACGATTGATTCATTCGCGCCTTCGGTCAATGAACCAACGTTCAATGTTCACGTTCCTTCACACCATATGTTCCAACTGGAACGCGAAGGAATGACATAACATAACATAGTCTGCTACATGAGAAAATATTCTCTGACTAAGTGATTTGTAAAAGAATATTTTTCTCTTTTCAAACACATTATCTCAAAATATTTTTGCGTTTCATAGGAACTCTAGAAAAATCGCATACTTACAGTTTTTAATTGTCTAATGTGTTTCAGCTGATTAAAGTCGACGCTTTGATACAAGTATGCATTTACTGAGTGTATTAATCGCTTTTAGCGAAGTTTTTCAGGTTTACCTATCACATTAAAACAAAATAAATAATAATTTATCCTTCACGTTTCCAGTAGAACATACGGCTTCAAGCTAATGGCTTGTAGTTTCTGTAGCAGTGGTGTTTATTTTTACAGGATGGGATTGCTAGCCTCATGCCCAACCTTTCCTCTTTACCAGTCTCACTACTGGTTTAGCGAGGTAAAGGAGTGCGTTGGCGGCCGGGGATCGAACCCCGGACATGTGCATGGTCGGCGGGCGTCCTAACCTCTGTGCCGCCGACGCACAATAAAACAATTACTGTTTATTTTTTGCCTCAAAGATAAGATGCTTTAAACCAAGTTATTCAGCACATCTCATTCACTGATAGATGGACAAGATTTCTTAAAACTAAACGTTAAATATCGACTTCTTTATTGTAGAAATTTGTTTGTCTATTTTTGGTGTTACTTAGTGCATTCACTTCAACCCTGTGACATAAAGTGGAAAAGTTTATGCACATATATTAACTAACATTTTTAGATAACAGGTATAATTAGCAGTCAAATTTTTATGACGTTGGTTTTAGTTAGGTTATGTTGAAGCGAAATTGTTGGTGTCTGTTGACAAGCGTGCTTCTTGTACACGGACGTTCCGACTATGTCCGAAAGAATTCACGTGAAGTTACTCTGGTTGGTAATGAGTAGACGGTGAACTTCCATTTGTGATTGTACCCGTATTGGCATCTTAAACGGTGGGCGCATGGTTTGGATCTCATTGGGAACACCACTCTCAGGGAACACAAGTACATCCAGCTGACTAGTCCCAAACAGGATGAATTGTACATCCTGGATCCCACTGCTCGCAACCGTCAACCATATATATATATATATAATATATAATAATATATATATATATAACTTTATGTCTTTACTTGACAAATTGTTACAATATCGAGTAATTATGTCTTCGCCTGGATAAACAGCACTTGAATTACTCAAGTTTACTTTGTTCTCAAGTAATATTCGTGATAAGCGTCATGTATATAAATCAGCTTGAATGTATATCAGTCATATATAAGTGAAATTTTTTAAAATTTTTTATAGAATACGAATGAAGGAGATTCAGTTGTTAGCATCAACAAAAAATGGTGCAATCAAATTAGAAGCGAGAAAAATTGAAGTTGAGTTAACTAATCGTGTTTCACAAACTCATTCAATTCATAATCGTAATGGATCATTTTATCCATCGAATGATTCAAATATTTTATCAACACTTGGTGTATCTCAGAAAAGACCTTCGAATTTAAATATTCGTCCATCAAACAATCCTAGTGGTCACCATTTTGATTTTAGTCCTACATCCCTTGGAGAATCAAGTGGTAAGTTGTTTGTTCTCAATTATGCATCGTTTAGTCTTCCGAATACTTCTGAAAGATTGCGATCTATTGATTAATGTTTTGAAATAAGTAATAAAGACATTTTGAGGACAGTTGGTTCCCTTTATGTGAATATCAAGAAAAAGAATGAGAAGACGTAATTTATCTGAATCGTGTAATGTATTTACACAACGCATTTCGAGCAATCTGATCATACATTTTACTTGTTAAAGGAATATACATGGAAATAATAATAAAGCGTTAAGGGGTGACGGAATAGACAAGGGTCAAGTTAAAAGGCCATATTGAAGCTCAAAATGACAATGGGGATCAATAAACCAAAGGAGGAAGGTAATGGTACATGGGGGAATTGTCATCTGAATTGGTAACAACCACTGGTGTCCGACAGGGATGTCCACTTTCCCCATTTCTGTTTAACTTCATCGTAGATATGCTGATGGAAGTATCCTTAACTGAACGTAATGACTTAGGAATCGACTTGTTACCAGGGAATAGTCTTATGGACTTAGAATATGCAGATGACATAGTCCCGTTAGGGGAGGATGCTGACAAAATCCAGCAGAGTCTTCTGAACACCTTGAGCAGCAATCTTCGTATGTTTGGCATGCGATTCGCCCAAACAAAATGTAAGATGCTGCTACAGGAGTGGACCACATCAACTTAGTGATAGGGAGTGAATTGATAGAACATGTTGACCACTTCACCTATTTGGGAAGTTGTATTAGCACCAACGGACTGATTGGCGATGAAATCTTAGCACAGATCCGAAAAGCTCGAGCTGCTTTCGCTGACTTACACCATCTCTGGCGTAGGCGTGACATCCGGTTATCAACCAAGGGACGTGTGTACTGCTCATCAGTTCGCTCCGTCCTTCTCTATGGCTCTGAAACATGGCCAATACGAGTTGAAGACATGAAAAGGTTGACTGCTTTCGATCATAGATGTCTGCGATCTCTGTCTCACGTTAGGTGGTATAATAAGGTAAGTGATGTTGACGTTAGGCGTAGAGTGTTGGGCAAACAGGGAAAATCAATCGACGAGGCTATAAAGTTACATAGACTAAGATGGCTAGGTCACGTGCTGCGCATGCCTAACCACCGCCTCCCCCGACGGGCATTGCTAGCTGATATAGGTGAAGGTTGGAAAAGAGCCAGTGGTGGCCAAACAAAAACATGTCATCAATCCATGAAATCCTTGACAGTTAAACTGAGTCAGGTAGGGAGATGCAGACTCCCGGGTTGGGGCCCTCGGACTCTAGGAATCAATGGCTGGAGACAATAGGTGACATGGCTCAAAATCGTTGTCAATGGCCAGCGCAGATGTATTCAGTCTCTGTAATCTTTCATATTCCTTTCTACCATTACCCATTCTGTTTCACTCTTATACTTGTCAAACACTATTGATTCTCTTCACTCATATTCTTGTCTACCTCTGTGTGCTATTTGGAACGTGGTATCTCGAACTGGTGCACTTCGGTGCCAAGTTCTATGTTGAAGCCAGACAGACAGAGAATGGTACATGTGCCCTAGCATCAGAACAAAGCTTACTAAGGAAGGTTTAATGTGATGACGAATTGTCTTAGAACACATAAAGATGCTTTAAACTCCCACGAACTTGAGGATGACCCCCAAACATGTTGTATTGACAGGTTTAGAGCACGCGTAAACACCAATTTTATGTCCTATCTCTATAATATATTTCTCAATAGAAGAGATAGGTTGTCTTTGTTCATCATTTTAACGGGTTCAGGAGATTCGATTCGCTTTTGAAGCCATTTGGGAACATGATCTTAGGCCCTTACTTGCAAAGATCAATGAGTCTTCCCTACGTATGCGTGTCCACGCAGACATTTAAAATGGCAGATACAGTGGGATGTGACATTGCTTTTTGCATGTCCTAGGGGGTTTGATGGATATATAGCCACCACATTCGTTTCAGATCTTTGCTGCATAGAAAGTCTTTTTAACATCAGCATTCAACCTTTGTCTAGCTACCAAACTGCTATGATCACTCATGTAGGCTAGCTTGATATATACATCCTTCCTAGCTGCGAGTTGGAGAATGGGTCTTGGTGTTCTGACTCTTCAGTATCTCCTTAGAACTTATCCGGATAATTATTATCAACTAGACTTTCCATCAGTTTTTTCTTCGTCTTTAAGTGTATCTTCTAGGTGTATTTGTTGAATCCTCTTAAAGAGATACCTCACTAAGGCTCTTTTGTACCGAACAGGAGAAAGCTATGGTAATTATGACACTATACTGTTAGATTCTAACCGTCCAAATTCCGTAAACTGCTATATATATATATATATATATAGTCAAGCGACTAGGCTTATTTATTTTTGAAGCATATTTCTCCCTATAAATTACTCCTGATAGGATTTACTTTGCTTACATGTTAAATAAAAGTAACTACTCTAATTGTGTGAACGACCTGTGTTTTGTCTTAGCTAATGAAATACCATAGCTAGCTGATTGGTGAATAATCTGACGACAATTCAGCATCTCATTCTGATGACTAATTTTCCTTCAGCTGTATTATTTTTTACATAGGCAGAAGATGTAATCACAAAACAGCAGTTTAAAAGTGTTCAGTTTCATGTTTTTTTTAGTGATTAGCATTCCATCATTATTCTTGAGGATAATTTAAACCTTGAATGAAGCAACAAAATCAACAGTTAAATAGTTGTGTAAATTACTCTAAATATATATGTGTATAAGTTAATGCCAGAATACTCCAACTCTTAGTAATTTTACTCAATGCATTTTGTTTTTTTTTTCATAGTTTTTATTCCATCCTAATTAGTCTACTTTTTCCTTACCATTTTGTTTTCAGGTCATGATTCACTTTTCATATACGCTACCATTGCCAATATTGGTCTAGATTTGGGTTATTTCGATCAGGTAAGCTGAACAAGCTTTATTATATTTTCCTAATTTAATTGTATTCACGTCATCTTCCCTTTAATATACCTATAACAATAAAAAGTGACTCTGTTTTGTGAATAGGGGAATTCTACTTCCGCATATCTCTTGTCAATTTGACAGATCACGGCAGTATTTGATAGCAGAATTGCTTATCTGCTGAAATGATATACATATATGTCAAAACACTGAAACCTTACATTGATTGATTGACTGACTGACTGGTTTCAACATAAAACTTCGCACAGATGTGCAGCCGTTAGAGTGGCCTCATTCAATGTAGCAGACAAAGCAAGAAAAGAGAGCAAACAAAGATTCAGAACATAGATAGGGAACAGAAATAAGGGGCAAAAAGAATAATAATAATATGGAAGAACAACGGAATTTTATTGGATGTGGTAAATCACAAAGAGTGAATGCATCTCCGCCAGTCATTGAGAACGATTTTGAGCAATATTACCGATTGTCTCCAGCCTTCATCGGTTTTTACCATTCCGGCGACCCCAACCAGTCAAAAAGACTACACCTCCCTACGTGGCTGGCTGGCTGGCTTAAACCAACTGTTATGGATTTCATTGATTGATGAAGCCATGTTTTGGTTTGACCATCACTACCAACTCTTTTCCAACCTGATCGATGCTGTGTCAGCTAACATTGCCCGTCGGTCGAGGAAGGCGATCGATGGCTAGACATACGCAACACATGTGTTGACCATCTTAATCGGTGTAACTTCACAAACTCATCGGTTGATTTCCCCTTCTTATTTAGCACTCGACTGAGGCCTAACCTCAATATTTCCCACCCTATTACACTTACCACCTTACATGGGAGATAGAACGCAGGCACCTATGATCAAAGACAACTAGTGAGCCTTTACATGTCTTCCACTCTCAATGGCCAGGTCTCACAGCCAGCCATAAAGGAGGATGGAGCAGACTGCTGAGAAGTACATATTACACACGTCCTTTGCTCGATAGACAGGTAATCACGCCTACGTCAGAGATGGCGTAAACTGGCATATGAGAAACTAGCCTTCTGTATCCGTGCTGAGATTTCGTCAGCGATCAATCCGTTGGCGTTGGCTGATGTATCTCTCCAAATAAGTGAAGTGATCAACACTCTCCTTCAACCACTTCACTCCCTATCTCTAAACCAGGAGTCAATCTAGTCCAGTCCTGTAACCTCGTCATCTTACAGTTGGCGGGTGCGAATCGCATATGCCAAACATTCGAAGATTGCTGCTCCTCAAGGTGTGCAGAAGACTCTGCTCTATTTTGTCAGCGTCTTCACCTAGAAGGACTATGTCATCTGTATATTCTAAGTCGACGGGATTATTACCTAGTAGCAAGTCAATCTCTGAGTCGCTGAATGCAGTTGGAGTTAAGTTCACTAGTACATCTCTAATGAAAACAAACAGAAACGGGGAACTTACATTGAAATCTCCATCTGCATATGTTCTTCGTGTTTGTTCTCCCTTTGTCTTCGTTTCAAGCCTTGTGCATATTTGTTTTATGCTGATCTTTCATTTTGTCCTCTTCGTTCCTTAATCCCTGTCTCTATTATTTATTAGTATTTCCCAAGACCACATAATATACAACCATTTACAAAATCTTGTCAATAGCACTCGTTTTTAGGATGATATTGTATTATATATATATTCGATTTTGGTATAACATTTACAAGTCTCTAAGTTATAATAAAGGTATTAGATAGTTGGAGGCAATCAGAAGTAAGCCTTCCACCTAGGTTTCGTGCCAGTTGCCACTCACCAGTCAGCAAGGCGAATGTATCTGTAACTTTGAAGGAACTCATGTCCCTCCTGAGATTCGAACCCCGGTCATCCAGTGAGTTCTGCAGTCATAGACGTTACCACTGAGCTATTCGGGCTCGTGATTGACTTCCTGTAGGACTGTAGTGGGTATTTTGATTGGACACTAGTAACTAGTGTGACTTGTCTAGTCCTTTTCTTTGGTGCAGAGTGACTGGTTTTTTGTGTTTCCCAATGAATGAAAAACGAAACAATATTTTTTTTGCCGACGTTTCTCTATTTATTGCTAGTAGCTGTTTACATAATGAAATTGTTTGTGACATTCGTGTTAGTTTTGTGTTTTCCTGGAGGAAGGGGGTAGTTGTAACCAGGTCAAATTCTGTTTTAGTCCATCATTCTTATTCAGGCAATTCGGATTCCATTTGAAATGAAGTGCTTCTGATATTAGACATTCTTTGTGATTTCTGAAATTTTTCTGGACTACTTCAGTATTGTCAGACTTGTTTTTGACATATATAAGTCTCTAAGTTACCAGAATACTTTTTTTTAATATTTTAATTCATTCTTTAATAAAAACATCGTTGAACTATAACTTCAATAAGCGTAAAATGTGAAATAACGAACGAACATTAAAATAGAAAGTTTCTTTTATCGTGAAACTAATCGCTGTAACAATCGCTGTTATTATTATGCCCTCTACGGACTTTCATTATGCCTCTAGATGAAGACCTCAGATCGGATTTCAAAATAATGTGAGGTTTTGGAATTATTGATGAATCGTATGACTGTCTCTACTGATGATGGATGACCTTGACCGTGATTACTTGTCCTCGAAAATTTTCCTCATCATTTTATTTCATGCGCTATTATTGATCGTCTCGCTGACTTGATATTTTTGTTTGTCCCTTGCCTAACCATACTGGATGGTGTTCGAAAATACGATGATGAACCTGCCTAATGTACGCCCGACGTAGCTGGCTCCGCAGCTGCAGTCAAACTGGTAGATACACATAGAGGAGACGAATTTAGGTAGTTTATCCTTATTTCTCGAACGTAGAATAGGGTGGTTGTGAAGAGACAATGTACCTCTGCTGCATAATAAGCTCCTTTGCCTGCATTCTTCAGTCGTTGTGTTATTATTTCGCTGGTGGTATCACCGAGGATCTGCAGTTATATGAACAGTGGCTTTTTTGGAACTGTTGCCATACTGACTGTCCTAGGTGATGAATTCATATATTTCTCAATGAACTTATCTGTAGAACCGTTTTTTCTAAGTAATTCTCTAATAATCTTAAGCTCCTCATTGAAGCAGTCGTCTGAACAGATTAACCTAGCTCTATGAACCAGACAGGTTACGATTATATTTCAAAGGTACAAAACTCAAAAAATGAGTGTACTGCCTGTTGTAGTAGGTTTCCTGTACACACTCCTTCTCAGTGTTCCGTCTTCTTTCCTTACCATGAAGACGTCTAGGAATGAGATAGTCTATGGTAAAGTTTATAGCTGAATGGGCATCATTATACTTGTCAAGGATGTTCATAGCATCGTTCTCATTTTTCAAGACCAGAAATGTATCATCCATATATCGACAGTAGAAATCCATATCATTAATTACTCCTTTCAGCGGTCCATTTTCTAACTAGCGAGGAAAAAATCAGATAGGATTGGACCTAATGTGTACAGGAAACCTACTACAACAGGGCAGTACACTCATTTTTTGAGTTTTGTACCTTTGAAATATAATCGTAACCTGTCTGGTTCATAGAGCTAGGTTAATCTGTTCAGACGACTGCTTCAATGAGGAGCTTAAGATTATTAGAGAATTACTTAGATAAAACGGTTCTACAGATAAGTTCATTGAGAAATATATGAATTCATCACCTAGACAGTCAGTATGGCAACAGTTCCAAAAAAGCCACTGTTCATATAACTGCAGATCCTCGGTGATACCACCAGCGAAATAATAACACAACGACTGAAGAATGCAGGCAAAGGAGCTTATTATGCAGCAGAGGTACATTGTCTCTTCACAACCACCCCTATTCTACGTTCGAGAAATAAGGATAAACTACCTAAATTCGTCTCCTCTATGTGTATCTACCAGTTTGACTGCAGCTGCGGAGCCAGCTACGTCGGGCGTACATTAGGCAGGTTCATCATCGTATTTTCGAACACCATCCAGTATGGTTGAGCAAGGAACAAACAAGATCCATTCGTAGCTCGATTTCAGCACACCTTGTAGATAGTGAACGTTAAGTTGACTTGATATTCGACCTGTGATGACCTAATCAATTTTTAACTGATTAACACATGCAATCTAGAGGGATTATGAACGCTTTATGATACGATAGGAGTCAAAGATTGTATCAATCAATGGTTTTATACATCACTATGATCAATTACTATAATTTCAGCTACGTGTTTGATTTAGCTAAGAAATATGATTTAAACAAATATTTAGTCCTGTAATTTTTATATACTAATAACTCAAAAGAGTTTCATGTCAGGGAAAGATTTAATCCTCTGAAATGTTAGATCATATTTCAACCACTTAATAAGTGAAGGATCAGCGTTTTATCAGATAGTATCACAAAGATTACCAGTCATTTCTCACGATCATATTATTTCCTCTGATTTTTCCTCAATTCATTAATCAAGTGATACTCTTTCCCCTAGTGTCTTAGGTATTAATTTAGAATGTTATACTTGTCTGTATATTTCTCATCACATAGCTGACACATCATGTGATGGCTGTTTTAAACATTCATTATTTTCTGATTTTCTCATTATCAATAAAGAAATTTCACCTTATCTTCCTCTTGATATCTTTGTTTATGGGGTAGTGCAAATGACAAGATAACAGAGATACAGAATTGCTTCTAGTCTACTAAGGCTACCGGCAGTGAAACATTTCCTGCACCTTTTCATGCAATTTTTCTCTAGGAATATATATCAATGATCCATATCTGGCGCTTTGAGACCAAGCTTTATGATCAAATATCAGATCTGAAAGATCATCATATAGTATATGCGCCCTGAGCTATTTATCCTTCCGCTTAACTGAAATACCCGCCTCTTATGAGATTTAAAGCAAGAAGTAGTTTTAGATAAAGCTGTATTTAATAAGTTATATATGTCTAAACCAAGTTCACTGTAGTTTGATTGGACACTAGTAACTAGCAGGGAGTATTTACAACCTTGAAGGAATTCATGTCCCTTGCTGACGAGTGTCAACTAGCACGAAGCCTAGGTCCAAGGCTTTCTGTGGCCGATTGCCTCCAACTATCTAATATTATCTAATATCCCGGTGGGTGCGTACTGCTGAAGAGTCCCAAACTAGGACGAAACAGCTGTCCAGTACTCCCAGGTTTTCCAATGGTTCCCTAACGAATGTCAGCTCATGATTAAATCCTGAAACCAATCAAATCCCTACAAACCAACACTTAAATATCTAATATCATGAAATCAATGTGCACCGTGATGGCGAGCTACCTAGAATGGTGGCCACATTGCAAACTTGACTGATAGAATTCAGTCTGCACCAAAGAAAGACTAGACACGTCACACTAGTTACTAGTGTCCAATCAAAAATATCCTCTACAGTCCTACAGGAGGTCAATTGCGAGCCCGAATAGCTCAGTGGTAACGTCTCTGACTGAAGAACTCACTGGATGACGCGGGTTCGAATCTCAGGAGGGACATGAGTTCCTTCAAGGTTGCAGATACGCTTTTCTGACGAGTGCCAAGTAGCACGAAAACTAGGTCCAAGGCTTCCTGTGGCCTATTGCCTCCAACTATCTAATATCAAGTTCACTGTATTTTCATAAATTCATACATTTTTGGTAGAACTAATCAGTTGAATACTCTATATAAATCATTGTGTTTATGCCAAATTGAAGAAGGGTTAACATGGGACAAAATGGATTTAGTGGTCGCAAATAATTGTTAAGTTCACAATTAAGTATCTAATCGAAATGTGTGAATTTATTTTCATATTCTTCAAGAATACTACTACTTATTTTGAAATATAACTTAGATATTTAAACATCACACTACATTCAAGTACCGTATAATTATCAAATACACTATATTTATATGCTGTAATTGGTCAATCGCTATACCTATATTGATCTTCTCATTAAATATGACGTATTTATTTATTGTCTACGGCCGAGTTATGGTGTATGTTTAACTGATGTTGAAATATTAATATTTTGTTTTCATTGTTACTTTTCTTTCACAGGATACCTTTCATGCACTTAGTCCTGATTTTCAAAATGTCGCATTTTTCCGTACATCTATTGCCTTACGTTCTCTGTTGGCCGATGAAAAATTTGCACCAAATCAAAATGGTGATTGTTGTAATGCAAATAATAATAGTAATCGTGGTGAACAGGATGCATTTCTTATTTCATTGAATCGTCCAATTGTCTGGCTTAAACCTTTTACACTTGATCGAGGTATAAATAATGTATAATTTTTTTTTTAAACTACTTGAAATAGACATAATTCTTTAAATACTGTGTTTATGTATTCAATTTTCTTTTATTCCTGTACGTCCCCAGTGGAACTTCGGGCTTCAAGCTAGAACTTTGAAGTTTAGGCAGCAGTGATGTTTAGTTTTATGGGGTGGGGTTGTTATCCTCACACCTAACCTCCCCTCTTTATCAGTTATATTACCGGCTTATTGAGGTAAGGGAGTGCATCGGCTGGGATCGAACCCCAAACCACATGTATGGTTGACAAGTATTCTACCGCTGAACCACCGACGCACATATATTCATCATATTATAGCAAAATGAGTACCTTCCACTAACATATGAATATTCAGTATACATTCATAGCGTGTATTCATCAAATAATGAACGTGAAATCCTTTCTGTATTCGCCAAACAGCATGCAATACTTTTACTTAACAACTTCAAAATTCACTTTCTACATTATACTGTCAGGAGGAAAAGCTTCTTCTTCCTAGTGAATTTCTAGCAGTTACTTTCTCTATGTTCGTGAATATGAAGGCAATAATTGGAAAGCTGCTTGTTTCAAATGAAGAAAATTGTATATTTTGTATACTTTGTCATTTCAATATTCTACATAGAAATTAAAGCTATCGCGATGATTTTTTGACTTCCCACTTTTGTTAGGTAGTGTATACAAATTTAAAATGTCTTCTTTTTGAAGCTTTCATGATGAAACCTTTACAGCTGAAAGAGAATGTGTGTGTCCAGCACACTGTAGATTTATAGCTAGGATATTTGAATAAGTAATTATAGGTTTGATGATGTTGATGAGTATCCACAAAATAAAACGAGCTCGTATTCTCCTGCAAACATGTTCGTTCTCTCTCTCTTCAAACTAATAAAGGGAACCGGTTGTATGAAATAAGGTGTGTGTGTGTGTGATAGAATACTCGTAACTGCTGAAGACAAGAGTCAGGCAACAGATCATTTATTGAGAAAATCAACAGATATTTATAATTTTTATGTACATTAATGTTCGTTATTGTTAGCAGAGAAGCAACGTCCTCTGATTGGTTGTTTTCCTGCTGAAGGTTATTTTGTCATCTCTTTGTTGTCGTTTCTTAGACAGTCCGGTGATATATCTGCAATTGTATCCGCCGATGCTAAGTCTGCTGTGATTGGTCGTTGATTTCCCCATGGTTTAGCTTTGTTCTTGTTTTGTCTCATGACCAATTTCGGTTTGCATACACCTCTCATCACATACTGACTAATTTATTTCAGGACTTCAAACCCATGACCTACTGGTTACAAGGTAAGCCCATAGACCACTAAGCCACTGGGATTTACTGCAATGGCCGGTGCATGAATTCCAACTTGTGGCAATTCACGACATGTCGCGACCACTAGTGAATATCATCCGTAACGAGTATTTGTCCTAACACCCGACCTGCTGTACCCCACTAGTCACTACTTCCTGAAGCCAATTAAATCCCTGCAAACAACACTTGAATGAATAGTTTATGTTGTTATACTGGACTTCTATAGAAAAAGATGATCTGACAGCTACCAATAGCAGATGGAGTGTAAACTAGCCTAAATTTCCTACTTTTTAGTTATAAATGAACTTATATTAAATGTTGATTATATTTGAATATATTTACGCCTTTTATTTTATAAAAAAATTATTTAGGTATAATGATGTGGATGGTGTACAGAGATGAATTTGCTAAGTGGAATGAACATATAGAACATTTGGCATCCATGGTAAGAGTGTCTGATATGTACCTTAATTTGTGCCTTTTTCATTTAGTTCATTTTTTAAAATACAGCTTGATTCCACACCGTATTTTTTGGTACAGGTCTGGAATTTTCAGCATGGATATCGGGAGCCCAAGTTTTGCAGGCCGACCATTGATATCAGGTGTCAGTCGACAGGGGATCGAACCCGGGACCGTGTGCATGGTCGGCGAGAGTCCTAACCACTGTGCCACCGACGCACATATTTTGGTCAACTTAATTAAAACAATCAGGCTCTTTGATAAATTTGATTATGGTGTTTAGAAGACAAATTTCTCGTGATGATATCATTTCGTAGTTTCTCTACAATTGTTTTACGACTACCGTCGTTCACAATAGTAAAATAAAATAAAATGCATGACTGCTTGTGTATCATATATCTTAAAGAAGAGTCATATATATACACATGGAGAGGAACATTCTACGTTGTTGCACGCCTTTGCTTTTATATTGTAACAACAGAAGGCAAGACACGGAAACCAAGGTATATTTTCCATTGGTCAAACCGCTGTTTATATATATATATATATATATATATATATATATATATGTATATAAAGTTTATATTCTTTGACCAATCACTGAACGTGTGATTTCGGTTTACATTAAACAACATGAAATAGAATGTTCACATATGCACAGTATTCTTTTGTTAATGCAGTATATAACCGTGGGAAATGTATTCTGACGCTAACATCAAATAGGATATTCAGATTGATGTATCGTATTCTGCTGCTACTGCAGTATTGAACTGTGGGAATATGTGAGAATAATATTCCGTTGGTACACATTGTCTGTATCATACCATCACAATATGATGTAATGGGAATTTCTAAGTTGCAAAAACGTTGCAAGCATCCGGTGTCTGAAGAAGCTAGACAATTTCCTGTGTCGCTTAACCCCTTTTCTTTTGTAGGAATAATCGTTTCCTACTTTTGAGGATGGGGAAACACATATTCAAATGGCTTAAAAAACAAATGGACTCTCTGCATTTACCAAGTTTAGCGTTAATTAACATCCGTCTTATTCTTAAATCCTTTTGTCTGAATCGATAAGTAAATATATGAATGGACCATGCACATGGTCCGGGGTTCAAGCCCACGCCGACGCACACCTGATATCTATGGTCGGCCTGCGAAATTTGGGCTACCGATATCCACGCTGAAAATTCCATACTTGTACCAAAAATACGGTGTGGAACCAAGCTGTAATCAAAAATAAAATTAAAAAAATAAATAAAATAAAAATGTATTGCGCAAATGCACCACATTTTCCAAGTAAACTCTGTCTTCGAATAACACTGTCGATTTTTCTTAAAAGGACTAATTTTTCAAATTGCATTTGACTAATTACACAGAATACTACCCAATTACTTTTCAAGATACCAGCTGAAACTCAATAGTTTTATAGGATGCATAATTAGTGTGATTACTATTCATATTTTGACTTCAACCTCCTTTTTATGGTCGACATTATCAAATTTGGTTATTATATATATATAACTGCCATAGAAAGCTATTTATGAATTCTACCTTGCTTTACTGTAAATTTATTTTACAAAAGCGATTAGTTCGTTGTTATACTCAATTTCTCTTCATCTGTTCTATGCAAACGGCAGTATTGTTTTCTCATCTGTACATATGTGTGTTTCAGGCTCCTCCAGAGGAAAACTTTGAACAGCCACAAATTGGTTCAGGTTCTACGCATGGTGCCTACCATACCAGTGGTCATCCAATTAAAGATCGTTCTCAGCATACATTTGTTCCTTCTCCTCCTCCTCCTCCTGCTTATTCTACTGTACATCCACCGGCTGCACCACAAATGAATGAAATACCCGATGTCACTATCGCGTCTAACCCATCCGTCAACAGCAATAATAAGACATCATCAACTTTATTTTTACAACTAAGTATAGAAGATCTTGGCGTTTGTCTACCTATTCACATGATTAAGGTAATGTTTTTAAAGTGTTATGTAACATAATCATGTATAGAAAAAGTATTTTGATAATAGTTACCATGACTACCAAAATGACCATTCTCATGGGTGATCTTTTGAACGTGTTTGCGTGCCGCAGAGTAGGCTTATAATAATAATATCTTTATTCTGGACAGTATTCATAAAATGTACAGAATTTTCAGAGAAGTTCATTGCGTGATATTTTCCCTTCGTACAATATTTTCAAACAAAATATTACTTAACAGCATATCCTGTGAAACAATGGTCTCAGCTGAAGCACAAACCATTCCATTATGATATATCTGCTTTGTCCTCTTGAAGAAATCCACAATATCTAGTTGAAAGTCAATTGTAAAATGTTCAGAAATACGTTTTGAAACCCAAGGACATAACTGAAGAACAGTTATCTCATGTATTGGAACACGTTGCCACCCACGATGAGGCTTTTCCTCAAGTTTAATAGAAACTTGCGAATCAGAAGCTTGCAAACATTTTAAATACACACAAGAGTAGATAATATCATTAGAGGTGATATCTTAATCGATTAAAACAAACAGAACGAGAGAAAATATAGGCAATACAGAGATGGAAGTTATTGATAGCCCCAAGTTTTAAGCTTGCCACCACAAGGCCTTTTCAGAAAGGACAAAGAGTAATACGTACAGTTCTTTAATAAAATCAAGTGACTTCTCAACATATCTATATCAACACATTTAAAGTTGTCTGCTATGTATGTTACATAATAATCGCCGTATACTACTGTCCTTTTAGAAAGATTTTGTTGCATTTGCAGTAAAATCAAGACCTTTTGGAAATACCCTAACTTGTACAGACATTATTTTATTTCTATCACCGAACAACGTTACATTCAAAGTTTCCTACTTTCTTAGAAAGTTAAAGTTATATTTCTGAATTATATGGGAACCTTTTAATACATAACTAATGTGAAAAAGTTCTCTGTCTATCTAAGTGCATTCCAAGTAAAACTGTTGAGATAAGCAGTTATTAGTGTGCTTGATTCGTACGACTCCTACTAACTGCCGAAAATATTTACGTCTCCCGAGTCATTTCATTTTGAAGAATTAAGGCGTCGCGTTTGCATTTAATCACTGTACTTTTAAATTTGTCATGGACGAATGAATATGCATATAGGAATGTTGATCAAAAAATGATTGAATCAGCTTACTTTATTGATAATGCCAATAAATCAGTTCGAACGCTTAATATGTAAAGTTTATCATTATTTCAAGTTATATCACGAAAACTAAGGAGAAATGGGCATCTGTTTCGTCCTAGTTTGTGACTTTTCAGCAGTGTTTACCCATCAGCCCACGGGGGAAGGGGGAGGGACAAACCTAGGATCTCCAGGTTACGATGTGAGTGTGTTGACTATGTAGTCACTAGGACGAATTCATGAAATACTGATTGTTTCTACACTAAAATTCTCAAATCATTTGTTCTCAATGAACAGCAACTACAAGTGGAAGTAAAAACTCTTAACCTAAATATTATCAATTGAATAATTTTATTTGAATAAAACACCATGATACATTATCACTTGCTGATGATATTTTCAGCACAATTTATTTTCGACAATCACATCTAAACTACTTCTGAACTTCTCAAATCAACTACTTCATACTTTATAAGTTTCCAGACGTAGGTGTTACAAACTTCCTGGAATAATTTAAGCGCCGAATCAGATTGATTCACTATAAATTATTTTCTTTTTTACCTTATTCTTCAGTTACCGTCTCAAAGTTTAAAATCGGATTCACGAACAGCTTTAGTGTTAACATTGGATAAAAGTCGTATATCTGCGTGTTATCAAGACTCCCTTGTTAGTCAAGGAGAATTCACTGGTAAGATTTCTTTATTACAAGGATTCTATTGTGTTTTTTTTGTTGTTTTTATAATTAATATATAAATAAGGTTAAACTTATTTTTATATAGTTCTCTTGTACACATGTTATTTATTCCACGCGATTATTTGACCATTATTAATTTACTAAGTAATATACTGATGATGCCATAAATTTCCCTTTACAGACTTTTGTTTACGTTTTGATGATGAATTCAATGTTGGTTCTGATGACTGGAAACCAGATAAAAAACGTTCAACAATAGAAGTTAAAGGGAAGCGTCATGTTGTCATACTGAATGCATGTGTTGTTCCAAATGGAACATTTAGTGTATACTGGAGAGATCCAGGTATGTATTTTTTTGTAATATAAAACTCAGTGTATTGCTGAAACAAATTCGTACAATTTCATTTATCTTGTATGCTGCAACCGATATACCTTTTTTTTAATACTTTGACTTCACTTTAAACTGCATAACTATATGTTATTATAAACCGCCGCAAATTTTATACTTTAAAAATCTTATACAGTATCACTGGGTTGAATTATTTATTTATAATTATTCTGTTTAAGTAATACCTCAGTCGCGAGAGGTTAACTTCCTATCGTACCAAACATATAGAAAGGATGTTTGTCCTATGTGGTTCCTTTTGAATTCTTGGGCATTTTCATACCATCGTACGAGGGAAACGTTTTCTTTTAGTACGAATATTTTCTTTATGGTTAATTATACATTAAAACGCGAGTAATTTATTGTTATCATATGTAACAACATAACTTTATGTATGGATTATTAATTGTAATCCACTTGTTTCGTGTGAATGGGATATATATCTCAGTATTAAAGAGTTCCCCTCTCATATCAAAGATCTAATAATTGGATACATGTGTACATGTTCTTTAGAAAATATCTTGTTAAAGAATCCCAATAGATATCCCCGGATATTTATCTGATAGTGTACTTCAACCAAATTCAAATATTGGTTTGCAGGGATTTGATTGATTGGTTACAGGATTTCATCATGAGCTGACACTGGAAAACCGGTGGGCACTGGACTGCTTTTTTATCCTAGTTTGGGACTCTTCAGCAGTACGCCCCCACTGCTTATGGCCCTCTGGTTAAAAGACGAGCTTGCACACCATTAAGCCACTAGGACCCAATCCAATGGTCAGTGCATGAATTCCGACTACTGCTCACTAGCGACTGGCTCTATTCAAGTAGATAGTTACTTGGTCGGGTATGAAGAGAAATACTAGCCAAAGACATTGGCTAGCGGTCGCGCTATGTCGTGAATTGGCGGAAGTTAGAATTCAAGGACCATTGGATCGGGTCCCAGTGGCTTAATGGTCTACGGGCTCACCTTGTAACCAGAATGTCCTAGGTCCGATCCCAGCAAGTGCGTACTGATGAAGGGTTCCAAACTAGGCTGACGAAACAGATGTCCAATACTCCCAAGTTCTCCAGTGGTTGTCTAACCGATGTCCTTTCATGATGAAATCCTGTAACTTTAAGAAAGTTTATAGATAAGGATGTTTCTTTCTCATCCTAATATTTAAACTCTTCGTTCCATCTATGTTTTCTTTTGCTATTCAACTTTAAAAGAAAATTGTAAGCAGGTAAATTATATTTCCATTCACTTGACAACTATTCTTTTATATATATAGAAAAACGTGGGAAATGGCACCTGACAATTCATTGGCAAATGCGTGGTTTAGATTTTCATCTAGACGATAGTATTGGTCGTCGTTTAAAGGCACTGTTTACAATTCTAACTAGAATGACAGGATATAATGGTGCAGCACCTCTATTACCGACATCTGGTGAGGAAGAAGATGAAGAAGAAGGGGATGGAGGATCTCAGTCACGAGATATGCTAGATATTGAAGAATGTCAACGAGTTCCGTCGGGTGAAAATGAACATCAAGCCTATCAATATCCTGCGTCGACTACTAAAAAACGTTCATCAACTGTGTCTGCTACTGTTAGCAAGAATCTAAGTAGTGATGCTGATATCGCCTCATTAGATCGTTATAGACCTTTACTTCTGTAAGTAAAAGCTTATTTTGATAGATTTTATTCTTAGTTTGCTCTAATGAATATTGTGGAGTGAATGAATGCTATTGGTCTTTAAAAACTTGAACTGAGAATGTTTCTTTGTACAAGTTGTAATAGTTTTTTCTTTTAATCTACGTTGTATTACTAATATTTGTAAGATTTGTCTATTTCATTCACAGTATAAATGTGCCTATTTTATCAGTTTCACTCTAAGGATTCTCGTATTTATTTTCATTCCCTAGACCAAAAGATTCTAGTGTGAAAAACACTTTGGATCATTCTCATTTTCGAAGTATGGAGTTTCATAAACACAAATTGGATTTATCAGATGCACAAGCTTTTAAGCGTCAAAAATGGAATACTCTTCGAAAGAAAAAAGCAGGGCATATGGTTAGTTCAATAACGTGTCTGAATGCATAAATTTTTTTATATTATGGGATAGAAACTAATGAACATGCTCTGCTATTTTTTTAAATGTTGGTAGACACTAGATGTTCAATGTCAGCTTCCTCAAGCTTTCACTTCTGTCTGTCTGTCTGTTTTCGACATATAACTTTGCACATATGTGCGGGAGTCCAAGTCGTCACGCTCCATGTAGCACACAAAGCAAGAGAAGAAAGTAAAAATAAATTCAAAATAGAGACAGTAAAGAGAGATACATGGCAAAAAGAAGGGTAATATGGAAGAACAAAACAGTTTCATTGGAAATCATAAGTCACAAGGAGTGGATGCATCGACACCAGCCATTGAAAACGATTTTGAGCCATGTCACCAATTGTTTCCAGCCATTGGTTTTTATCGTCCCAAAGACCCCAACAAGGAAGCCAATTTACACCTTCCTCAGTTGCTGTCTTAAACTAACTGTTGTGGATTTCATTGATTGATGAAGCCATGTTTTGGTTTGACTACCACTACCGACTCTCTTCCAACCTAACCCTGTATCACCTAAGGTTACCCGTCGAGGAAGGCGATGACTAGGGATGTATGCGTAACACATGTCCTAACCATCTCAATCGGTGTAACTTGACAGCCTCGTCGATTGATTTCCCCTTCTTACCTAGCAATCGACTGAGGCCTAACCTCAATATTGCTCACCTTATTATACCACTTCACACGGAAAGTTGAACGCAGGCAGCTAAGCTTTCACTTACCTGATAAAAATTGGAATTCAGTTACTTAAGAATATATATATATATATATATGGCTCGAGGAGAACTATGATTCAGTCTTAATAAGCAATGAAACTTAGTTTCGAAGTTAATTGTTGGATGATGACTAGCAGTGGAACCCAGGGTGCACATTTCGTCATATATGGGACTCGTCATCTGGATGTGCCTGCTTTTCCCAGTGAGTGATTATGTTCTCACCGAGGCTCGAACCAAGTGCCCATAGTTTCCAACGCTAAGGCGTTATCCACTAGACCGATTGGGCCACGAGACCCACCTTGTCAGCTGGATGTACTTTGCATTCTCACCTCATAAATACTTAAACCTTTTGGTTAGATGATTTCAGCATGAGTTGACATCGGTTAGCGAACCATTGGAAAACCTGAGAGTGCTGGACAGCTATTTCGTCCTAGTTTGAGACTCTTCATCAGTACCCATCCGCGGATGGGGTTCGGACCAAGGATCTGCCGATAACAAGGCGAGTGAGCTCGTAGACCATTAAGCCAATGGTTCTCTAACCAATGGCAGCTCATGACAAAATCCTGTAACCAATTAAATCAAATCCCTGTAAACCAACACTTGAACTTCAAATTTTTATTAACTCTAATTTTATTAGTAGACATTATTTTCTGTTATTTATATATAATAATTTTTCCATTTTAGTCTCGAGGTATCACATTACGTAATACAAATTCATCATCTACTGATCAATGTGTAAATGAATATAATACACAACCACTGGGTTCTCAATCTATACCAACTGACAGGAAGTTCATGAAAACAGGTTTACGTTCATCTGCATCTGTTACAGAAGATTTTCTTCCCAGTCAAACTCATGGTGATAATCAAACAAAAAATATTACTAAAGGATCTAATGGCGTCATTTTACGTAGATACAGTAACTTACCTGGTGTTTCTTCAAATCGTTTCACAAAAATGGATTCTGTTTATTTCGATGCAGAAGACGATACTGTCCCCAATTGTAATAATGTATCAAAAACTGCCGGCAATCTGGTGGACAATAATGACATGAAATTAGATGCTGATAGTCAACAGTTTAATGGTCGGTTTTTTGATGAATATAGTGGTAAGTAACTGACAACCAGATATTATTCTTTAGTACACATTCACAACTATTTCATTTGCATTGTCATATGAAAAGTGTCACACAAATAATGCAGATGATATAGTCATTCTAGGTGAAGACGCTGACAAAACAGAGCAGTGCCTTCTGAACACCTTGAGCCGCAATCTGCGAATCTTTGACACATGCGATTTGCTCACGCCAAATGTAATATGATGCTACAGGACTGGACTAGCTAGCTGTCATTGATCATAAGTGCCTGAGTTCTATCTCCCGTGTGAAGTGGTATAATAGGGTGAGCAATATTGAGGTTAGGCCTCAGTCGATTGCTAGGTAAGAAGGGGAAATCAATCGACGAGGCTGTCAAGTTACACCGATTGAGATGGTTAGGACATGTGTTACGCATACATCCCTAGTCATCGCCTTCCTCGACGGATAACCTTAGGTGATATAGGGTTAGGTTGGAAGAGAGTCGGTAGTGGTAGTCAAACCAAAACATGGCTTCATCAGTCAATGAAATCCACAACAGTTAGTTTAAGACAGCAACTGAGGAAGGTGTAAATTGGCTTCCTTGTTGGGGTCTTCGGGACGATAAAAACCAATGGCTGGAAACAGTTGGTGACATGGCTCAAAATCGTTTTCAATGGCTGGTGTCGATGCATCCACTCCTTGTGACTTATGATTTCCAATGAAACTGTTTTGTTCTTCCATATTACCCTTCTTTTTGCCATGTATCTCTCTTTACTGTCTCTATTTTGAATTTATTTTTACTTTCTTCTCTTGCTTCGTGTGCAACAAGAAGGGAGTGTGGCAACAATTGGAACTGCTGCACATCTGTGCAAAGTTCTATGTTGAAACCAGCCAGTCAGTTACAGAAAAAAATTGATTTAAGCATAGATGAGTAAATGATGCTGTGTCACTCAATATGTGCTACATCAAAAGTGTATAATTATTCTATTATGGAATTAGACTTTTATAAAGATTTCCTGCCACACACTTAAGGTAACACTGAATATATGTTGTCCAGAAAGATATCCTAAGCATCGCAATTTAAACCTTTCAGCCCAGAGAGCATAGTAGTATTATAACGTTTCTACCCTATTTCTTTTACCGTTGTATTATTATATGAAGATTTGTGAATTTGTATTTATAATACTTTTGTGTATGATTTTATGTTGTGAAACGTATATCACAAGGTCATATGGAATAACGACTGACCTGTTGATTTTGTGTTTGTGACCTTCGTTATACTATTTTAATTTTTGAAAATCTATCTCTCATTTATTTTTACTATTATTATTTTACGTGATGTGCAGATTTGAAGTGTATAAACTTGAATCATTACTCAATACGGCCTACCTTCTTTAGTAGATATGACAGTGGTTAACACAATTATTGTCAGAACATGCTTTTCGTTCTATTTGAAACTTACGTATCACAGTGAGTGTTGGTTTTCCCATCGAGATAAGACCTCACTACCAATCTTTTCAGAAGTACCAGATACAAAATTACAATACCCACGTTTTGTTTTTCGTAGTAATATGAATTTGTAATTGATCACTTTCAGTGCTATCCGCGAATCAATATTGTATTTGTGTACATCAATAAATTGCATAGGAGATCATAAATTTCAATAACCATAATTTTATATACTATATATCAATCCTTAAAAATGTTGGACAATAAAAAAGACAATATTTAAGCTTTTACTACCTGTAATAAAGTTATTATTATGAACGAACTATTGATGTGATAACACTATGAAGATAAATGATGAGTAAGTGAGAATTACGTGGGTCGTTGGTTCAGCGGTAGGACACTGGCCGCCAACCAAGCAGTTGGTCCAAGGGTCGATCACTGTCCAATGCTTAGCCGATGGTGTAAGCCCAGTAAAGAGGGAAGGTTGGGCGTAAGGCTAACAACCTCATCTCGTTAAATACTCCACTGCTATTGAAACTTCAAAGCTCTAGCTTGGAACTCAAAGCAATAAAATAATTATCAATAATATTAAATCAGAATTACACTAATACAGTCAAAGTGAACATTCTTTATACTTACTTACTACTTTACTTCTGCTATCTCCTACGGGAGGATGAGTCGGCTTCATGAACGAGTTCATGAAGTTTCTTGGGAATTTGGTACGAGTGATGTCCCCAGCATCGCTCGGCCTTTTGTTTGAGAGTGCAGCTCTAGCCTTTACACAGCCAAGTGTGACCTACAAGGCAGTAGGAGTGGAGTAGGGAGCCCACTATCCATTGGCAGCCGGTGACTGGAGTTCGGTTCATACGCCTTTTTGAATGGGGCCAGACATCCAGGACATCCAACAAGCCCTTTGTCCATACGTCTGCCGGTGAGCTCCAGTGAGCTTCATACGCCAGTCGTTGGAGGTTTGGAATCAGGGTTTAGCCATCTCCCCTAGACTGTCATTCAATGGACAGTCAACCCGGTGAAGAGCGCCGGGCATCCGCTTTTGCCCTCTCACTTCGGTGAAATAAACACCTCCGCCACGTGAAGGCAGTGAGTAGGACTTCCTCAGGAGAGGCTATGTGAGACGCACGGTCATATGGGAGCAATTCAAGAGGTGTGCGGAGGGGTGGCCAACCCGCAGCGCAAGACACCCACCCCCGACCATCCTGAGGAGAACCTACAGGAACATTTATTCTGGCTTGTGTACTTCGTTAAGTTAATGTGACAAGCAAAGTCAACCACATCAAAGTAACAGCTATTGGTCGGGGAATTTGCATGAAATATCAACTGTCGCCATAATCAGGATAATACATACCGTGGAAGCGACTCAATTTACTTGTCGCTTACGGTACACATTGGGGCAATATTTACTTGGGGATGTTAGGAACACACCATAGTGCTTACAGCTACAGCACAAAATCAAAACCAACTGGTCAGTATACTCATTTTTCAGCTTCGTGCCCTTGAAATACAAACGCAATGTGATAAAGTGCTTGGTCCACAAAGCAAGAGTAATCTACTCGGATGAATGCCTTGATGAGGAACTTAATAATATTAAACGGTTGCTGAGTGAAAACGGTTATCCAGGAAATTTCATTGATAAGAATATGAATAAAAAATTACGGCATCCCAAGGTACCAATAGTTCCTAAAAAGGCCTTATTCTTACAAATTTAGTTCCTCGGTACTACCACAAAGGAATGGGTTAAGGAGTGTTTCCTGCTGCTGAATTACATCGTCTTCAAGACCACCCTCATATTGCGTTCTGGAGTAAAATAAAAACTGCCTAATTTCGCCTCTTCCATGTGTATCTACCAATTTAACTGCTCCTGTGAAACCAGTTGCATAGGCCGTACAGTACATTTAGGCATGTTTCCTGGCGGATATCCAAACATCATCCTGCGTGATTAAGTAAAGGACAAACAAAATGCATTCATAGAGCTGTTCTATCTTATCTTGTGGATACATACCACAAAAATCTAATTTTTGTCCAAAAGATCAGAATGACCCTCAATTTTTTGTAGAAATTTCCTTAATTTTAGTTGATAATCTATTTTTATTATAATAATAATTTATGCATCTTCTATGCACTGTAATTCCATTGATCTTATTTAACGAATCGATATTATTTAAAAAAACAATATTGTTACTGACTACTAGTGCACAATATTCTGTGTATATGAGCATGTATATAATTGTAGATCCATAAGAGGAAATTATCGAATAGTTTTCACCTAAATATTTTGTTTATAGACGTCAAATTCATTACGGTTTATTCCACTCCCCTGTTCCAACAATACCTCAGTAGCAATTAATAAGATTATTTGCAAAGAATTTAACTTAGTAAAAATGTATAACTTTTGACACGTTACAAGAGTATTATGATCTGTGGCAACTCAAGTCTTACGCTAAATTTACTAAATTAACTACCCATTACAGAAGTGAGAAGTTATCCCGCACAAATACAGTTAAATATTAGCTTGATTTAAATGAAGGTTACTAACCTTAGAATCTGCAAAAGCCAACCAACGAACTCCAAGGGAAGAAGGAACACTTTTCGGCAAGAGATTAGGCCACAGAATAGGTTTGACATGTGTAATTGTGTAACATACTTTTATCTCATCATGTCATCTATATGCACTGTTATTCGAAATATATCCGCAAAAATCACCTTATAGGTGAGAAAATAGGTCAACTACCCTTTGGAAAATGTATGATTTTCTTTCAGTGTGCTTCTTATTGGTGGTGGTGGTAATATGTTAAATAAAATAAAAAGTTAATGTCATGTCCAGACTTTATGATACATGAATTTTGACTCTAATATTTTGGTAAAATAATGAATATTTATACACCTTAACTATCTCTTTTAAGCACTAATGTTACAAAGACAGTACTAATGGTAGGTATTTATAATCTAAATTTAAGTGTTCTTAATATTTGAATACTTTTTGTGCAGCCTTCTTAATACTTATGTCAAATTGTTTTTTTTAACGAATGTTTTATTGTTTTGCTTCTATCTTAAAAGATGATTGGTGTGATCCATATAGAAGTCTGGATGTTGATGAAGACTTCTTCCATGATGCTGATGAACAAAACACCATAGATACTGACAGTTCAGAATTACCTTGCACAACAAATCCGAATCCAACTGTGGGAAATGACAGCGATAACTTCAAATCAAATATTAAACCACCAACGCCTCCTCCACGGAAATTACATAATCTTCATGATGAAAATAAACCAGAGTTTCGTCCTAGATTGGAAAAATTACGAGATAAACAAACAAGTTCTAATGAAGCTGTAAATACTTCTCAAGAAGAGCCAAAACTTCAATTGGAATTAGATCTTCAGATTCATGTTGATTCTGGTTGTTGTGTACTTCATCCTCGTCTTCCTTCACGTTTTATGCCTGATGATAATGGTCCTAAACACAGTGCAGCTTCAATCCTTTCACCAGGCATTGGAATGAATCCATTCGGTGTGTCAGATAATGGGAAACTGATATCTTCAGATATTCGTTATCCAACACTTGGAGTATGCGGACCAACAACTCAATTGGAATCTGGTTACAGATTCTCTTATAGTGATTTACTGCCTGGATATTTAGAACGTTATAGACTTCAGTTATTACAAGATTTACAGATTGTATCAAATGATATTAGTGTATTTTACCTACCAGCTGTAGATGTTAGTGTAAGTTGAATTCTGTATTCAAATTTTGTATTTTTGGGGGATTTTGGATTAATTTCAATCGTTAGATTTCCGTAACGAACTAAAATCAGTTAGAGAAATCATTGCAAACCACGGAGTACTGGGCAGCTGTTTCGTCCTATTTTGGAACTCCTCATCAACGCGTACCCATGACCTGTCAAGAGACCGAACTCTGAAACCTTCGAGTTACCTGACCAAGCTCGTTGACTGTTCATGCAGTTGGGCTGGGATCCAATGACCCCTGAATTCCAACTTTGTCAACTCGTTATATATGGCTGCCCTCACTCGTCACCTTGACATAGTTGATCCAACTGGACTTCCCACTCTAGCTTCAGGACATCCATCCAGTCGCTATCAGCGAGCTGGTGATTAATAGTCAGATTATAGTTTTTTTATTGATAAGAATGTCTATTTGATTTGCTTATTGATCCCAAGATATCGGTTATCAGTTCGTAATAAAATGAGATCATCAAAAACAAAATTCCCAGCATATGTATTAGTTTAAATTTTCTGATAGAAAAGTAATTTATGCACATTGACTACATCTCAATGGTGTTAAGAGTTCAATTGGATAGTTAAATCGTCAAGTAAATACTCAGCTTATTTCGTGTATATATATATATATATATATATATATATATATATATATATATATATATATATATGAACATCCCAATGTGGCTCGATAAAACACTAGAGCATAATTCCTTGTAGCCAAATATCTTGAGTGAGGTTTATTTCTTTTTGTATTCGTAAAACCAATATCTGTCAATGAACACTTAAAAATATCGCCTATCAGTTACCTTGTGTTTTTTGTTTTTTTTTCTTTTCAATGGGATTTAGCTTCACTACAATTCTATGACTGAATTGGACTTTTTACCAGGAAGTTCTGTCCCGAATGCTGTTAACTTGCTTAGCGATCCCCCTGTTAATACACAGATATTATCTCCAAATATTGTAAGATCTAGATCATCTAGTCAACCACGCAATAGTCAAAGTTCCGGGAGCAAAGATGAGTCTATCCCTCGAATAAATACATCAGCTCCTCGAAGCATAAGAAAACAAGCTGATTTGTATGTTTCTTGTTTTCTGCAAAAACTGCCAAAAGTAAGTTTTTTCATAGGTTCTTTTTAATTAGTACTAACAGAAAATACAGTCTGTGATATTATTAGTTTGAAATTATTTAGACTTACAACCATTTAACATCTGAAGAGAAGATAATATGAAAGGAAAATCTTTTGGAATTATATTTCAGCATGTGGCTTTGAGTATTTACTCATCAATAATCTGACTTGTGCATAATAATTCTTCTGTATGCATAGGGAATGAATATAGTCGTATATGTAATAACCCTTATCTGACTTGATAACCAGTTCTTATTAATTTTCAGGCGTATATCCACTGGACGGGTTCGTCTCAGATGGAGTTTTACGCATTGTAATACAATTTTTTGACCCTTGGAATTTCTTTAAAGGAGATCATTTAATTTTCTATAATGAGATCTTAAATCTTACTATCTGATGAAGGGAAGGCTGTGGAAACAACATACACAAAGTCTTAGAATTTAATTGGTGAGTTGTGGTGACTAGCAGTGGAATCCAGGATGCGCATTTCGTCCTATTTAGGACTCGTCATCTAGATGTATCTGCATTCTCCAGTGAGTGATAATGTCCGCACCGAGGCTCATGGACCAAGTGGTCTAGTGGACAACGCTTTGGCGTTGGAAACTATGGGGTGGGAACATCATTACTCACTGAAGAATGCAGGTACATCCTGCTGACGAGCTCTAAACAGGACGAAATGCACACCCTGGATTCCACTGCTAGTCACCACCCACCAATGAACATATAATTACATGCCCAGACATCGTTGAAGCATCTGCACAAGAAGTTAACATGTCAACCTGAGACCGAGCACTTCGGTCCAATCAATCGAAGGGAAAATCTAAATAAAATTCAATTAAATAATACACAAAGTCCTTTTGAATTTTCTTATGTAGATCCAGTCTACTGCACTATGTTAACTAACCGCCTGTTCACGGTGTTATTAGATTTCGTACTTATTCACTTCTTGTCACTTTGTTTATAACTATTTTGAAAAGAAGGAAATATTTTGAATAGGTTCGTAGGAATTTTCATGCTACCTAGCACCATGAGTAGTAGCCTTTCGAAGTTTTTTGTCTTTTATATAGATAGTTTCATCGTTTTGGTCGTTTATCCTCTGACCTGTATATCTTCAAAACTATATATATACATAGAATAACAAATACATTTGTTTCAAAACTGTTCTTTATTTAGTTGACATTAAAAACAGGTTTTACTTCATATCATAAGCGTGTGTTCGCATTCTCTCCTTCCAAAACTTTATCTCGTTTCTTTTAAATTTAATTTGATTATAGGAGCTTGTTGTTCAACCATCATTACTTGATTTTCTAGAACAAGCTATTGACAATTTACCATTGGTAGCAGATTGGAATTCAGAAGTTGGTAGGTTTGATTGAGTATTGTAAACATGAACTTTAATTTATCAGTGTGGTTTTTCTGTCGATCTACAATCTGAAAGTTTAAAATATATAAACTAAGCTGTTATTATTAATATTAAATGAACTAGAAATAAGACACATGCATATGAATTAATTTGAATATCCTAGGAACATGCTTCATACAATCAGGTGTATTTACATGTATTCTATTATTGCATTTTAAAAATGTTAATGTAGAATGTGGTAACTTTATCTATCTTGTGAATAATAAACACAAATTGTTGGTATTAGGAATAATTAAATTACTTTTTAGTTATGATGTGTCGGCGGCGCAGAGATAGAATGCTCGCTAAGCACGCAGGTGGTTTTGGGTTCGACCCCTAGGTGACGTACTCCTTCACCTCATTAAGCCGCTAATAAGGCTGGTAAAGAGGGAAGGTTGGGCATGAGACTAGCAGTCCCGTTGCGTAAAAATAAATACCACTGCTACCGAAACTTCAAGACTCTAGCTTGAACCCCTATGTTCCACTGTGGGAACGTAAAGAAATAAAATAAATAAATTTCAGTTGTGATGCATTTGTATAGCATGAAGTAATCTAATTCTTTTATCCACAAGAAGTTTTTTCTTCTGAAATATGAGTGACATCTACTGTGTTTGACGGCTTATGACATTACTGAGTTATATTTAGATCGAAGTAGATGAAGCGAAATATGTGAACTTAAGACTTATAAGTAGTTGGAAGTCTATTTCTTGAGCTGACGTATAACACCTTCGTATATCACAACATACTGGTGGTTATTATTATGTTATTATTGTTCCCTTGGATTCCTAGTGGAACATAGGGCTTCCAACTGCTCGTCTCCACTTGCTTCTGTCTTCCTTCTGCTTTACTTTTCACCTGCATCCGTGCATGTTAGTGCGTACTCTTTCAACTCCTCTTCACACGATCTCCTCCATGTCACCCTTGCATTGACGTCCCACTCGCCGCTTCCCTTTCGGCCCGGTTCCACTCGAGCAATGGCCTGACACGCGATGTCACCCAGCGGTCTCCACTTTCTCCTGCGTATTTGTTGGGCGATTGGTTCTTGTTCTGTTTGTTCCCAGTCATAGTTTCTTGTTGGTGATTCTTACTGGTCCGGCCATCTGATCTTCAGTATAGATCCAGCGAAGACAGTTGTTGGTTGATAAAGGTCTGGTCTGCAACAGGCTGTTGGAAATATTCTTTGTGACCCGCCCGCCGAGTTTCTGATCCGTATAGAACAACTGACTGACTTGACGTTGTTTGTATTGAAAATCCGACCGAATTTTGTTGTTGATACTGAGTTGAGTGACGAAGATTTCCAGATTGGTTTCAGGTTGATGAATGTGTTTCTCGCCTTCCCGATTCTCGCTCGATTTGACATCCTCCTCCGTTCCTCGTGTAGTTGAGACAATGCTCCCTAGATAAGTGATTGAATGAAGTAACCTCTTTCAAATCCCTCCCATACGGGTGATAATCTCTTGTTATTTCTGGAATCCATGATGTATGCATTTCATCCTATTTCCGACTCGTCAACCACTTATACCTGCATCGTTCTCACTGAGTGATTCTGTTTTCACTAGGACTCGAACCCTGCATCCATTGTTTCAATCTACTGTTGTTATCACTTTAAAAAGTATAACTTGCTGCCTAGAATATCAGTTTCAATGCTTTTATTATTATTATTCAGGAGATATTTTTACATCTTCCTAAATTATGTAAATTATCTTTATTTCTTATATTCCCAAAAATGACAAAACCCTTGACATGCTACTGATGATAGCATTGTGTTATTCATTTATCTCAAACTGTCACTGGACTGTATGTTGTATCTCGTATGAATTTAATTTTTATAAGTTGACCAGTTATTGTTCGTCCTGTGATATCATACTAATGATAATTTATTACTTGTCATTCCTTGTTTATTCTTATCTGCCTTAAGATTCTGCTTCATCTGATTCTGGTAATGAAGTATTCTTTGAAAAGTTTCCTGTACATGCTATTGTCCATCTACACGTTCAACCATCCACTATACGGTATGTATTTAGATAACCGCTTTTTTGTTAGTTTCGTTTCTCTTGTTTAACATAACAGCTGTCGAAAAACAAATCGAATTAGTGTCGTTTACAAGAGTGAATAAGTGTAGTATTAAGGCATATATGCGTTGATGGTTCAGTGATAGGATGGTAGCCAATCCAATCACGCGGAAAATTCTTTCCCAAGCAAAGCATTTCTAGACCTTGCCTAGACGAATAGTAAGTTCGGAAAGCAAGGGGATAGAGTTGGATGTGAGGGTAGTGACTCCACTTCGTAAAAATAACACCATCGCTACAGAAAATTCAAAGTCTGAAGTCTTTTGTTTGACTCAGATTGCAAGGAATGAAAAAAATAAGTTAAGGTATACATGATTTCGAGAAAGATGTCATTTGATAACCAGGGCTACTTATTAATTATATGTCTTCTAGTACATCCGGTTCATCGCCACTTCCTTGCATAATCCAGATCTAGGATCAATGGTTCTTTGAACTGATCTCATTCTCGGGATTAATCATGAAGTGAGTTCAGTTAGAGAACCATTTCAAAACTAGGGAGTACAGTGGACAGCTATCTCATTCTTGTTTTGAACTCTTCATCAGGATTCACCCAAGACCACCACCTGCAGGTTCAAATGCAAGCTCACTGACCTTATTGTCTCAGATAATAGTACATTGCTATTGGTTTGACTTCGACTACATCAATGTCTTTCCTCCCTTTTATTGTGTATTACTTAACTTACATATATATATGTGATAAGAATAACGATAATTAAAATGTTAAAAGGGGTAGAGTTGAAGTGGATGGATTACAAATTTAGTATTATTTAACTGTCTAAACAGTTAAACTCATAGATTTTGACGAAAATAGAATTTGGTCGACACTTATAAAGTATTTCCCCATTTTTCCCCATTGATATACATGCGGTTTTCTAATTTTTTTAGTGAGTCTTAATTCACGTTATATAGAGAATAGAATGTTTTAGGTCCCTTTCCACCATACTTTCTTGACGTCTAGAGTTCGTCATGTAGAATAATCACTATTTTTTCCTTTGTTTTGTTCACTTTTTTTCTTAAATGGAAAATAAAAAAAATAGATTTCTCTGCCTACCAACTTCACGAATGCAGTGTTTAATGGTTTTACCATTTTTGGATGCAGTTTTCTCAACTAAACGAGAAGATCCTGATTCAGTTATGAACAGAGCTGATAATGGTGTGACGCGTAAATTAACAGATTTTTGTAAGTTCAATCTATGAAGTTGATTACACTGAAATATACATCTGTCTTCTTCTTCTTCTTTACTTTTATTAAATATGTAAATTGGTAAAATATCTATGAAGTTGCACTACAAGTTTTAGGTCATGTCCTGTAAAATGAAATCAGCTCTATATAAGTGGTTGAGTGTGAAAAGGACCTAGAAGAATTAGTGTAGAGTTGCCTATAAGGTGATGTTGGTGAAGCGCTCGGCAGCAAACTGTCACACTTTTCAGTCTTATTACTATTATTCTTTTCATCCATTGCGTTTCGAATGAAAAGTATGGCCTCAGAACTACATTTTCATTCCAGTCGATTCTTTGGCATCACTTTCAACTGGTTGGTTTCCAGATAACATGACCTCCATGTCACTCTCAAACCCACGCCCAACTTGTCGCTTCTCATTCAACGTCCCACTCGATGTGTGATTTCATTGGAAGATCTCCCTAGCCTATGCCCAGTTTACCTCCTTTCCCCCCGGCATATTTGTTAGGCCAAGCACTGGTTCTTGACTAGGCCAACCATATAAAAATACTGACTAGAAATCAGTGTTGAAAATTCCGATCTTGTTCTTTTTGATGTGTTTTATAGATCTCCACATCGATTCTAAAGTAATGAAAACCTGTCTTGTCTTCCCGATCCTGTCTGGTTTTAACATCTCCACCCATATTATCTATAGTTTTATGATAAATTTCATTAAGTTTTGATCTTGTTATTGAATATTTATTTGCTAACTTCGTTTTCCGAATTATATGTTGATCTCAGTTAAATAATCTATGGAAATATAAAAGTGTTGAACAATCGTTTCTCGCTCTCCAGCGAGTTTTAATTAGTGTAAACCAACTGTTCTTTACTGAAAGGCTTTCAGTAAATCCAATATAAAACATAGTATATATATATATATATATATATATGTAACAACAGAAGACAAGGGCCAGGCAACAGATCGTTTTATTACGAAAATCAACATGTATTTATATAAATTTCACATACATTATTATAGCCTGGTCAAGTAGACAAACGCAGTCTTATGATTGGTTGTTTTCGAGTTCCTCGGAAAGTGGAGCCATCTATCTGCGAATCATATTTGCCCACGTTTAAGTTTGCTGTGATTGGTTGTTGAAACAGCCTTGTCCATATTTTCTCACGGCCCATATTAGTGACCTAGACATTGACGTAGATTAATGTCAACCAATTGGCTAGCAGGCTGCTCTCAATATATATATATATATATATATATATATATATATACGAGGTGATCACGGATTGATATCAGTTAGAGAACCATTGAAAGCCAGGGAGTAGTGGACACTGTTTCCTCCTAGTTTGGGGATCATCGGGAGTACGCACCCGCTGAGGTTCGAACCCAGGACCTTCCGGTTACAAGGCAAGCTCGTATACCATTCAGCCACTGGGACCCGATTCAATGGCCAACTCATGAATTCTAACTTTTACCAATTCGTGATTTAGCGCTACCCCAACCAATGTCATCGTCGGGTATATATATATATATATATATATGAATAGCTTTATTTAGTACAGCGTTTACATATTGTACAAAATTTTCAGCCTAGTTTATTTCATAATATTTTCCCTTCATCATGAATCTTCAAATAAAATATCATGTGACAGTAGACTATTTGAAACACTTCTACCTGATATGAAGTACAAACCAAGAAATTACGATGTCTCTTCCTTGTCTTCTACAGCAAATGCATGTAATTTGGTTGAATGGCAATTAGAAAAGGTTCAGGAATCCATTCTGTGGACTTAGGATACGACCCTACGAACAGCTCTCTCTTGCATTGCAATACTTCCCAACCTACGATTATGTTTTTTTATCACCATAACCGGAAACTTGCGAATCAGCAAGATGTGTGAACACATTCTGTCTGTCTGTTTTCGACATAGAACTTTGGACATGTGTGCATGAGTTCAAGTCGCCACACTCCCTCTTTGTAGCACACAAAACAAGAGAAGAAAGTTGAAGAAATGCATAATAGAGACAGTAAACAGAGGTGTGAGACAAAGGAATAGTAATGACGAAGATCAAAACAGTTTCAGGGAGTGGATGCAACAATTGCACTAGCCATTGAGAACGATTTTCAGCCATATCACCAATTGTTCCCAGCTGTTGGCGTTTACCGTCCTAAGGCCCCCAACCAGGAAGTCTGCACCCTCCTACGTAGCTTAAGCTAACCATTGTGGATTTCATTGACTGATGAAGCCATGTTTTGGTTTGACCGCCGCCAGCTAGCTCTTTTCCAGCCTGACCCTATATCAGCTAACATCGCCCTTCGGTCGAGGAAGGCGATGACTAGGCACACGTGAACACATCAGTCGCCAGAGTATAAAACGTAATAAAGGCCATATTTTATCAGATTTAAACAAACTGAACGGAAGAAAATAGTTGTGAAATATCGATGTGATTTTTCGGTAGCCCAAATTTAAGTAGGCCACCAAAAATATATGTATAAATCGTAATTGCTGATTTGCTTACCACCTAATCTTTTTTCTTTCTCTTATTTTCTTTACTATGTAGCATCATCTCAAGTTGACAATCTAATGGATACTACTGGTATAACACTGAAGTCTAAACCAGTAGTTGGTGATATTGTTTCAGCTGGTGGACTTTCTGTTACTGCTATATTAAAAGGTAAATCTATCATTCAAAGTTGAAAATTTGTACATGTTAAGATGAGAGCCGATAAAATGGTCACCTGCTATCTCTTCTTACTTTGAACTTTTCAGTCACTTTTATTTTAGCTGCTTACTTGTAGCAACAGAAGACAAGGGTCAAGCAACAGATCGTTTATTTGCGAAATCAACACATATTTATAGGTTTTCATGTACATTATTATAGATTATTGTTCGCAGACAGACACAGTCTTCTGATTGGTTGTTTCTCACTGAAGGTTAATCTTTCATCTATAAGTATAAAACTTGGGCACTGTAGTAGAGTATAACTCCATTATGGATAAGATTTTATTTTGATAAATCACACAGTGTTGTACAGTTAATACAGTTAATATAACTGTACAACACTGTGTGATTTATCAAAATAAAATCTTATCCATAATGGAGTTAATCTTTCATCTCTTTGTGGCTGTCTCTTGAAAGTCAAATCATGTATCTGTTCATTGCATCCGCCTACGCGAAGTCTGCTGTGATTGGTTGTTGAGTCAGTCTTGTTCTTGTTTTCACATGACCAATATTTGGGACATGAACATTGACGTAAATTATTGTCTACCAATTCGGCTAGCAGACAGCTCTCACCATATACTGATGATGAGTACATAATATTAGGACATCTCTTGGTGCGTATTTACTGTACTTCTTGTATGGATGTATCTCTCTCTCATTAAGAAGGGGTTTTTTCAGTTAAGGGTGGAAGTCAGTTAACATTAAATTTGAATTCATAAAAATATCAAGTCAGCGGTACACAGATGCCCATATGCCAACAGCAAGTGTAGCAGAGTATGAACAACTTATTATGAAATGTCATTTGAAGTAGTCTCCAGTAATATTGTGGTGAGAGCTGTCTGCAAGCCAAAATTGTAGACAACAATTTACGTCACTGTCCACGTCCCGAATTGGGGTCATGAGAAAAAACAATAACAAAGTTTAACCTTGAGGAACTCACCAACCAATCACAACAGACTTAACGTATCCAATTTAGATTCGCAGATATATAGCTTAACTTTCTAAGAAGCGGCCACAAATAGCATAGAATAACCTTCAGCAAGAAAACAACCAATCAGAAGAGGGTGCTTCTCTGTTAACAATAACGCTAGTAATAATAATGGCAAAGCTTTATTTAAGACAGTATGCGAATATACGCTACAAAAATTTTCGGCGTATTCAGTTCCAAAGTACTTTTTCTTCACACAGGATTCACATATAAAGTAATAATCTAAAGTATATCTTCATTTCGTTGAAGAATTGTACAGTGTTTACTTGGGAGCA